CATCTGAATGCAAAAGGAACATCAATCAATACTAGAACACGCACAATTTTGAAGATTAGGGCAAAATCATCCATTTTGGGAGAAAAAGAAATTAATTTTTGGAGTGATTTTACCTTAAATCTTCGACGAATTTTCCTTTTCAAATAGCACATCTGTCCTAAAATCAAGTTGGAATGTTATCTAGGGCCCTTTCAGCATCATTTTAGCATCTTTCAAGCATTTTCATATTTTGGCCAAAATTGAAAAAAAAATGCAAGGGGTAAACCTTACATTTTATTCAAATTTGGACAAACTATTGACTTTTTTTGGGCCAAAATTGGACAAAAATTGAATTTTCTCAAACTAACGCAGTAATTCATCTGGATGCAAGAGGAACATCAATTAATACTCTAACATGCACAATTTTGAAGATTAGGGAGCAAATCATCCATTTTTGGAGAAAAAGAAATTATTTTTTTTTGAGTGCTTTTACCTTAAATCTTCGACGAAATTTCCCTTTTAAATAGCACATCTGTCCCAAAATCAAGTTTGAATGTCTTGTAGGGCCCTTTAGGCATCTTTTAAGCAACTTTCAAGCATTTTCATTTTTTGGCCAAAATTGAAAAAATGCAAGGGGTTAACCTTACATTTGTAGTCAATATTGGCCAAAAATTGACTTTCCCCTAATCAAGGCAGCAATTCATCTGGGTGCAAGAGGAACATCAATCAATACTCGAACACGCACAATTTTGAAGATTTGGGCAAAAATAATCCATTTTGGGAGAAAAAGAAATTAATTTTTGAAGTGATTTTACCTTAAATCTTGGACGAAATTTCGCTTTCAAATAGCACATCTGTCCTAAAATCAAGTTGGAATGTCTTCTAGGGCCCTTTCAGCATCTTTCAAGCATTTTCATTTTTTGGCCAAAATTGAAAAAAATGCAAGGGGTTAACCTTACATTTGTAGTCAAATTTGGCCAAAAATTGACTTTTCTCAAATCAAGGCAAAATTCATCTGAATGCAAAAGGAACATCAATCAATACTAGAACACGCACAATTTTGAAGATTAGGGCAAAATCATCCATTTTGGGAGAAAAAGAAATTAATTTTTGGAGTGATTTTACCTTAAATCTTCGACGAATTTTCCCTTTCAAATAGCACATCTGTCCTAAAATCAAGTTGGAATGTTATCTAGGGCCCTTTAAGCATCATTTTAGCATCTTTCAAGCATTTTCATTTTTTGGCCAAAATTGAAAAAAATGCAAGGGGTTAACCTTACATTTTTAGTCAAAATTGGCCAAAAATTGACTTTTCTCAAATCAAGGCAGAAATTCATCTGAATGCAAGAAGAACATCAACCAATACTCGAACACGCACAATTTTGAAGATTTGGGCAAAAATCATCCATTTTGGGAGAAAAAGAAATTAATTTTTTGAGTGATTTTACCTTAAATCTTCGACGAATTTTCCCTTTCAAATAGCACATCTGTCCTAAAATCAAGTTGGAATGTTATCTAGGGCCCTTTCAGCATCATTTTTGCATCTTTCAAGCATTTTCATATTTTGGCCAAAATTGAAAAAAAAATGCAAGGGGTAAACCTTACATTTTATTCAAATTTGGACAAACTATTGACTTTTTTTGGGCCAAAATTGGACAAAAATTGAATTTTCTCAAACTAACGCAGTAATTCATCTGGATGCAAGAGGAACATCAATTAATACTCTAACATGCACAATTTTGAAGATTAGGGAGCAAATCATCCATTTTTGGAGAAAAAGAAATTTTTTTTTTTTGAGTGGTTTTACCTTAAATCTTCGACGAAATTTCCCTTTTAAATAGCACATCTGTCCCAAAATCAAGTTTGAATGTCTTGTAGGGCCCTTTAGGCATCTTTTAAGCAACTTTCAAGCATTTTCATTTTTTGGCCAAAATTGAAAAAATGCAAGGGGTTAACCTTACATTTGTAGTCAATATTGGCCAAAAATTGACTTTTCCCCTAATCAAGGCAGCAATTCATCTGGGTGCAAGAGGAACATCAATCAATACTCGAACACGCACAATTTTGAAGATTTGGGCAAAAATAATCCATTTTGGGAGAAAAAGAAATTAATTTTTGAAGTGATTTTACCTTAAATCTTGGACGAAATTTCGCTTTCAAATAGCACATCTATTATCTAGGGCCCTTTAAGCATCATTTTAGCATCTTTCAAGCATTTTCATTTTTTGGCCAAAATTGAAAAAAATGCAAGGGGTTAACCTTACATTTTTAGTCAAAATTGGCCAAAAATTGACTTTTCTCAAATCAAGGCAGAAATTCATCTGAATGCAAGAAGAACATCAACCAATACTCGAACACGCACAATTTTGAAGATTTGGGCAAAAATCATCCATTTTGGGAGAAAAAGAAATTAATTTTTTGAGTGATTTTACCTTAAATCTTCGACGAATTTTCCCTTTTAAATAGCACATCTGTCCCAAAATCAAGTTTGAATGTCTTGTAGGGCCCTTTAGGCATCTTTTAAGCAACTTTCAAGCATTTTCATTTTTTGGCCAAAATTGAAAAAATGCAAGGGGTTAACCTTACATTTGTAGTCAATATTGGCCAAAAATTGACTTTCCCCTAATCAAGGCAGCAATTCATCTGGGTGCAAGAGGAACATCAATCAATACTCGAACACGCACAATTTTGAAGATTTGGGCAAAAATAATCCATTTTGGGAGAAAAAGAAATTAATTTTTGAAGTGATTTTACCTTAAATCTTGGACGAAATTTCGCTTTCAAATAGCACATCTGTCCTAAAATCAAGTTGGAATGTTATCTAGGGCCCTTTCAGCATCTTTCAAGCATTTTCATTTTTTGGCCAAAATTGAAAAAAATGCAAGGGGTTAACCTTACATTTTGAGTCAAAATTGGCCAAAAATTGACATTTCTCAAATCAAGGCAGAAATTCATCTGAATGCAAGAAGAACATCAACCAATACTCGAACACGCACAATTTTGAAGATTTGGGCAAAAATCATCCATTTTGGGAGAAAAAGAAATTAATTTTTTGAGTGATTTTACCTTAAATCTTCGACGAATTTTCCCTTTCAAATAGCACATCTGTCCTAAAATCAAGTTGGAATGTCTTCTAGGGCCCTTTAAGCATCATTTTAGCATCTTTCAAGCATTTTCATATTTTGGCCAAAATTGAAAAAATGCAAGGGGTTAACCTTACATTTGTAGTCAAATTTGGCCAAAAATTGACTTTCCCCTAATCAAGGCAGCAATTCATCTGAATGCAAAAGGAACATCAATCAATACTAGAACACGCACAATTTTGAAGATTAGGGCAAAATCATCCATTTTGGGAGAAAAAGAAATTAATTTTTGGAGTGATTTTACCTTAAATCTTCGACGAATTTTCCTTTTCAAATAGCACATCTGTCCTAAAATCAAGTTGGAATGTTATCTAGGGCCCTTTCAGCATCATTTTAGCATCTTTCAAGCATTTTCATATTTTGGCCAAAATTGAAAAAAAAATGCAAGGGGTAAACCTTACATTTTATTCAAATTTGGACAAACTATTGACTTTTTTTGGGCCAAAATTGGACAAAAATTGAATTTTCTCAAACTAACGCAGTAATTCATCTGGATGCAAGAGGAACATCAATTAATACTCTAACATGCACAATTTTGAAGATTAGGGAGCAAATCATCCATTTTTGGAGAAAAAGAAATTATTTTTTTTGAGTGCTTTTACCTTAAATCTTCGACGAAATTTCCCTTTTAAATAGCACATCTGTCCCAAAATCAAGTTTGAATGTCTTGTAGGGCCCTTTAGGCATCTTTTAAGCAACTTTCAAGCATTTTCATTTTTTGGCCAAAATTGAAAAAATGCAAGGGGTTAACCTTACATTTGTAGTCAATATTGGCCAAAAATTGACTTTCCCCTAATCAAGGCAGCAATTCATCTGGGTGCAAGAGGAACATCAATCAATACTCGAACACGCACAATTTTGAAGATTTGGGCAAAAATAATCCATTTTGGGAGAAAAAGAAATTAATTTTTGAAGTGATTTTACCTTAAATCTTGGACGAAATTTCGCTTTCAAATAGCACATCTGTCCTAAAATCAAGTTGGAATGTCTTCTAGGGCCCTTTCAGCATCTTTCAAGCATTTTCATTTTTTGGCCAAAATTGAAAAAAATGCAAGGGGTTAACCTTACATTTGTAGTCAAATTTGGCCAAAAATTGACTTTTCTCAAATCAAGGCAAAATTCATCTGAATGCAAAAGGAACATCAATCAATACTAGAACACGCACAATTTTGAAGATTGGGGCAAAATCATCCATTTTTGGAGAAAAAGAAATTAATTTTTGGAGTGATTTTACCTTAAATCTTCGACGAATTTTCCCTTTCAAATAGCACATCTGTCCTAAAATCAAGTTGGAATGTTATCTAGGGCCCTTTAAGCATCATTTTAGCATCTTTCAAGCATTTTCATATTTTGGCCAAAATTGAAAAAAATGCAAGGGGTTAACCCTACATTTGTAGTCAAATTTGGCCAAAAATTGACTTTTCTCAAATCAAGGCAGAAATTCATCTGAATGCAAAAGGAACATCAATCAATACTCAAACAATTTTGAAGATTAGGGCAAAAATCATCCATGTTTGGAGAAAAAGAAATTAATTTTTTGAGTGAAATTAATTTTTTGACCTTAAATTTTTGACGAATTTTCCCTTTCAAATAGCACATCTGTCCTAGGCACACCCTCTAGGCATCATTTTAGCATCTTTCAAGCATTTTCATTTTTTTGCCAAAATTGAAAAAAAAAATGGAAGGGGTTAGTTTACCTTACATTCTTAGTCAAAGAAATAAACTTTTTGAGTGATTTTACCTAAATAATTACTTTACAAATTTGAGTCAATCAGGCTATATCGTTTGTGCACTATGGGTGCCAAAGCATCCCAAACTAAAAACCAATTTCAGAGTTGTTTTTCCATTTTATAAATGAAACATACACATGGAAAAATATTCAGACAAACATTTTTATACGTTGAAGAGCAAAAGTAGAGCAACTTTATAAGCAAAATGTAAAGTGTTTTAACAATTATTCTTGTCTTCATTGCTGACTGTCTTTTAAGATATTTGTTGGTGCTACAGTTGTAGCTCTGGCTTGCACATCAGAAGTTAGATGGAGTTAGGTGTAAATGTTTGTATCATCCTGAAATACTTTGATATGTAATCTCCCAAACGGCTCTAGGTTGTAAATAGTGTTCCTACTAAAGGTTAGATGTCGCTTAGTTTTGGGGGTTTTGGGTGGTTTTTTTTGGAGTTACATAATATAAAAATATAAGTACCATTTTAAATTGTTAAATTCTACTCAACTACGTATATGCATACCAATATTATTACTTCGAAGTAAACTCATACAGTATCCCACTTTTGGTTAAGATTTCATATAAGTTTGTACAAAAAGCATTCCATTGTCATTAAAACAATTCACATATATATTTGATATGATATTTTTAAAAATTCCCAGGTACACCTAAATAATTTCCATCTTAATCGTAATATCAAAGGAATAAACCTTCACCATCAGTCACAAAAACCTTTTATATATGGTACTACTAAACATTATTAGTATCATTAAAAGTCACTAATACTAAACAAATTCAAAATATTAAAAGCCAAAGATTACAAAAGAGGTATTCATTTCAGCGAGGAACACTGTTTTTGGCAAGGTTGTTTCAATAGTTATAATTATCTGCGCATAAAGGGAAAAGCTACTTGCAATGCAGAAATATCTAAGAGACCATAATATAGAACAGAACACCACTCCGACTTCAATTAATTTCTGGAGTTCTTATGAATGTTTTTTTTTTTTCAACTTGTGAATCACATCTCATCAAAGATGGCATTCAATATGGTCCTGTGGTATTTGCTACATAGTAATGCCACACATACTGGCACAGCATGACGACAACTAATCCTTAAACTCTGCGGGCTCCGTGCGCAAATAAGAGGGCGCTTTTCACCAATTTCCAGAGCCCCTTGGATGGGACACACTGCGGGTGCATACCGGATCGCAAAGTGTGGCGCGAAGTATGTACGACTTGTTTTATTCTGAAAGTGCGAAATTTAAGTTGTATCGTCTTCGCGCGAGCGTCAGGTGTCTTTGACGATGCGTTTGAATGTCTCTCCCAGTGGTCTCCTTCTTTCTTACCGTTGAGGGGGTACTTGTACACAGAGTCCATTGACAAAAAAGATTGTAGAATTCCACACTGTCAGTTATTCTCTACTAAAAACCAGCAGTTTCTATGAACCTCAAACTGAAATATAATACATCACTAATAATTCAATATGATTCACTCCAACTGAAATATATAGTACTGAGTAAATTCATAAAAACTGAGTAAATTCACAAAAGTGTCCTAGTACTAAAATCGATCAACACCCTCTCTATATATATAATTGCGCATTAATTGCACGCTGTACTTTACAAATCCTCCCTGACAAAAGGATTCGAAAGTTGGCATCTCTGCTATTATATACGACGAACTAAACTATTAATACAATTTATGAATATATTTCTACAGCTACAGGTGTTTATGCGACCCCATCATACGAAATGTTTCAAAAGTCAATGGAATACGTTTTAGACACTGGCCATCAAACAATATTTTGAGCAAAAGGCCGTAAGACCAAACTGAATAAAGAAGGAATTTGTCACCAAAATTCACATCCATTTTCATCAGAATATTAAACTGTGTAGCATATCAACAAGTACATATGGGAAATGGATCAACCTAGAAAATATCTTAAGACTCATTTGGTAGGATCTAGTCACATGTATGAATATTTCCAATTAACCCCATATATAAGACTTGTAACGTTGTAATTAACCCCATATATAAGACTTGTAACGTTGTAATTAACCCCATATATAAGACTTGTAACGTTGTAATTAACCCCATATATAAGACTTGTAACGTTGTAATTAACCCCATATATAAGACTTGTAACGTTGTAATTAACCCCATATATAAGACTTGTAACGTTGTAATAAACTGAAGTACATTTAGGACTCCAGGTCATACTTGACTCCGTAGACATTACCCTGATGACCCGTCCCGTCATCCAGCGGGATGGCACGGGAGAACGCCGGTCCGTGATCAATCATCTCGAAGGCCTCGTTGGCGTGGGCTCCCTCCGAGGCGTCTTGGAATGTCATAGTCTTCTTGGAGGACCTGCGGCCGTGATGACGACACCAGATGGCCACTGTGAGGGCCAGGAGGAGGGTGATGGCCGAGGCGCCGGCGGCGATGATGGCGACGGTGGATGTGGGCATCCCGGAATCTACAGCTGGTTGAGGAATCAATAATGTAAGAGCTTGAGTTAGTGGCTGTATTCTCTAAACGTGGTTGGGTATGAACACAGACAAATACGATTGAGAATTTATTGTAAATAAATGGTTCTAAATTACTGTAAAAAATATGCAAATAAACAGCAAAGGGAAACTGACTAGGTGCATGGGTTTATGTCTTCTGACTAGCGCCCATTGAACAAAAGATCTTGAAAATGGGGAACCGCCAACATAGTGTTGGATAGCCGAGTTGGTAGAGCACCGAAACGGCAATCCCGAGGTCGCAAGTTCAAACCCCGCTCCAGTCGATACCTTTGTTCAACTTTAAAATAACTGTAGAAATAAGTTTGTCGATATTCAGAAGAAAACAAATGAAGAAAAATCAAAGCAAATTTACTAACGTTGCATCTCAATACGTTACCTGTGATTTTTGGACCCTTGGGCCAAGGCACTCCTTCCACATAAAATTTGACGTTACTTGTTCATCCTAAAGTTCTATTGACATTAACTAAAACTGAGTTGCCTTTACATAGGGAGTGACTGATGATAACTAAATACCTCATGATTTCTATAAGACTGATTGGGATCAATTTATCAATCTTCCAGGATCAAGACGATGGTACTTACGTCCTGCAGTGACCTTCTGATTGGGATCAATTTATCAATTTTCCAGGACCAAGACGATGGTACTTACGTCCTGCAGTGACCTTCTTCACGGTCACTTTCTCAGAGCTGCTGGTTGGTGGCGCCTTTGTGATTGGTCTCGGACCATGGTAGATCACATCGGTGATGTTGATGGGCAAGGAACCATCGGAGATGCCGGTATACCGACTCAGCCGTTCATACAGCGTCAAAGCCAGAGCATCCGCGGGCGTCATGCCGTCTTGGGAAACGGGGACAGAAGGGCCGGTGGCGGGGGAACCACTCTCCTAAATACGAGGTTGGGGGAAATTGTTGTCAAATTAAGACTGGAGAATTGATTTGAAAGTGACAGTTCCTATTCTATCTTCGAGCTTAGTTATTCAACACAGAGCATCTTGGGAGGATAACCTTGGAGGACTTGTGGCAAAGACGACTCAGACCCATGTGGCATGAGCGTGAGCAGGACAGTGGATCAACCTGCCTTAACCCTAACAACCCTCAACCCATCAAACCCCAATGGTACGTTTTGTTGGAATCTGTCAGGATGGGTACAGTACCCCTAAAACTGACAGTCTTTTACATTGGGTTGGCACACCTCCAGAATCTGCGTCAGAAATATGTGTGTGCAGTTTCCCATATGGTGCTGGAATTTGCCAGGATGGGTATGGTTAAACCAAATAAGCATGTTAGCACTATTTTGTGTAGCAGTAACAAAAGAAAGGTAAAACAGGTGTGTAATAGGCAATGCAGACTTTTACTTTTGGATGCACAGTAAGCATTGAGTATTCGTTTTCTTGAAGATTATTTCTTTGAAACCCACCATGACCCAATACTTTATGTCCATGCCTCATGAATAGCACTGAGACTTACAAAAAGTATTAAATTTAACTCGTTGAGTGGTGTTGCGCGGGACAGGCAAGTGAACAAAATGCATTATAGAAGAGTTCCCAAGAAATTCCAGGTTATTTTTCAATTAAACTGCCTTTCAGGGGAGTGAGGATACCATTTTTCAAGTGAGGTGAACGTAATACTTGGGAATTGTTACATTTAAAAAGAAGGTTTTTTTTCTGACTGACCAGGTAGATATCCAACAGCACGGTCTCATCCGAGGCCGCCCGCTTCCTGCGTGCATCGCGACGCACGGCGCATTCAAAGACAAAGCACTCAGCGACGGACAGAACCTCTGCAGCGGCAATCAGGCTGTCACAGATGGTTGATACAGTGGTGCCCTGCAACAGGTCCAAAAACATACATAAGAATTAGCTTGTGTATTACATTGTATCACATTGTATCACATTGTATTGCACTGTGTTACATTGTATCACATTGTATCACATTGTATTACATTGTATTACATTGTATTACATTGTATTACATTGTATCACATTGTATCACATTGTATGGCATTGTGTTACATTGTATCACATTGTATCCCATTGCATTACATTGTATCACATTGTATCAAGAAATTGGGCCGTGTACACCTTCATTTTTCTGAACATGATTAGATGGATTTAGTAGACGTACCGGCGCAATGGAGATGAGATCAGTAGAGATAGTGAGTATGGCACAGTGGGGGTTCACGTCGCAGTTGGCGTAGATGGTACCCACATCACAGTACATGCCGTCACAAGGCTCAGCCATACACAGAGGCACTTGGTCAGGTGACACGCAGGTGGAGCCCGATGGGCAGTCACTGCTAGCGTCACAGCTGATTGGCTGAGAGGCATTCTAAAGAAAACAAAAAAGAAGCAAATCATTTGCGATTCTCCTGAGAATTGACAAGTATGATTGATAAAGAGAATGATTGATAAAGAGAGCGGTCACATGACATACCAGAGAGCGGTCACATGACAAATGAAAGAGAGTGGTCACATGCCTTTACCAAAAAGAACAAACACATTCTAAAGACAGCGATCACATGACAAAGACTAAACAGAGCAGTCATATGACATATCAAAGACAGTGGTCACATGACAAATTAAAGAGAGTGGTCACATGCCTTTACCAAAGAGAACAAACACATACTAAAGACAGCGATCACATGACACAGACTAAACAGAGCAGTCACATGACATACCAAAGCGAGCAGCATGACATACTAAAGAGAGTGGTCACATGACATATACTAAACAGAGCAGTCACATGACATACCAAAGCGAGCATGACATACTAAAGAGAGTGGTCACATGACATACCAATGAGCATGTGATGACAGCTCCAGCCGCACACTGACACTCGTCACATTTGCCGTAATCCCAGGTGGTGTCGCTGAGTCTGGTCTCCGAACCGTCCCAACATACGGGTGAACCTTGCAGGACTTCAAAGACTAGAGAGAGAAAAACATGGACCACAAATCCACCATGTGTATTACATTGTATTACACTGTATCACATTGTACTTATTCCCTGATGATTCTATAACATACATACAGCGCTTGGACAATAAGACCAGTAAAATAAGACCAGTAAGCATAACACAATGGATAGTTAATACAAAAAATGTTGCATCACGCATGGAAGTCACTCACAAGTCATTTTGCATTTCGGTATTACACTCAACAATTTTGCCTGAATCCTACACTACAAGTGTTGGAGGCTTCTGGGTGCATATAATGCATTATGTTACAAAAAAACATACTGACTGACGTTATTTGAATACAAGTGCTTATCAGTCGTCCCTCAATTAACCCTTTGAAAGACTGTTAATTTCCCTCTGGCTTAAGGCTCGACTTCAAGTGAAAGTGAAGTAAATTCCATGGTTTCAACTATGAAAGTTTCATTTTAATGTTTGCCGTTACCCTAACAAATTTGCTTGGCAGTGAAATCTGTGCATGAGTTTAAAGTATGAAGCTTTAAGCATAAGGATATGGAACCAACATGATGTTAAATGCAATTCCTCAGGAAACAATAACGTCCCAACACAAATGTGTAAAATTCAAGCTATGAAATGGGCCCAGTCTTCAGTCTGAAAACAGGAATTTCAGATTGCCACTGAGGCCGAGAGCCTCGGTCCCCATTCATACAATTGCTTAGTAGCTTTGGTTTCAGTGCTAGTTTGGGATTTGTCTATTGCTACTACTCTTAGTTCTACGCCATCTTGGATCTAATGAATATCTTAAACTAACCCACCTGCTTCCAACTCGGCATGCCATCCCCGCCCGTCCACTTGATCGTCACTCTCAAAGTACATCCAGGCTGCGTCTCCCTCGACGTAAATGGGCCCAGGCGTCGTGTAGCCGTTCAGCTGATAGATGACCCCAGGTACGGTCACCAGCGGGCCCTGGTTCAGACCCAGCGGGTACTGGAAGCCAGGACCAATGTACAAGAAGTCCCTGTCTGACTCCACTTCAAACGTTGGATCAAAGGTGACGCGGAAGTATTTTGCGCCCGGCACCCACACCTGGTAGAAAGCCTTGTGGGAGTTGGGGTAGCGCTCAGGGTAGTTGAGCGATTCGAACCAGGTGGTGCCGCAGCTTTCGCCGTAACATGCAAAACGGTTGTTATAATCTACAACAACAAAAAAGTAAAAGAGATTGAAAGCTCTTTTCATGCCACCTATTTTTTATTTTCCACATACTGGCCGAGTCCAAATGACCGAGCGTGAGAGATCAACAAAACTTTTTTACCTCATGCAGGATGATAATGAAAAGTGGAGTGAAACATCTGGTTTACATAACTACGGTGAAAAAAAAATTTGTGATCTGAGTAAAAAAATTTGCTCAAGAGCAGGATGCATCACAAGACATTTTAGCTAGTGACTCATTTTAGCTGGTGACTCATTTTAGCTGGTGACTCATTTTAGCTGGAGACTCATTTTAGCTGGGGACTCAATTTAGCTAGTGACTCATTTTAGCTAGTGACTCATTTTAGCTGGGGACTCATTTTAGCTGGTGACTCATTTTAGCTAGTGACTCATTTTAGCTAGTGACTCAATTTAGCTGGTGACTCATTTTAGCTAGTGACTCATTTTAGCTAGTGACTCATTTTAGCTAGTGACTCATTTTAGCTGGTGGCTCATTTTAGCTGGTGACTCATTTTAGCTGGTGACTCATTTTAGCTGGTGACTCATTTTAGCTGGTGACTCATTTTAGCTGGTGACTCGTTTTAGCTAGTGACTCATTTTAGCTAGTGGCTCAAATACTTTCTGTGTTTGGTAAATTTCTGAGCATAACTTCTTCTCGGCAAATATCCAAAGTATGTCAGCTGTACCTGCTGGGACGTTGCAGTCCTTGCCCATCATTAAGTTGTCGAGGCACTCACACACATAGTCGGAGTCACCATCCAGTCTCCTCAGGCACTGTGTGCCGGCGGCGCAAGGATCATTGGCACACTCTGAGAACAAGAACAAATACATCCACCTGTTCAGTTACCTTACACACAATAATGGGCTCCGTGCACAAGTACCCCCTCAACGGCAAGGAAGGGAGAGTTGGGGGAGACCACTGGGAGAGACATTTGAAAGCATTGCCGATGAGGCCTGACGCTCACGCGAAGACACCATGTATTGCTTTAGTATGTGTACACTTACAATATTAGTGGTGTGTTGGCGCTATACGCGTGTGAGCCAGAACACGCATGTGGTGTGTGTCCTGTCCACCGGGCTTTCGAAACTGGTAAACAAAAAAGGGGCCCTCTCTTATTCGCGTTCTAAACAGTTCCTTAAAAAGCCGTTGAAATGGGAATATACCTATTACAGGATTTGAAGTCTCACCTTGTGTATCATAATGAGATGATCTTTCACAGAAAATTGCTGCATTGATCACTGACACAGTATTATGAGCACAGTTTTCCAGTGCCGCCAGAGCTTTTGAAAGAAGTTCACGAGCTTACTCGGGTGGGACTCGAACCCACGCCCTTCTGTTTACTAGTTCTGACTCAAATTACCTTCAAAGACACAATTCTGACCATCGCCGACGAAACCTTCATCACAGACACACTTTTGGATGCCGTGAACGAATTCGCAGGTAGCGTTTTCATGGCATGTAGACGGCACACAAACAACATCGCCAAATGCATCGGGGCAGGTACATCGCATGGTGCAGGTGTCGGTGTAGTAGGCATCATTCAGCTACGGGATCAGAGGAATTAAGAATGCAACGTTAACCTTCTGTCTTAAAGGAAACTTGCAGTTGAAATTCAGCTCATCGTGTTTTCATGCACATTACTTCGTGTTGCAACAATGCATAAAAGATCTTAATACTTAGAAGTGACAAGAAAGTGGTAGTTTTTCAATTATTAGCAAATCCTTTCATCAATACCAGTAAGAGGGCGCTATTTTGCTTTTGTCACACAAGGCACTCCTTGTATGCATGTGAACAATACAAAATATTCTGTCAAAAGTGCATAATTAACAGTACAAAAGTAAGTCCTTCAAAATGACCCACAAAACAGTTTTGAAGAAATATTGGCCACTGCTATTGTCCAAACAAGCTGTGTAACATGATAAACAAGTAAAAAGTGGAACTTACTCCAAGAAGAAATGAAGAAAACTAAGATTATATATTTGTACACAAAGCTATGGAGACACTACTGTTCTGCCTTGGATGACATCACTATTTGGCTCATGAATATGGACATTTTCATAAGCATAAAACTTAAATGTTGAAATTTCTCCCTTTCACTGCTACAAAGAAGGTGGAGAGTCATAGATACATGGCAAGAAAGCCGTTGTAAAATGTATTTAAGTCCTAAAAATCCTATTGCCTGTTTCCTTTAAGTGTTTCACAAATACGCTATCTAATAACAAGGGAATAACAGCGTGAGGAACCAAGGGCGGATCCAGAACACAATTTTTTTGGGGGGAGCCAAAAAAAAAATTTGTTCCTTTCAAAAAGTGGGTCAAAAAAATTACGGCGTGGGGTTCGGGCCCGCTTAAGGGCCCCGAAATTTTTTTGGATTCTAGATGCTCTGTGGTGCGATCTGTGGCAATTTCTGACCACTTTAACCAATGTTTTTTTGAGGAAAAGATGGTGGTGTACTCATTGCCTGCCTTTATTGCGATGTCACATAAAAAATGAAAAAAATGGTTTCGTTTTGGGGCCCCTTTGGCCCCCCCCCCCCTCTGGATCCGCCCTTGTGAGGAACCAGTCTTCACGGCGTGATAATGACCGTGTTGGGGCATGGCCGCTGTTAATAACGGACAGACCCAAACCACTACATGCCATGAGGTCACGATACAAGTAAACTGACAGCAGTGTTCAACGGTTGGTAAGGTAAAGATGAAGAGTCGTACTTTGAGGTACTTGTTTCCGCTATCATACAGACAACCGCACTGACTTCGGGGGACACACTCGTCACCATCCTGGTAGTAGCCTTGCCTGCATTGGCATCCTTCAGCACAGCGCATAAAGCAGCTACCCACGTCTCCATTGGGATCCCTGCAGGTCAGTGGGCAGGGTTCGGCACACAGGGAGTACTCAGAATTCCTCGGGCAAACTTGGGCTGTGTGAGACAAGAGAGAGTGCTGCTAGACAAACAAAAAAGTCTTCACTTTCTAGTATGGAGCTTGCCCCAAAAGTGGTGCGGCGACACAGCTTTTTTTTTTTTTTTACTTTTTTTTTTTCTTCAAATGTCGGCTGATGACTGCAAATGGTGCCCAACTAAATTTAGTGCAAAATATATGGGAGCCAAGAGAGGCCACATAAAGCTTATACTCGATCGTAACCCCATTAAAAACACCTTAAAATTGTGCAGCAGCAGGATTCCAGTCAAACCAGTGAGTTTGGCGGTTTTGAGACATCATCTTACATTGAAAAAAAAAATGGCTACAGCAACGCGCGCATACCAGAAACCGGAGACTTATTATTTTTTTTTAATTTTATTTGTTTGGGGGGGGGGGGCAGTTTGGATATCACCCAAAACACAAGATCGGGACCACTCAAAAGTGTAGAATATGATCAAGAAAATATAACTAAACATTTGTGCATTGATGTCTACGTTGGCTTGAAATGCAGTTTGAAAACAGGTTATTCTACATTTTAATAAAAAAATGCATCAACATATATTGAGAAAAATACTGAAACAACAACATATTGCGCATCAAAATACTTAGATAAAAATTCCAAAATAGTGATATGAGACAAGCTAAGATAAAAGCTGGTCAATGGAACTAATACACAACATGTTTGCGTAGAACCCAATTTAGATGAAAACGTGGCCCCTTTTTAATTGACGTAACATTTAGCGATAAGTCTCTACAACAGATACAATGATTGCAACAGGCTAAACCAAGACTTGATGTGTTGAATCTGTGATCGTTTTGACTGGCATCTGAGTTCCCTAGGACTTACGGCATACGCTTGCACTTCTCCATTCACTGATGGTGTGGCCCAGATCTTGGCAGAGTTGTGCATAGGTGGCAATGACTCCGCATGCAATGGGCACAGCTAGGTTAGCGTTGGCCTCGACTATAGCACAGACGTCATATCTGCATGCCGTGTGGAAACTTGGAGCAAACTCGGTACAGCCTTGGAAGGGGAAAGCATCTAGGGGAACAAAGTCAAACAGGAAAAAAAAAAAAAAGTTTTCAACAAAACCACAAAGGGCAACTGACTAGGTGCCATACAGCTATATTAAATTACTAGAGTGCTAACCCGATGTACAAAGTAATGCCTGATGGGCGCATCCATGTTTGTGCACAAACCTACGGAAAACTCGACATTTTGTACGGCTTTTGTACGGCTATTTGCATATCTGTGTTTGTATTCCATACCGGTGCGTCATCGAAGGCGATACGCCCAAAACCGAAACGCACGATCAGCAAATGAGCGTTTCATTTTGCTCTACGCAAGCAGCGCAACGTGTGCGCGTCCCTCCGCTGCAGATGCTTTTCGCCGTGACGTTTTTTGAACCGTCATGACGCGCTTAAGTTATTTGCGTATCTTCTACTTCCGCGTTGCATTTAGAGCACACTTTAAAAAATCAATCCATCTATTTTGATTGTGTTCTACAAACACGCACATAAATTCAAAATGTCTGCGCCCAGAGCGGCTTCAAAGCGTCTTCGCGCGCAAGAATGAAGAGTTAGCGCTCTAGTAATTTAATATAGCTCTATGCTAGGTGCATTGTAATAATGGGTGGTGTTTACTTAGCACCTCTTGAACACAGACACTGACAAATGAGGGGACCGCCAACATAGGGCTTGATAGCTCAGTTGGTAAGAGCACCGGAACAGCAATAGGTTCAAACCCCGCTCCATTCAATTTCTTTGTTCAACTTAAAAAAAGAAAAAAGAAGAAGAATGAGTTTAGATACCAGTAAATTTCTGACTTCTTAGGGGTAATGGTATTTCATTGAGCAGGGCCCAATTGCACAATATTGCTGAGTAGGAATACTCCTGGGCAACTTAACCCTAATTCCTTAAGAACTTTTACTAGAAAGTATCCTGAATCTGCCAAAATCCACCAGTTTTGTCTGCAAAAAAAATCTTGGTGTCCTGAGTCCATCAGAATCCACGAGTGAGTCCATCAGAATCCACCAGTGTAGTACATATACCTTGTACACATAGCCAAGGAGTTGAACTGTTGAGATCCTGAATCCATCAAAGTCCCCCAACTGCTCAATAACGAGTTGTCCTGATTCCATCAAAATCATGCAGCACCGCTAGGCCTGCTGTCCTGAATCAAAATCCCTCCACTTTCCAATATGGAGTTATCCTGAATCCACCAAAATCCTCACAAGCTGCAGGACATTTTTAGCTGGTAATTGGTTACTTCCTTGGTATTTGTACCAGGCCCAGGGCCCAATTTCATAGCGCTGCTTAACAGCCGACTTTGTGCTTACCGAGCCTCCATGTATTTCATAGGGACCGTTAAGCAGTATAAAGCACGCTTAACCCCAGAAGAAAACTTTGCTTAAATCAGTGACGTAACAATAGAAATCACCATGCGCGCGCAACTGTTAGCATGAAATAGTGCTTAAGCAGCAGCATGATTTTCTGCTATAGTAAGCACATCTTTTCTGCTTACTGTTAAGCAGTGCTATGAAATTGGGCCCAGTTTCTTGGCTCTGCTTAATTACGGTACCATGGACAATACAAAAAATCCCGCTTGCTGTAGCAGAAACTGTTGTGCTCACGGCAAGCGTATTTCAAAGGTCAGCAAGGAATTTGGGCTTGTGCTCATGCGTACACGTCCCATAATTAAGGATTCTGTGCTTATAGGGTTAGCAGAATATGCTTCTGCTAGTGCCGTAAGCACAGAATGGTGATCATAAGCGCGGAACTCTGCGATAAGCAGAGCCATGAATCATAGATCTGCTTAACCACAAAATTTGCTTAAGCACACAAAACCTTGCTTTTTTTTATAATCAGTTTACTGGCCCAAACTCACATTGCTTGTGACTGGTATTTAGCTGTTGTTTACTTTCCATATCAATCGCATGGAGTTCTGGCCGTTAACCTTATTGTATTAAGCAATTTTTGTTTGTGCTTAAGCAAATTTTGTGCTTTAGCAGCTTTATGAAATTGGCCCCTGTGCTAAGCAAGGTTTTATGCTTCCCAAGCTCCATGGAATCGACCCCAGTTTGCAATGGCCATTTTGACTGACAGTGTTTATCATGTGAATGGGTTATGGATGACTTACCGTGGTTCATATCTAATGGTTGGCACGCTGCATCAGCAAACTCCCCATTACCAAACGGTGAAGCACTAGCACACAGATGAGATTGATTCACTGCATTTTGGGGACAGGGCATTTGGTCGACCATCTGACTATTCCCAAAATTGTGCGGGGAATTATCCTGTAGGGTAGCAGCAACAATAAATATAGAAATCTCACGAAAACAGTGTCTTGTACATCTCAATTCTCTGAAGCCCCACCCCTCCCCCATACAAATTAGAATAGCCCCTCCCCTTCCTACGTCTGCAAAAAGTACGGTCCAAAAATACTGATTTACAGATGCTTGAGTACATTGGGTACCATTTAGTAGCCACTGCTAGATATGCTTTATGTGAAAAAGGGTTGGCCACAACCTATATGATTTTTGTATCAGACCCTGCACCAAAATGAAAATATTTCATGCACCCCTCCTCCTTCCCAACAAACAAACAAAAAATCCTGCGCTGCATCTAAGCCCAAAAAACATTAAATCATCAATGAGGTATCCTAAATAACAAATGCAGCAACAAAATCTTGAAGGTTGTTAAATTTCCTTCCAATGGTGCAACTGTATAACATACAAAATAAAGGTCATTTTTGTTCAAACTGAATGATTTTAATAAAAAAAGCGAAATAATTCAAATTTACTGTTAGCTTGTTCAATATATTCATAAAATCAAATTAATTGAGACAAAAGCGTAAATAACCCTACCGTTGAAGGGTTTCCATCGTCAAGGTCATCTGTGTCGTCTCCGTTGGCATTGCCACACAGACCATTGTAAGAAATGGGTCCCTGAGGGTTGAGCAGATCGATGTCCGCACTGTGTCTACCGTCCCATTTCAGATCCAACACATCCCGCATTTTCACGACCTACACAGACAACAAGGCGGGCTTATAAGTGATGGATTGTCAGCTGCAATAAGACTCTGACCCATTTTTTTGTTCTCCACTGTCAGCAGTAAGCCCAGGCCTGTCGCCAAGGGGGGGGGGGGAGGGAGGGCTGGTGTGGCCTGGCCCGCCTCGGCGAGCAATTGGCCCCCAATGGCCAAAGCCATACATATGTAATTTTTATGGTAGTGGGCGTCCCTCATTGGTAGTATGCCCCCCCCCTCCACCCCCTGATGCTCGGGGCTGACGCCAGCACTCAGTAAGTCTCGTCAGGCTTAATGAAGGTGACATCAGCTACACTCTGTGACTTGCATAATACATTTTCATACCAACGTCATGGCACTATTTTGACAAAACATCCCGAATGCGTAGCCTTATAGAGTTGGCCACCACTGTGTACATCATATACAATGTTTTTCATATAAACACTGCCCTGCTTTTTCATATAAATATTCAATGAATTCCTGAATTCCTATTAAGAGAGTGATAGCACTTCCTAAGAAATTAAGGAATTTAAAGCATGTAAGTGAACCAGTGTTAAAACGTGATGTTTCCCTGCTAAAAATCCCATTACAACAGGCGACGAAGTATCAACAGAGGAGTGGCCCATTTAACGTAGTATATATTGTTTCAATGGTTACATTAACATTTAATCTACCAGGCCATTTTAAAATTTAACATACCCAAACCCAACCCCCCCCCCCCCCCCCCCCGAAAAAAAAAGACGAAGAAAATATACTCACAATGTAATTGCCAACTTGGCGAACCACCAGCGGTTGAAGCCCTGAAGTGGCAGAAAACGGCGGAGTCTGAAGCAAACCGTTTACCAAGACACCCACATCTGGCACCAACTTGATCTCCTAAAAACCCAAGAAAAGGAAGAAAACAATTGTAGTCCTGGTTAAAAGGAACCAATATCACACAATCTACAAAAAAAACAAAACAAAAAAAACACCAAAAAAAAAAACGTTGATTGCCAATTCCTTCTCTTGACATTTTGCCAGTTTATTATAAAATAACTTCTTCGAGAATAGACTCCACAATTTGTTTTCCAATTCATTTGTAACAACCTTATGTTGTCTTAAACATCACGCAACAACCCGTTTCTTATCAACCCTTACCCAGGTGTTCCTGCACCTTGAGGACAACAACATTCCATGATTTTTTTCATGACCATATTATCAAAAAAAATCACGAAAATCAATGAAAACGACATCCATCCATTTGTAACATTTCATCCAATCAACTATAAACCTGCCGCAACTGCATGTACATACCCTGCCGCCATAAATTATGATCAACTCCTTCATCGCGGTGTACAAAGTGTTGGCCACTCTCTGATTGACTTGGATCACTGAAACCACAGCTTCATTAGTATCCACAACGAGCCCGTAGGAGCACTCGCCCATGAAGTCATAAAAGACACCGTCAAAGGTGAGATAGTGGGGGTCCCCATAGGTCAAGCAGTACCTAGTCTCTGTCAAATAAAAACAAGTCAAACACCCTCAGTTTAGTGACAAGGCTGATATTGATGATGTACCCTAACGTGGCACGGCCCCCAACGTGGTGCACTTTGATTTTTCACCTGTAGCGCCTACCTAGAGCAAAAGTTTTAACTGAAATTTCACGGAAAGTGAAATTTCATCAAGTTCTAAACACTCCTGTTCATAAATCGCGAGTTAATTTACCCGTAACAAAGTCAGAAGAAAAAATTATTTTGGCGCAATTTTTAGATTTTATTTTCCAGTGCAAAGTGAAGCCTTGGAAAATGCCGCGAAAAATAAGAAAATAATTTTCTGACAAACATCTAGCTAGGTATGTAAGTAGAGATAATAATTATTTATCAGAATTTATCAAGTTTACAGAAATTCTTAAATGTTAATTTGGAAATTTCCGAGATTTATTCAAGTGCGCCATGTTAGGAAACACTCCGCCAATTTGTTCCAGACGCCACCGTTTTTGAATTTCGGATTAAATTTTATGAAACCGAAATTGTTCACAGACGTCAAATAGCAAGCATTAATAAGGTAAAAGTACTAATATTTTACTGCATGAATTTGAGGTTTGTCAACAAAGAGGTTTGGCAACACTACATGAGGAAAGTCGGGTAAGCTTCAAAGTGCGCCACATTAGGGAACGCGACTATAGAGTAAACACATCTCGTCGACCCAATGAACTAAAAATAGAACACATTCCAATGCAACAAGTACAGCAGAATCTAGTCACCATTTTAAACAGGTTTTAATAGCCACCAACAGTTGCAATTCATAGCAGTCATGATCAACACAAGTCAACTCATATCACTAAGTCCTTGTAACTTTTCACTTTAAAAATTTACTCCTTGATTTGTAAAATTGACAGTGAATTTCTTTTTATAATTTCATTATTTGTTATATATCCTTGGGAATTTTTGTTGAATGCGAATTTTGTCAATGCACCAACAACTGTTATTGATGTAACAATACTTCTTTCATGAGAAGGGGGAGGGGGCTGCTACATGTGATAACCCCTTTATGGGCTCCGTGCGCGAACAAAAAAGGGCGCCCTTTTACCTAGCAAAGACGTCCCATGGGCGGGACATTTAGCTGGTTGACGCGCACCATTCCTTGTGTGTGACGCACGTACACCAGGGGAATTGTACTATGTGCACGCAGTGGCATGGTACCTATGGCCGTGCGTCGCGGCAAAATTGCAGTCAGGCAAGATGGCGTCGGTCGGCACCCCCAACTGTACTTTCTTTGCCGGTGAGGGGGTACTTGTGAACGGAGCGGATAGTGTTTCATTTCAAAAAAGGTCACAGTGATTTTTTAAAGTTCTAGACACTTCAAACTTTTACCAACCAAGTATTGGCTTATAGGCACCTCCACAATTTAACGAGACCTGAGTGTTTGAGCCAAAGTCCCCACCTTGGATGAATCCCCTCCCAACCCTGGGATATTTAAGCGCAGATGTGTTGTTTGCCAGATCCACATCCAGGAGTCGAATGTCACGTGATGTGAGTTCTACCACTTGCTCAGTAACATCACTTACAACACAACTAAGGGGCCATTCAGAGCAGTCAATGTTAAAAAATTCCGATCTTTTTTCGAAATTGTGGGTGGGTGGCTTAAAGGAAATAACTGAAAATCGAAAGTTAATTTTCAATTAAAGTAACAGAAAAAAATAATACAAGAAGAAAAAAAAAGAAAACCCAAAAATACCCAGCGGCCTCTTCGAGATCGTCTGTCATGTCTGTGCTGTTCCGTTGTCAACATTCAAGAGGAAAAAAACCGAATAACCGCAAATGGATATAATTACCTTGGGTGCAGGTATCTCCAGACCAGCCTCGGGCACACACACAGACGAAGCTTATGCCAGACAAGTGGCACGTTCCACCGTTCAAACATGGACTGGTGTCACACTGATTTGCTGCATTGCAAAAGAAGAAAGAACAAAACAAGGCAATTAGATTTCTTGAACTGACTGAAATGTTACATTGAAAAACCAAACTTGCTTTAAAACAATACTTCAGAATTGTACAATTCAGAAATAACATTTAATGAAATTGCTCCATTTTTTTTTTTAGCCAGTTCGCGCCGGGATTATTTTGACATGAGCGGACCCAGGCGCAGGATTGTTTTCACAAACCTCGATGCCAGATGGGTCATCTGCGGGTAGTAGGCGGGCCTCGTTCATTGCGTATTTATCCGTCATCTGTTCCGAATACCGCAAACCCTTTGCGTGTATAAATGCCATCTGACGTGAACTGGTTAAAAAAATGACTTTCCCCCTTCCACCAAAGTGTGGGCCGATTCTACTAGCGAATACTTACCGTACGGGTAAGTAGAGCGCAGTAGAATAACCATGTTAAAGGTTTAGTCCATCATTTGTAATTTGTGCATTTTGTTCGTTTGAAGCAACAAAAGTGCTCAAGATCTAAAGAAGGGTGCTGAACAGCTAACCTGATGAAGTTTCAGCTCAGCTTCAGCTGTTTATTTGAGAAAAACAACATTCTAGGATCTCGATTTCAAATCAAAAGTTTCTTGAATCATGTTTCGAATTGGCCTGAATTCAGCGTCTGAGGTATGTTCTCACTGAGCCGCTTGCAGCTACGCGATGTCGCGCACTGATTCGACGAATTATAGCAACCGCGCGCGCATGTGCGTCGTGCCAATGCTTGCGCACGCTTCGCTGAATAACAAAACGAACTAATAATTTTAATTTCCTATGGTGCTAGCACCGTTGGAAAGGCCTTCTTTTGTTGATTTCTTCAAAATGACAGCTTGCCAGAAAGAATAATTTCACAGGGAGTTTAGTCCCCTTACTATCTTTCAACCAAGTATGTTTTTCAACAATAATTATGCCAGTTACTTTTTGGATAGCTGCAAATGATGGACTCTGGCTTTAAAAGAATGTAATGTACTCACGGTTACATTGCAGTCCATCTCCGACCAAATCGCCAGTGCATACGCAACGCTGGACCCCATCAACTACCAGACACTCAGCATTCTCATTACAGGTGACGTTCATACACGTCAGTGTTCCGTCCGCTCCGCACTCACAGGACTGATCACATCCCTCGGTCATGTAGATATAGCCGACCTAAAGGCAGGAGAGAGACAGAAACACAGACCGTACTCAGCAGGAAACCATTCTCAATCATGTTCCCTGAATCTACTTAACAAATTGTAAACTGTTAAAGGGATATGTAAACACCGGCAATCGATCACCTAGGACGAAACGGTTAGGGCACAAACAATACGTCCACGATTAACCAAACGTCCACGATTGAAATTTGTGTACAAAACCAATGAGAGCTGTTGCTAAAAAGTTAAAGAGTAGAAACAAGGAATGAGGACTAGGGACAAGACGGGGTCCACGATTGCGGGTGTGTCCGAAGATGTGCATGAGTTTGTTTCTGCATTCAATAGGGGACGTTGAACAATAGAGGACAATAGATTCCAAATTCCCGAGAGGTCCCCAATTTGGATTCGTGTACAAAACATATGAGAGGTCTTCCTAAACAATTAAAGTACAAACAAACGAGGGGCAATAGGGGATCCCCGATTGCAGGCAAATACACACTTGTGTGTGTGTAGGGGGGGGGGGGGGGGGTGACACTTATCTTCCTATAGGTTGCTCTTTTCAAAGTTAACAATCATGTAATAAGCATTATCGGACAATAGATGGTACTCTTCATCCAATCACATTTGCCGATGACCAATTAATTTTGCCCACAGGACAATTTTGCAGACAAAAACAAACACTGGTGTGACACCCCCCATCCCTCTAGCGACGCCCGTGATTGCGCCTGTGAAAAGCCCCTTGTCGAATCATGTGATGATCACCTACCGGTACGACTGCCAGTTCCGATATCTCATGAGGTATAAGGCAACCGCACTCGTCTTCAGGCACACAGCGGTCGTTGCTCAGGTAATACCCCTCGTCACACTCACAGCCGTCGTTGCAGTACGTGACGCAGCGTCTGGGGTCCTCGTACACCCGCTCCCCGAGGCAGGACGCGGGACAAGACCCGATGCAGGAGGAGAAATGAGAATGCTCGGGGCATTCGGAGACTAGAGGAATGGAAGACGGAAGAAGAATGAGAAGAAACAAGGGAAGGAGATGTTATGAGGCTTTTGTCCTGGGTACTCGGTGAGTGATAAATCGTGGTCTCACCATCCTTCCTGGAAGATGTGATGGTTACACGATAGTTGCAATTGTCAAGTCTCCCATAACAGAATGTCAGTGTTACAAATGGGGTCCACAAAAGATTGTTCATTAAAACGACTGTTCGTTATGGCAATTGTTTGTTTTTTTGGCCAATGATTTGTTTTCGAAAGCCCTGCATGAGGTAACTGATATGCAACGCAGTGTATAAGAGGTAATTTATAAGCAACGCAGTGTATATGATGTGATTTATAAGCAACGCAGGGTACAATAAGTAAATGGTTATTTTTATAGACTGAACACATGGACGTTCTAGACCAATAAAATTACAGTATTTAAGACACAATATAAAAAATACTGGTTATCAATAGCCATGCTCGTGACAACATTTGACATTCGACTAGGGACGTTTGAATTTGTAAATGCATTCTGATACTGAACCCATCGTAAATGATTCTACAGTCAATCACCACATAGGTTTGTTAGGATTAACCTGTTTGCAACTGTGCTACTTTGTATAACACTGTGTTTATTCACTGATGACGTCATAAAAGCATAGAGTGCTCAGGTGTTACAGAAAGCGAAAGGCAGGGCGGTTTGGGGCGGTACAGTTACCAATGGGCTAAGCTGCACATTTGGATCGAAAACTACTTTGCTGATAAACATGTAGGCACTCAGACACAATACATTCCATAACAAAGACAATAAACCTATGATTTACTTATTGTGTAGTATCAAGATGATTCTTGCATAATTTCCTCTACACAGAATTATTTATATTTTTTTTTATTGATTCTGGTTTATTACCAAACAAAGTGTTTCAAGCAGAATTAAGGAGAAATTTTACAACTACATGTATAAACAAATATGTGTAATGGTACCATTAAGGATACACGGTATCGTAATTTCTTCGCACGATGGGAGACATCGGTCATTTGACATATTCAAGTCTCCCTAATGTCACAGCCCCCCTTTAGAGGCACAATTTTATTGTCGCAATTAGATTATATTTGTTGCTTGTGGTCTAATTAGTAAACATACCAACATTCGTGGAAAAAGGACAAGGGAATATTGGGTTAGGGGACATTGAAGTTTGAAAAATTGCACAAGTCTATGGGGATGTCTCCCAAATGTCCAATCCTGGGTAATCTATATTTGGACAATTATTATTATTAATTATTAATAATTATCAGGACAATATTAATGTGATACTTACAGCAGTTTCGCTCCATTCTCCACTGGTGTCCCACATCCACGCCTGCGTTGATGCAGCGCTGGGCGTAGTCTTGTATGTGTGCGCAGCGCGCCGAGGTATCAGGCAGGGACTTACATACATCAAAGTGGCATTTGTCATAGAAAGGTTGGAAGGGAATGACATCGTGACAAGCGGCCAGGGAACCTGTGTAAAAAAACAGAGCGTGACCAGAAAAAGTAACGTAATTGCAACAGTTGACAACTTTTTTAATGCATATTTGCCCTGAACATAGACATGCAACTGGGAATTTAGAAGAGAAAAAAACGAGGAAATTCCAAACCACACAAGACTTCATACAGTGTTTTTCAATTTGTAATGGCATTCATGAGAAGTAAAAAACGAGGAAATCAGCGGATCCGAGGAAAAGATGCATGTCTGTGAACAATGCTAAAAGCCACTCCAGGTACAGGGCTACAAGCAAAATGAACGGAAGAGTAGGTACTCAGGAAAACTGGAGGAAGGAATTAACATTCCTCTTGAAACAAGACAGATCATAGGTTGGAGGGAAGCAAACACCAGGCAAGGAATTCCAAAGAGATGCAGCACGTGGAAGACAACCTATTGGAATATCTTTTTGTCTACAACTAGGTACTGCAACAGTATGGGCTCCATGCGCTGACAAAAGAGGGCGCCCTTTTACCTTGCAACGACGTCCCATGGGCGGGACATTTCACTGGTTGACGCGCGCCGTTCCTTGTGTGTGACGCACGTACACCAGGGGATTTGTACTATGTACACACAGTGGCCGCGCTTCGCGGCAAATGAATTGCAGTCAGGCAAGATGGCGTCGGTCGGTCACCCCCAACTGTACTCTCTTTGCCGGTGAGGGGGTACTTGTGAACGGAGCGGATAATGATGAGAAGGGGCAGAAAGCCGAGTTTCTCTATCAAACACTCCGATTGGGGGAACAGATGGACGGCTAGCGCAGCAAGTGCAGGAAGCCCATAATACTGGTAGAATGCCAGACTTACCGACGACGTCTCTGATGGCATTGCAGGCGTTGTCTGCCGAGACTGACAGGGCTGCGTCGCCCTCACATCCGTTGGGAACTGCAACTGCCTCATCACAGGTACTGTTAGGATGGACCCAGCTGTTGGCAAATGCTACCGCATCGGAGGTCTGTCAAGGAAAGGATAAGACGTTGGAAGTAAGACTATCCTTTAATCCTAATGACCCCAACTCCCTCAAAATTCATCCCCAATTTTGGTGGATTTTGGGGGATTTGGTTCAGAAGGCCTGGCGTGACTAAATATTGATGGAGTGTGATGGACTTGGGCCTGATGGCCTGCAGCAGTGCTAGGGGTATCCGATTGATTTTGCCTAGCTTCCTGTACTGCTGTTGTGATAAAAGCCATGTGTAGCAAGTCCATGAATGTCAACCAGTGCGTCAGTGGTGGATTCCATTCTGTAATGTACAGTTTTGTATTGGAAGCACAGTGATTGATGGATGTTGATGGACTTGGTCCAGTTCCTAGTAACAGATGCTAGGGAGTTAGGGTTGAACGAGTTCAAAATGATCTCACAAGCTGCGATCCAACCATAGGCCTGCTGTAGCCTGTTAGTCATGTACATGATGTGAACGTCTGTTCTTATAACGCACAAACTACTCACGTGGTTGTGACTGTCAATCGAAAAGGATTCCCATTATTTTGTTGAAATCAAAGTCAAATATGATTCGATCTAAGAGTTTGAACCAAAACTTACAGATTCCCCGCCTTGCATGAGGAAGTCGTTCGAAGAATCGCCATCATAAAAGCCGCAAAGTCCGCAAACTTCACCGAGTTTGCTGTGAACGAAGATATCCACGTGGTTGTAACCGTCCCATCTCATAACCAAATCCAGATAGTGATCTACCAATACCTATTGGTTTAATACAAAGGACAGCAAAAGAGTTAATTAAATAATACGTTAAACATTTGTGTACCTATTGGTATGTAGAGGGCAAACTTGTACTTTCAAATGTGCATCCACACCAAAGGTTGGCGAAGAAGTTCTTTCCTCGCCTTCCACCGCTGTGACCCGGGTTCGAATCACGCCTGGGCCAATATGTGGATTGGGTTTTCAGTCCCTGCCTGATTCCGTGGGTTTCCCCTAGAATATTCTTCTGGGGTTTTCCTCCCACCTCTAAAACTGTAATTTCTTCTCATTGTCTCCTCTCCACAGGTTTCTTCAGGCTTTCAAGCTACAGTGCCTAGGGTGCTTTGGAGGAATCCTTGGTTTCAGTACCATAAACAATCCTATATTAAAAGATCATACGCTGTCTGTCTGTCTGTCTGTCTGATGTCTGTGTGTCACTTTTTTTTTTTAAAGGCCCGAGGAGTGTACGGAAGTACAACATGCAAGGGTTAATGGAAGGCTTGGCTGTTGTATGCAGGTTTTCAAGGGGAGGGGAAGCCAATTAAAAATCAGGCAACATGTGAATGTAAAAAATGTGGCAAACCTATTTTACTTCAAATTTCAAATTCTTCTGCAGCCACACAAAACACTACAATTTGCTCTAAACAAAACAAATTTTCTCAGTTCTGAATTCACCACCTTCATTTTTTCAATGACACCATTTGTAATGACGTATTTCATTGTTGATGTTGTATAACATGTACTCACCATCCAAGAGCCACTGAAATGTATCTGTTGCGTTGTCAATATGAGCGGGGGAATCACGCGTTGGCCGTTGATCAGGAGGATGAAACCTCTGCGCAATTCAAGTTGCTGGTAGTGGCACAAGAAATATAAAACAAAATGTTAAGTGTGATTCAAATTTATGAAACACATTGTATGTAGGCTAATTCAAACCGTTGTTGCTCAGAAAATTTGAAAGTTTCCCGGTTGGCCTACTTCACATTTTTTCCATGCACAAAAAGGCTTGCACGATTAGCGGGTACAGAGAAAATATATTTCCAGTTACGTCGCTATCAAAGTAATGCAAATTTCTATCAAAATAATGCAACTTGAAGACTCCCGTGTACAAGTAACCCCTTAACGGAAGTCAAGCTTGCTTTTTGAATACACAGCTGGGCGATTCTTCAGAAATGGAACCTAAATTAATTTTTTTTTGGGGGGGGGGGAATGTTTTTTATGCGATGTAAGACAAATGATTACTTGTGACGTAAAACAAATGATTACTCGGTTAGTCGTCTTTCAGTAACTACCAGGGTGTTCAGGGTAAAGTTCTGAAGGGCACTATTTATTGAAAATTGAAAAGCACCGGCAGCTTAAAATCGCTATAACGAATGATCGCTCTAACGAACAATTTCTGTGGATCCCGCGATGTTTGTTTTGTACTATAAAAATTCCCCACATGTAAACAGAAACTTTGACTTACATAGCCATACGCCTCGGATGATGAATTGATCTTGATCATCTTTGTGGTCACGACGTTGGGGTTCTCGTCCGACCTCTCGGTGACCTGGGTCACGGTAAACTTGTCGCCGTCCTCAAAGCAGTTGTGAAGGAGAATGTATTCGCATTCTCCACTGAAGTGATAGCGAACGCCGTCGAAGGTTTCAATGTGTGGGTCGCCTGATACGGTGCAGCGTGCAAGAGCTGAAAATACGACGCAGTGAGAGGGGGTTGTCATCAAATCAATGGAGGACCATGGACGCTCGGGCCATCGTTTCCGTGTGATATAATTATATATTCAGTGTTACTTAACAATTGTTGACTACTGTGATGAGGGATATGCCATTTTTAACTCTCTGGAGTTAAAAATCTCAAGTTCCACGTAACAATTACTCAATTTCAATTCAAAAATTGCCGGGTCATGTTTAAATTGTGCCCAAAATAAGTGTCCAGGACATGTTCTCAATCAGCCGATTGCAGCTACGCGATGTCATGCAAAGGACCGAATTATAGCAACTGCGCGTTCATGTGCATTGTGTCAACACTTGGAAATTTCCAAAAATGAGTCTTTAGACACATCTTTGAAAACGACCTTCTGTCACTGTTTTTGTTTTTTTTCAAAATGACAGCATGCCAGAAGGAATAATTTCACAGGGAGTTTAGTGCCATAACTATCTTTGAACCAAGTAAGCTTTTCAACTGTACTTCGGTCATTTACTGTTTTGGACAGCTGCAAATGATGTACTCTACCTATAACCAATTCGTGCCTGGATTATTTTGACATTGACCTGACCCAGGCGCAGGATTGTTTTTCCAAACCTCGATACCAGACGGGTTTTCAGGCCGTCATCTGCTGGTAGCACACCCTAATATTTCCGGCCTCGCACGCTGCGAGCGGGTCGCAAACAGATATTTCCGACCTTGCTCCTTGCGTGTTTATCCGCAAAACCTTTGCGCGCATACACATCATCCGGCGCGAACTGGTTTGAACAAACAGGAATGAATATAAATACAGACGGCCTAATATTTTGGATGAATCAATTAAAAAAAAAAATTCTGACCTTCCCCACAATCTTTGTCACCGTATCCAGCAGGGCACTGACAGGCAAAGACATCGTCTTCAATGATGACACATGTGGCATTATTCTGACATGGATTGGGATAACACGGATTGGCTGCAACAAAAGAAAAATAAAGAATGTATCAAAGGAAATGTACAACATTCTCACATTGTTACAATAGTACAAAAACACCTTTCACTTCAGAAAATAACTGACACATCACACATTTTTTAGAGAAGCATTGATATTCAGTGCCCAAGCGTTCCATTATGATAAAAAAAAATGAAGTATGAAGGTTGTTTTATACTTGAAAACAAAATTTGTCAAAGCTGAAAAGCCTTCCACTCTTTGTAAATTTGCAGCATGACAAACTGCAAGTGAAAATGCAAAAACAAAAAAACAAAAACATTGGGGGTGAATTTTTTTTGGAATTTCAGATTTATTGATGTATGTCACCTCTGATATATCTACTACACATATTTCAAAGAAATAGTATATCGTGGGGTAAAAGTGTTTACGGGGGAAACAAATTGGCAACTTTCGCTTGAACAAATGCCTTTTTTTTCTCAGTATTTACTTTTCTGACAAGTTGATAAACTTTCAAACAGATTGTTGGTTTGATTGTAAGGCAAATTTGATCCTCTTTTCTAAAACCCATAACCCTCATTTCAACCTCTGCTTCGAGTTCTGTCTCATTTTGCCAAAACTCCTCACATTTTTGTTGGCCAAATACCACCCTCTCGTCACATTTGGCTGGTCACTACTACACGAGCAAGAACGAACCCGTAGCAAAGCTGATAGTTTGGACACCGAAACACGGCCGCAGGAGCAAAGAAACAGAATACATGCAGGGGCGGTGGAACCTGGGGGGCATTTGAGTTTACAGAGTGTCCGGTGAAAAAAATTCTTGTTGATATTTCAGCGCGGATGTGCCAAAAAAATTAATGCTGGATACACTGCTGCACCGACAGAAAATGCCTTTTACTGAGCAAGTGCCCCTTTTCGGTGATGTGCCCCTTTTTGGTGATACCATCCCCCCCCCCCCCCTCCCCAGTTTCATAACTGTTCTGCCGCCGCTGGTCACGGGGCTTGAAGCATCATATCTACAGACTGCCATGCAGGACAGTATACAAATATTGAATGCTTCGAGTGGTGTAGTAAAACTAGCCTCCCGAGGTGATCCATGGACATTCTATTTTCCCAAGGCGAAGCCGAGGGAAAATAGAATGCTCCATGGATCACCAAGGGAGGCTAGTTTTACTTCACCACGAGATAAAGCATTCAATATTTGTTTTATAACACTTCACCCACAGATTCTGCTTGGTTATAATATTTTAAATTATTTAAATCTGAACACAGTTAAATTAAACTTCAATTTCAATACAAAATTGGTGGAAAATGTATTTCTCTCTTCCAAACTACCCCTTCGCGAAATGTTTGAACCCAACTCTGTGGCGCGCTCTCTTTGGAACAAAATGCGCTGCGTGCAACGCGCACACCAGCATGCATTTGCACACAAATGCCGCGTCGTGGAAATAGTACTTTAGTTGCTAATGGTATAGTACTTTGGTTGCTACGGGTATAGTACTTTTGGCCGTGCACAGAAAGATAGCAAAAATAGAAAGTATCATGTGACTCGCTCTCGGCCAATCAAGACACAGAATCTTTGGGTGAGGTGTTATAAAAGATACTGCTGCACTGTCGTTACTCGGGAAGACTACCCGAAATCAGCACCTAAGTATGCATTCCAAGAGAGCCACTATGAAAACCCGGATTCAAATTGTGTTCAGCAAGTCCCTTCCCCCTCATTATGTCATGCCTTTCCCCCCTTAAGTGGACAAAACTTACCCCTGCATCCGCCACAGCCGTCGTCTTCAAATCCTTTCCGGCAGTGGCAGCCGTAGACTCCCTCCTTGACTCCACAGAAGTTGGACTCCTCTGGGCATCCAGAACGTCGGCATTCCACCATGTGGCCAGGCATACAGGTACACGTTTGTTCACATTCGTCAGCGAGGAAGACCTCATGGACCTATTGGGAATCATATAAGAACCAATATTATGAACAGCAGGGGAGGTCTTAAGCAAGAGTGGTACTCCAGTCAGTCGGAAATCAGGAGTCAATCACAAGTCAATCACAAGTCAGTCACAACTCAATCATAAGCCAGTCACAAGTCAATCATAAGCCAGACACAAGTGGATCACCAGTTAGTCACAAGTCAATCATAAGTCAGTCACACGTAAATCATAAGTCAGTCACAAGTCAATCACATATAAATCATAAGCCAGTCACAATTCAATCACCAGTCTTTCACAAGTCGATCACCAGTCAGTCACAAGTCAATTATAAGTCAGTCACATGTAAATCATAAGTCAGTCACAAGTCAATCATAAGCCAGTCACAACTCAATCACCAGTCTTTCACAAGTCCATCACCAGTCAGTCACAAGTCAATTATAAGTCAGTCACACGTAAATCATAAGTCAGTCACAAGTCAATCACATATAAATCTTAGGTCAGTCACAAGTCCATCATAAGCCAGTCACAAGTCAATCACCAGTCAATCACAAGTCCATCACCAGTCAGTCACAAGTCAATCATAAGTCAGTCGTAAGTCAGTCTGGATGCTGATAATACCCTGGCCTTCAGCCCGGGTAATTATGAGCATCCAGACTCCAACTGGTCTTAAACAGAGTATTTACTAACTCCCAAGCGCGCATTTATTCCCTTATTTCAACATTTCAGGGGAAAATAAACATGACGACAACAAGATTAAGGAGAAGAAACAACAGGGTCTGAATTGTCTATGCACACTTTCTCTACATTAAATATTACAATACATCAAATTTATAAGTAAAACATTCATTTTAAAACAGATCGTGTCACCATAAACATAAAGCATAAACATCTTGAGCGACCATCTTGAAACCCACCTTGCGATACTGTCCATCATAATAACATCCGCACTCTTCTTTAGGGACGCACTCGTCACCGCTGAGGAAGAGGTGTGGGTCACAGACGCAGCCTGCCTGGCTGGGGAAGGGACAGGGCATGCTCCTCTCCGAGATGAAACCCAGACAGGTCTTGGGGCAGGCGGGGGCGCTGGGCTTGAACTGCGAATCTCTTCCACATGGAGGCACTGGGAAGTTTGGAAAGCAACAAAGATTCATAAAAACACAATGACAGACGTGCATGATGTTTAAGGTGGTTTGGAAAGAGTGTTGCATCCTGAGGCCACTTCAGTGGTTGTGTACGAAGTTGATGGAGAGTCAGGACAATTTTCCTAACAAAATTGGGAATGTTTCTCAGTCCCAGATTCATGCCTTTTCATCATTTTTGCAATGACTGACCCTTATTGAGAAGATATATTAAGAAAAAAGTAACGTCAGGTTGCAACATTTTTTCGGGTGGTTTGAACAGGCAAACTGTGGGACACTGAGATTTGAAATGAAAACTGCCTCAACAATATTAAGAGAGAAAGAAGAAGTATACCAACAAAATGTGTGATAAAGTCTAATACAGTTTAAGCTGAAATTCAAGCCCCGTTGTATGACAATACGCAAAAGGCCATTCGCCACAGATAAACTGCCAGCCAGATAACTTTAAAATAAATTATCCAATTCATATCAAATTGTGAGGACTGTTCTTTGTCGATGATAATCAGAAATTGTAAGCAATTTTCCAATGGAAATCAAACTCGTCAACCAACCGCAGAAGCCGGGCGCTCTCCAGAAACCGACAGGGAGCCAGCGGTCCAAGCAAGCCGACTCCAACGTCAGTAGGCTGCTGCAGATGTTGGACCTGGCCTCAGGATCGCCAGAGGAACAGGCTGTAAAGATGCAGTTCTCCAGGTACGCAGCGGGATCCAGCTGTGCGATGCACTCTCCGAATGGCCCTGGAGGGTTAAAACAGGACAAGACATATCAAAGGTTTTGTCTTTTGGCTACGGCTATTCACTACAATGCATGCATGCGATAACCAAAGTCATAGCCCTAAAACAACTGATTGAGACACCATTTATATTGACAGCAGAATTACGGATATATCCTGTTTCAAAGTATGACTATGTTCCTTTGCAACAGAATGCACAGTCATTGAGACCTAGCAGGAAATATGACCGGCACCCGATTTCATCAAACTCTTCGTAACTTACGATGCATCGCAGCGCTGTGACGCGTCGTATCTCCTACGATGTGTCGCAACTGCGACGCGTCCTGCGATCCATTTCACTAAACACGTCGTAAGTGCGAGGCGTCGTAGGTGTATTTATAGCACAACTCGGTGACTGTTTTATGTCTTTAGTCAGCGTACAGTAAATAGTCGTCTGATATTCAACAAAGAGTCGTCGGATCTCAGCTCGAAATTTGTTAAAACGTAAAACAAAATGGCGGCCGTGCAATGCAATTTTGAAGGATTACAAGCTCTCATTAGACTGTATAGCTACTTTGAAATTTCAACTCTAATATTCCGGTCTAATTCATAATTATTCAGTGAATTTTCTATTTACAACTTTACACACATTGTCTCGGTATTATAATCTCGTTAATGTAATGTTTGTGGCATAAAAATGAGTTAGAAATGACTCTTCTTATTTTGCGACATCCACTAGACACGTCTTAACTTGCGTCGTGTTTTAAGCCGTTGTCAAGGAACTTACGACGCGTTCAACACATCGCAACTTTCGTGAAATGGAAGATACGACGCGTCGCAAGTTGCGACGTGTTACGCGTCGCAACTTGAGTTGCGACGCGTCGCAGCGCTTCGTGAAATCGGGTGCAGATCTCTTAAAATGATCTAAATATGTGATGCAATCAAGCTAAATGAGTCGTTTGTCGACCCTGGTCAATTTTTTTTTTTTTTTACAGATTTGAAAAGAGTACAATCTTAGCATTACTGCTGTGAAATCCGCATGCTGATACCATCTTTAGTTCAAAAATTATGAAAGTCGGAACACCTGATGTGATGAAGTGATGTGATGAAGTGGCCCTATTTTGGTCTGTATCTCCAACGGAAAGCTCCCGACAAATGACTCATTTAGCTTGATCGCATCACATATTGTAACCTGCAATCAATCCTTCCGTTCTGTTTTTCCCAAGATGTGAGGTTCGAATAATCCTGTGCTACATTAATCGACTCAAAATAATTAATGAAGTCTTACCCTGGGCAAAAGCAGGGGAAACTATAAGTAGTAATTACAATTTCATATACAGTTGTAATAACAGCTTAACCTGTTAGCACTTGTATTACATTGTAATACATTGTATTTTATTTCAATTTACTCCCTGGTTAAACCATGCAGTTGTGGCGGGGAAACCGGGCGGTATAAGGACAACTGGGTTTTAAAGGGAATATACATCATTGGCTTTTGCTGTAATTCTCAGAAATGAACTATTTGAGGGGTTACTAAAATAGATCAAACATTGTTCCACTGACATGTTTGAAGTTTTGTGTTCGAAAATGCTGGAAAAACCAAGAATCCAACAAATGGTGGAGAAATCTGGTTCCCTGACTCCACTAAAGATAAAATGGATCAATTTATAGATGCCGAAAAATTGTAAGGTAAGGGAACCAGTCTAGCTGGCCTGCACCCGTTCATTAACATGTTACCAATAGCAAACAAAATTTGGAGTGAAAAAATGGTGAATTTGGAGCAGTAGTTGAAAAATAGTAAGGTTTTTCCAACGGTGGTCGGCTGACCACCGTTGGAAATTTATACAAAAATACCATTTTCTTGAAAATGACTTCACACCAGGTGCCATTATTTTACAGGGTGCTTTAGACTGTCATTTACCAACATCCTAGTGAGGTATTTTGTTAAAACTTGGTAGTGATATTTTTTGATGTTTGCAAATGTTGTATATTCCCTTTAAGCAAATAACTTTGCATTTAAATATGTGGGAACATTAACCGTTTGCATCGACGATGATTTGACAAGTTATCGTTGCTGCGGCCAGTTGAATGTCCCCGTTGCATGCATCCTGTAAGTCACTGCCGCGATCGGGACACTCCTCGTCAGGCACCCTCCAACTGTAACCAAAGTCCACTGAATTGCTGACCTAAATGAACACAGGGGAAAACAACCAAGAGAATTGCTTAAAGGCACTTCGGAAGAGTGGCAAAAAATGCGAAAACGGACCTAATGATTTAATGAGAAAAATCTTTCTCAATGTGAAGATGGGGATGGTACCAAATACCCTGTGAAATCATTCCTCCCAAAATGTTTTGGAAGAAAACATTGATTGAAGGCGGTTAAAAAAAAGTGTGCCAGCCGGCACACTTTTTTTTAACATGCTTTAGCAATAGAATCCAGTTATGAGATCCGACAACAAGCTGCAAATATTTTCCCTGTTTTCTCAGAAATGCATATAGGCCATCAGCCTGGGGGTTTGGTCAGTATCAAATCAGGGCATAAATGATTATAGTGCGCATGCGCAAGGTATACCGCCCCTAGAGTGGTAACAAGCATTCTGATGGACATTTTGAAAAAAAGTTGATAACATCCAAAAAGCTGCCACCGCTGCAATGATATCGCATATTTTCCAACTCTGGAGGTGTATACCTTGCCAAAAATCGCTATGACGATTATTCCTTTCATTTGATACCGGTGGCCAAAATTTTGGACTGAGGCTGACGGCCTAATAGTTGCCACCGAGCTAAAACTCCCACAGGAAGCCGAATGTGAAGGAGATTTGCATACTGAAGAGATCCGACTCACCCTTGTTCCATCCGGTGTCTCGTCCAGAATGTTGGCCGAATCCCCGTCGGCGTTACCACAGAGTCCGCACAGGGAGATGTTACGCAACAGAGTAGCGTCCAGCCACACATCCACTTCAAAATACCCGTTCCATCGGACGTTCAACCCGAAGGGAGTGGTCAACAACTGCACAGCACGGGGGTGGGGAGTGGAGGGGGTGAGAAGGGGGGAGATATAAATACATGCTAAAATAATTCATGAGAGTTAAATTTCTAACCCAAGAATGTGGAGCACATCACGAGTCCAGTCACAAGTTACAGTGGATGAACAGTAACAAAGAATGCCTTTGTCAAAGCTCATTTGCATAGCTTGTGAGTTGGATTGGAACTGGAGGACTTGCGATGGACTTGCAGGGACTTGTGATGGAGTCGACTACAGCACTGCTTCTAAATAATCTTAACAGTTACAAATTCTAAAAAAAAACACCAGCAATGTTCCAAGCGATGGATCGTTTCCAACTTTGGGGATATCTTCTAAAATGGACTCACCAACTGTTGGCCAGGCACAACGTGGACGCCATTCTCGCCATAAGGCAAACTGACTGGCCGCTTGTTGACTGTTACTTTCTTGTGTTGATGGAGGCCAAATACCTGAAAATGGGACAAAAACTCCGACTAAGAATTCTGGCAAACTGAACTGCATCACACTGGCAAGCACTGTAAGACTATTGCTGTGACACCTGCTGGAGTAACATGTGTGCAACTTTTGTGAGTTTGCAACGGGTATACTTTCCATGACGTCGCAAATTCGTGTTCACGTTCACGCTTTCTTATGATCCGGCCTTGCGTTACACAGACCACTCCCCCTTCTGGATATCCCTCTAAAACGTTCTATGGGCTCCGTGCACCAATCAAAAGGGCGCTCTTTTACCTAGCAATGATGTCCCATGGGGGGACATTTCGCTGGTTGACGCGCACCGTTCCTTGTGTGCGACGCACGTACACCAGAAGATTCAGTAGTACTATGTACACGCAGTGCTGGCGGCGGCCGCGCGTCGCGGCAAAATTGCAGTCAGGCAAGATGGCGTCAGTCGGTCACCCCCCAACTGTACTTTCTTTGCCGGTGAGGGGGTACTTGTGAATGGAGTGGATACAATTCTGCTTACCGGTCCGTCGCTGCCAATGTGCACGTAGACATCCTTGACTTTGGTCAGCCCCGGTCGGCCCTGCGTGGGCTCGTTGCGGATCAAGACTCGGAACCAAGGCTCCTCGGCACAGTCAGCAGCCAGTGTGTACAGGCACTCGCCAAAGAAGTTGAAGTTGGCTCCGTCAAAGGTAGAGAAGTGCTGGGGACTGCCGTAGACACTGCATTCTTTTTGCTCTGGAAGAAGGAATTATTTTTTTAAATTTAAAATATTTTTCACGGTCAGAAATTGACTCGGTAAACTCGAAAAGCAATTAGGATCATTTTGCATTCACCCCGAAAGTAGCCTACTAAATTATCATTACAAATTTTACTTGGATTAAAGTACAAAGACACCAAGGGTGGATCCAGGGGGGCCAACTTGGGGCCATGCCCGCCTCTCCAAAAACAAACCCATTTTTTTTTTTTAAGTGACGTCGTCATAAAGGCGGGCACTGTGTACACCACCATCTTTTCCTCAAAATAATTTGGTTAAAGTGGTCAGAAACTGCCTCAGATCGCACCACAGAGCATCTAGAATCCAAAATTTTTTCGAGGCCCTTAAGTGGGCCCCGGGCCCCGAACCCCTCGCCGTAATTTTTGGACTCACTTTTTGAGCGACCAAAATTTTGTTTGGCCCCCCCCCCAAAAAAAGTGAGTTCTGGATCCGCCCTTGAAAGACACTGGAGTGGGTTTGAACCTGCAACCTCCGGATTGCCGTTCCGGTGCTCTACCATCTGAGCTATCCAGCCCTACGTTGGCGGTCCCCATTTGTATCAATGTCTCTGTTCGAGTGGTGCTAGTTTAAGTTGAAATTTTTAATTGTATTTGAAAACAAGTTTTCTTATTTGAGTTAATGAGTCCAGAAGTCAATTTAGTTGTTCAGAAGTTGAAGCTGTGAGTGAAATGAAGAAGTAACAACAACACACCTTTCTCGCAGTTCCGTCCCGTCCATTGGGGCGGGCAGACACACACGTAGCTGAAGTCAGCCTGAACTGTGCACTTGCCGTGGTTAACACACGGATTACTGTAGCAAGGGTCAACTGAAAAACGATAAAAACAACAACACATGTCTTGAATATATAGAGAATAACAAGACATTGAAGATTATGTAAAAAAATAATTAGTTTTAGAAAGTCTTGATGCATTTAATTAAAGGGAATATACATCATTTGCTTTTGCTGTATTTTTCAGAAATGGATGGAATTGGGGGGTTGGAAATATATAGCAAATATAGTTACACTGACTTTTTTTAAGTTTTGGGTTTGAAAATGCTATAAAAACCAAGAAAAACAATCATTTTCCTGTAGTCTGGTTCCCTGACTCCACTTAAGAAGAAACAGAGCAGTTTACATACATTGGGGAATTGTAAGGTCAGGGAACCAGTCTAGCTGGCTTGTACACGTCCATAGGTGTGTAATCGATTGCAAACAAGTGCGATGGTCAACTGGGGCCAGTATTTGAAAAAAAGCCAGTTTTTTTCAACGCTGGTCGGCCGATCAGCGTTGGAAATTGATACAAAAATACCACTTTTCTTGAAAATGACAGTATACCAGGCGCCATGATTTTACAGGATGCTTTACACTGTCATTCACTAACAGTCCAGCAAGGTATTTCAAAATGATTTGGTAGTTTTATTTTTTGATGTTTGCAAATGTTGTATTTTCCCTTTAAAAATGGGAAAGCATAAAAATCATGGATGTACAACATCTGGAACGACAATTTTATTTGAATTTTAACTTGTTTGAAAATTTTCATAACAAAGAAAAATACAACTTGACTGTAATAAAACAAAGAAATTAAATAATGGGAATCTGTCCTCCGACAAATCTTGACAAATGTTGTGTTTTGGCAAAGGTTCTGAATTGTACTCACTAGGGAAAGAGAACTGATATATCAGTTAGAAAACGGAACCTGTACACATTGTACCTGTAAATGTTTCGACAAATAATTATGCGCGCAGTGGTCGCTTTTTACATTGATGAACAGTTCCTTATTAACACCCGTGCCAACTTGTTTAGCATTGTATTTATTCACTAAAGAATCCATATATACTGCGTCCTCAGGCGGTTTCAGGCGACATAGTGAGTATAGACCAATCGGGCATGCTGTCACTTCTATCACGATGGCCCCCTTCAATGGCGAAAGCACTGTGTTAGCTATAGTCCAGATAATCAATCACGAGGCAGTAGCTTGCACAATGCTTTCGCCATTAAAGGGGGCCACGTGTGTATACGGTGATAATGTGCCAGGATTTGTCTATAGATGTGCGTGATGCCTAGGAATTTTTCAAAGTGGCTTGTCTAGCTCCCAGACCCATTTTCTTGAAACTCAATGGTTCTTGAGTCCGGGGTGCTGAATATTAACACAGTCTTGTTCCTTAGTTGTAGGATACACTTGTCTGTGCGAGATATTTGTGGGGACCGAAAATGCTGCGGGGACATCAGAAAGTCCCCATAACTTGGTCCTATTTTGCCCGACAGTAAAAAAAATTCCCCATTACGCGGTGTGGGCCAGGGCATAGCCACCAATGAAAACTGGTGAGCAAATGAATAGAAGTTTTCATTGGCTGACGTAATCCTGCTCACATTTAGAGGCAGGGCGGTTTGGGCTGCTAGAAGAACTGATGGGTTAGGGTTGATTATGTCACATGATTACGTCACATGATTATGTCACATGATTAGGAGTTCAGGGTTTGACCTGCCAGTGAACTTAACTTACCTGTGCAGATCACACCATCCCCAACGTATGGATGTTCACAGTGACAGCCGTACCGGCCATATTCATCAGCACATGATTATGTCACATGATTATGTCACATGATTAGGAGTTCAGGGTTTCACTTGCCAGTGAACTTCATTTACCTGTGCAGATCAAACCATCCCCAACGTATGGATGTTCACAGTGACAGCCGTACCGGCCATATTCATCAGCACATGATTATGTCACATGATTATGTCACATGATTATGTCACATGATTACGTCACATGATTATGTCACATGATTACGAGTTCAGGGTTTGACTTGCCAGTGAACTTAACTTACCTGTGCAGATCAAACCATCCCCAACGTATGGATGTTCACAGTGACAACCGTACCGGCCGTAATAATCAGCACTGCACTCAGCTTCACAATGGCATTCCATAGGCTCACAGGTGATAGCACCGTTGTCGCATTCACACTTCTCCTTGCAGCCGCGACGTACAAATTCCTCATCATCCTTTTGTTTTCCATGATAGGGGAAAGGACACAAGGCACAAGTATTAAGAATTCGGGTGAAGACTTCCCCGCTACTGTAGCTGTTCATGTGAATCACGAAATATCTCTTCAATTCCCCAATTTTATGGCTCTCAGAACTCTCTAATATACAGGACGAGTCCAAAAAAGCGGAACCCAAACCCCAAAAATATATTTCATATTTACAAAAATATGCAGCACCAAAAATAATGATGACTGGAAAGCCAATTTCATAAGCTACTTTTAGATGAAAAAAATTACTAAAATTGCTCAATCCGTTCAAAGAATATCACCATTTAAACACAATGACCCTAAAACCTCTTTCGTCCAAAAATGTGATTTCAAGAATCGTCATCAAAATTGTCTAAAAACATCACCAGCGATAAAATCTCAGTTTAAAAGTTAAAAAATATTCAACAAAGTTCTACTGAAGGCCCGTCTTTTAAAAAAATGGAATTAATAAATCATATTGTTTGCCTAAGCAGGGTTGTTAATAAAGATATTGTGTACTACAGTTGTTGACAGTTGTTGAAACAAGTATTCTGTGTCAATTTCTTTGTTGTTCCAAACAATAGCTTTGTTTTGGGCAAAACAGGTTTTAGGGTCATTTAAAAATGGTGATAGTCTTTGAATGGATTGAGCAATTTCAGCTATTTTTTCTTCTAAATGTAGTTTCTGAAATTGGCTTCCAGTCATTATTAATTTTGGTGCTACATATTTTTCTAAATATGAAATATATTTGTTGGTTCTGGTTCTGGTTCCGCTTTTTTTGACTCGCCCTGTAGAATATTTTGAGGATATAACTTTTATTCATGAGCTCGGCGGATGGGTTTAGGCATTTTGACATGTGTGCACCCTTATAAAAGGTAAAGGGACGAACCTGTGTTCACAGGAACGGAGTGCCCATCTCTCTTTCGTTTAGCGTTTGGGCCAGACTCATATGCTGCTGTGGGGGGATCGCTACACCTCCTCCACAGCGAGTCTGTTACCTTCCCAGCATTGAATAATGCCGGTACCCATTTAACACCTGGGTTGAGAGGAGTAATTGAGGTAAAGCACCTTACTCAAGGGCACAACACGCATGGCCATGATGAGGCTTGAACTCACAACCTCTTGATCATGAATCCTGTGCTCCACCGTTAGACCACACCCTTATAACAGTTACAAAAACGAGCCCAGAACTGGCAGTGTTGAGTTTTGAAGAGTATGGATACCAGAACAGCTTACCAGATAGTAAGCAGCACCAAACGCGCTATCTCGGCAACCACACTTGTCTTCAGGCACGCACTCCGGGCCGCTCCTCACGAATCCTTCCTTGCACTGGCAGCCCTCCACGCACGGCTTTTCCTCGCACGGCGGACGGCCGAGTCCGCGTACATCGTCGCAGGTGCGTGGGCAGGGACTGGTGCAGAAGCTGTAGTCTGAATTGGCCGGGCATTCCGCACCTGGGATACATTTAAGAACAGGCACAAACATTACGTGGGGAGTGTGGCCTAGTGGTTAGGGTTCGTGACTCGTAATCAGAGGGTAAGGGGTTTTGAATCCAGCTGCTGGTTACATGTTGTGTCCTTGGGCAAGCTACTTGACCCCCACTTGCCTCTCTCCACCCAGGAGTATAAACGGGCACCGGCATTAGCTGGGGAGTAACCTGCGATAGACTAGCATCCCATCCAGGGGGAGTAGAAATATTCCCAGTTGTTTCATGCTACGGAAACAGGAGTTAAACGCTGGCCTGATGGTCCACATTGGCTACTCACTCCAAACATAGAGAAGATGGTTTATAATCATAGAGTTACAAAGTGATGCCTGCTGGGCGATCCATGCTAATGCACAAACCCATGGAAAACTCGAAAATTTTGGACGGCAATTTGTACGGCTATTTGCATATCTGCGTTTGTATTCTACGTAAAGCTGTTCGCAGAGCACACATAAATTCCTTTCAATTGTTGCAGGGTGGTTACTCACTGGAAGTCTTCTCATGCATCACTCTACACAATGGGCCGGATGGAGCCCGTTCATTGGAGCTACAGGGTAACCCTATACAATAGCACTGCCCGACTCAGACAAAGATGGTTGTCTGAGAAAATGGTTGAACTTACGGCAGGGTTGTGGGAGCATCTCACGCGCTGCTGGTCTACCCCCTCGGGCCTTGCATGCCGCTACAGCCGCAGCAGCGTAGGAACATCCGTAATGAGAATCACCGAATAAGCAGATGTCCGCAATACAGCCATGGACATAGAAATGCAGGAAATCAGGACCACCGCAGGGCTCTGTAGGACAGAAATGAAAACAGCGCTCCATTTTATGCTTAATACATCAAAAGAGCCATTTCTTAACATTTTCTCAGTACAAAAAAATGGGGGGTGGGGGATGATCCAATGGCTTGTCAAAAATGTGGGGGAGGGGGGGTTAAGGGTGTGCGAGTATGTAAGCACTGGCAATCGTCGACACATGGTCCACTATTGACAATTTGAAATTCGTGTAATGACAATTTTGTAACCCAAAAAAAAGAAACACTGAATATCATTTTTATTTGTAGTCTTGAATTATTAGGGCTAACTTCTATGTTCACATACTTCTGATTACTTTCTGTACCAAACCCTAAAAATATGCAAATTCAGAGAGAAAATACAGACTTCCATGAGGAATGCCTACCAGACAAATGCGCCATCAATCCAGTGCAGATGCCCATCACCTGCGCGAATCTGTCCCCGCAGGAGTCTCTGAAAAACGTTGGGCTGAGGTTTCCTTCGTCAGGATGACACTTCTCATCACTCTGCACCCAACTGTTGCCAAATTCAGCCGGGCTTACAACCTGAGAAAAAAACAATTCGAAGTAAAAAAAGTCTTAATCCAGCGATGAAAGGAAACAAATGTGACCAGCTCCACAAAAATGGGCAAACAGAGGGTGAACATTTCGTTAAAATGTGATTTTCATTTTTTGTCATGAATGACATCTTTAATACCTACAGTTTCAGGTTTCATGCACAGAAATATTAATTTTGATGAATAAAGTGGAAAAAACAACCATTTTGTGTGCATCGTTCTATTGTTCTACAACAAAGCCAGCTATTTCAAAGCCTGTTTTCTTAGTTGTGTAATTTGAACTCCAAGGTAGTAATTAATATGCAACACATCATATCTCCAGAACGGGAGGGGGCTATGGAGCTCTAATATATACCAAATCAAAGCTTACATTGTGGGCTTTCCAACTTTGTATTTAACTCAATTTCACTTTTTTTTGCGACATAATGCCCTTTTTTTGTTGAGCCGGTCACAAATGTGTTATTGTATTAAACTGCTAGAAACAGCATTGTGGTGCGACAGCAGTGTGCTTGAATTAGTTCACTGCAAATTCTTCATTGAGCAAGATTCCAATTCCCTTACCTCATTGCCATCCTTGGGCACCAAGTCGTTCTCCTCGTCTCCGTCGAAGTTGCCGCAAAGACCGCAGGTCTTGTTCTTGAAACGCTCCGACAGGCGAATGTTGACGTTACTGTAGCCATCCCAGGACACCCACAAACCGTCCACTAAGTGCAATACCTAAGGGGAAAAAAACGGAGTCAGGAAAACAAAATAAACTAAGAATGTCAACAATATTTTGAACTCTTTCCAATTTGGCGTTGAAATACAGGAGAATGTCATTCTATAGAGTACACCTTTTCACACTAGACAAATCTCGGGGTTGACCCAGGGCTGAAAACATGCAGTGTTTCACACTTGACATTTTTCAACCCTGCATCAACCCTGAGATTGATTTCACCCCAGGTTGAACTTTACCCTGCTCCAAACCAGGGTTGAGATTTTCAACCCAGGGTTGAAACTCTCCCCAGTGTTCAAAACAGAAGCAGCCGAGTGAAATAAGGTTGGTTTGCACAAAAAAAGTGTGAAATGCTGCATGGATGAACACGGGGTTGAAAAATAACAAACTTAACCCCGGGTTTGCTCAGGGTTGAGTTCAACCCAGGTTGAGAGGCTCTAGTGTGAAACGGCAAAAATGTGGGTCCACAAAAGATTTTATAACTGTCATTTCTTATTGCGATTTTGAAGCAACCAATGCTTGTCATAACTGAACTCAGAATTTGGCTGCCAAGGAGAATTTATGTCACAGCAAAATGCTTAGTAAAGCGGTGTTATATATAATGGCGTACTACCAAAATGCGTGATTTGGAATGACAACATCCCAACAAATATGGCAATCATTTCGAAACAAACCAGAGGAATTGTTGAAGAGCATATCTTCCTGTATCAACCTACCACTGTGTTTCCGACCAACTCAACACGGATTCCTTCATATGCCGTTATCGGGAGGTTCCTGCGAACACCGTCCACTGTGACAACGTTATCCCACCAAAGTTGGAAGACCTTTTGATGAGATAGGAAGAAATGACAATTTTTACATGTACGTAAATACATTTACTGTTAGAATTCGTACAACTGTGGTTTTTTTGTGATGTTCAGTTATCATGCACATGCACCATGACCCCAGGCTGGACTCGAACCCACAACCTGCAGAATTACCCGCAGACCACAAATTCAATGCTCCAGACCACGGCGCTCCACATCTGAATCTAAGGATGTGAATTCCAGAATAAGCCTCATCGACTAACGTATTAAGAATCTTACCTGATCATCGATGTGGATCTCCACATAGTACAAGGAGGCAACGTCCCTCTGCAGCACGTGTCTCTCGGGCTTACCCAAGATCCAGAACACAGGTTCCGTGACGTCTTGACCGCAGTGGCCGGCCAGGTGATAAACGCAATCCCCAAAGAAGTTGAAGTCCTTACCATCGAAGCTGCGGTAGTGTGAGAAGCCATGGACTTGGCACCATCCTTCCTCTGTAATCAAAGATTGGTACACCATTATTTGTATTTCGTTTAAAAGAACAAATAATGGAAATTTCCAACGATGCGTCTTGGAAAGGCCTTCTTTCACCTTTTCCTTCAAAATGACAGCTTGCCAGAAAGAATCATTTCACAGGGAGTTTAGTCCCATTATTATCTTTAAACCAAGTATGCTTTTCGACAATAATTATGCCAGTTACTTTTTGGATAGCTGCAAATGATGGACTGTAGCTTTAAGGTTTGCTTCAAGGCTGATCTCTACTTCTAATGCAATTTTTTTTCTCCAAATCCAAGTTATTCAATCCATTTTGTACTAGATGCCATAGCATTAAAGGGAATGTACAACATTTGCTTTTGCTTCAATTTTCAGATATAAATGGATTTGGAGGATTAGCATGTTATAGCAAATATTGTTAAAATGACTTGTTTCACGTTTTGGGCTAGTAGATGCTGGAAAAACCAAGAAAACCTATCAAGTTCTTGTAGTCTGGTTCCCTGAACCCACTTAAAATGAAATGGAGCAATTAATACAATTTGGGGAATTGTAAGGTCAGAAAATCAGTCTAGCAGGCTTGTATCCCTTCACAGGTGTGTGATCAATTGCAAAAAAAGTCAGAATAACTAAATATGAAAAATGAAGAACAATTTTTGAAAAAAGCCAGTTTTCTCCGACGCTGGTCAGCCGACCAGCGTTGGAAAAATACAGTTTTTCTTGAAAATGTCAGCACACCAGGAGCCACGATTTTACAGGATGCTTTAGACTGTCAGTCCCTAACAATTCAGTAAGGTATTTCATGATAATTTGATCATATCGTTTTTTGATGTTTGCAAATGTTGTATTTTCCCCTAAAAGACGATCATTTTGTAACTCTTACCTTCTTCACAGTGGTCTCCCGTCCAGCCTCTCTCACAGAAGCAACTGTACTCTTCATGAAGGGCTACACATCGTCCTCCATTGGCACACTCTACACCGGCACATGCGTCAGCTGCGACAAAGAAGAATTCAACAAGGAAATATTATTATCGGTGATATTTTCAGGGGTAAATGATGGAGCTACGTAAGAAAATATACTAGTGCTCTACTAACTCAGCTTTTATGCCCATCGTTGGAAGTCACCAAATCTGAACAAAAAGCGACGAAATGTTGGGCAACCATGGACATAGAACTCGATAGCAAAGTTGGTAGAGCACCGGTATGGTCTTCCAGAATCCTTGGGTTCCAATCTTGCTCCTGCCAATTTCTTTGTTCAATCTCGTCTTGATTACTAGCAAAACTTGACACTTCCTTTTGTGGTCGTTATATCAAAAAGGATTATTTAGTGATCAATCAAACATTGGTTTGCCTTTTTCTTTGTAACTTGAAAAGGGATAAAAGTCATTAAGAAGGAGCAGTCTGAATTTTTGTCATATAAAAAAAAAGGAACTTTTCTGAATTGGACTCACGTTGGCATTCGTTGTCCATGAAAACGAAACCCTCATCACACTGGCAGGTAAAGCCCGGAGTCCGCTCGTGGGCAACACACGTGGCATTATCAGTACAGTTGGCTTCCTGGCAATCCAGCGTCCCGCCGGGCAGACAGTGGCACAGCTCCTCGCAGTCCGGTTTGAAAATGGAATCCCCCGGCTGCAACACAAGACGATGAGAGAGAAAAAGATTTCTGATTACTACGAATGAGGCTATTAGGCGAGGCAAAATCACAAATGGGAATTACAACTTTGAACGGGGTTTCATCTGTATTAAACAATCAAGATCTATTTAATCGAAAGTTATTGATGGGCATGTAGCATATGTCACTAACTTGGAGCACTATTTATTCTGAAAAAGGTTAATACTTGCAGTTTTATGGTCGATAACTGATTATTTATTATATCAAAAACATTTCACATCAAGTTTTTGTTCATAATGAGGTTCCTAATAAAGGTGTGCACATCACAAGCACAACGATTTTGTCTCTCCAACTAATGATTTTAATCAGTCATTACTAAACCAACACTTTCCTTCTATAATATTTGGGTTTTTGTGTGACCATACCTCAATGAAGCGGCCCATGCTTGCCATGAAGCAGCCGCACTCTTCCCTGGGTACGCATTTAGGCCCTTGCCGTACCGTTCCCTCGCGACACGCGCAGCCGGGCCGGCAGGGTAACGCACAGGATCTGTCGGGCTCGGCACAAGTCGGTGGGCAAGGGCTGACACACTCACTCAAGGTGGCACCCTCCGGGCATTCCAGCGCTGAGAATACGAAAGAAAAAAATTGGAAATTGTCAAAATAATTAATAATCACTGTAAATAAGATTTGAGGCTTCGCATGGTGGAGTATTGGTATCGTTTTGGTTTGCGGTAACACCATGTGGTAATAACTACTGCTTAGAAGATATTTAGTTCTGATAAGAACTTGTCCTGCTTATTATCAACTTTCACTAAGTAGTTTTTGTTCTGATAAGAACAGTTGAGACCAAAGACAAGTTCTTTTAGAACTTAAAGCAGGATTGTTCTTATCAGAACAAAAACTACTTAGCGAAAGTTGACAATAAGCAGGACAAGTTCTTTTCAGAACTAAATATCTTCTAAGCAGTAGTTATTACCACATGGTGTTACTGCAAACCGAAACGATACTAATAATTGTAGTGTTGAAAAAAGAATTTGACTATCCTAGTCAATTCAATTTTTTCTGTTCAACTTTTTTATTATTATAAATGCACCCAGTCAGTTTCCCATTTGTAGTTTATTTGATACAATAACTGACAGATATATCAATTGTTTTACTGAGAGGTTTTGCCTCCCTGAATTTTCTTCCTTAGAGAAACAAATTCAATTCGTTTCAACCATCGTTTTGACCAACGAATCCTCTAAAGCAACTAAGTAATCACAGATCACAAGTCCTAAGAAATGTAGATTTCTTTTTTGTTTTGCCCTCCCCCGATGTATTTGAAAAGGCACTGTATACTCAACAACAACAACAACAACCCCCTTCGTAAGAACTTGAATTTTCTTACGGCAGAAATTCCTGGATCGCCACAGCCCATTGTCAACGCCATTGAGTTGGCAGATATTGTCGTATGCTGACAGGGATGAGCACAGCTTGTCGTCGTCTGGTAGGGTAGAACACAGGTTCTGGATACAGTTGGCGAAGTATGGATGGGGCTGTACGACATCATGACATTTCTGGAATGGAGCTGAGGGAAGGAAATGGGATATGAGTAACCAACAATGCAGAAGGAGCAGGAACAGTGTCTGAACGCTGTTCTCCCGTGGCATCAAAATCAAGCTCCTCATTGCAACCTGAAGGACAAGAGGTCCAAAAATTCGGCAAAGCAATAACTGGTGAGCACTACTTAAATTTATATTTTCATTTACTTCTTCATTAGTGCTACACTCACCCGATTTTGTTTCACAAAAAAAGTATACACTTATGCTTTCTCTCTAGAAATCACATTTTCATTTTCAAATTTCACCCTTTTTTGCTACCAGTAGGATGCATCCTCATTCCTCCAAAATCTTCGATTATTACTTGAATTTATTCATTGGAGGGGTGATGCCTCAATCGTGCAAAATCCTCCAACGATCACTGTTAACACTTTGAGGCATTGCAGATGATATCGATAGCAAGTGTGGATGATTCCAAGTATAATCTATAGGCCATCAGCCTGGTGTTTGGTCATTATCAAATCAGGGCATAAATGATTATAGTGCGCATGCGCAATTTATATCGCCCCTAGAGTGGTAACCATGGGCGTCGCCAGGATTTTCTCTAGAGGGGGGCAGAACATATATTTTTCCCAAAAAATTCTTGTATTTCTCAACAAATTCTCAATTTATTAGTTTAAGAGGGGGGCAGGGACATTTTGCCCCCCCCCCCCCCACCCATTAAATTTACACAACTATGACTTCGCGCCTCTTTTTCTTTCTTTCTTTCTTTTTTTTTTCTTCCTTTTTCTTCCTTTTTTTTTTTTTTTTTTGGCTTTTCCAGGGGGGGGGGCAAGCGCCCCCCTTGCCCCCCCCCTCGCGACGCCCATGGTGGTAACAAGCGTTTTGATGGACATTTTGAAAAAAAGGGTGATAACACCCAAAAAGCTGCCACCGCTGCAATGCTATCGGATATTTTCCAACTCTGGAGGTGTATACCGTGCCAAAAATCGCTATGACGATTATTCCCCTCATTTGATACCGGTGGCCAACATTTTGGACCAAGGCTGATGGCCTACTAGGTGTCATTTATGTCTTGCTAAATATAAACAACACAAGGTACACAACCCCGATGTATCCAAAGGCAGAGCTCTTTGCTTGACACAATGCATCCTCCAAAAATCAACTGACAAATGTGTGTCATACAGCCTCAATCCTTCAAAATCCTCCACTACAGGGCGAGTAAAAAAAAACGAAACCCAAATGTCGGGACCATTGTTTTAGTGAAGTTCTGCATGCAGCACTTTCAAAATCTGGGATATGAAAGCCCAATTCATAAGCTTTCATTCAGTACAAGATTCATTCAAACCACCGTTTTAAGGTTCTGTCCATGGATCACAAAAAAGTTCAGTGTTCTTTCAGCAAATCGAAAACAAATCACATAAGGATGTGTGTGAACTGTTTTCGTTTTGCTGAAAGAACACACATCTTTTTTGTGATCCGTGGATAGATCTTTAAAATGGTGGTTGTGTTTAAAATTCTGTAACTTGAAAAGTACATGAATGATTTGAATGATTCTTGTACTAAAAGAAAGCTTATGAATTGGGCTTTCATATCCTAGATTTTGAAAGTCATGCATGCACCCTGTAGTGCAATGAAGGGAGTTTGGAGGACTTCGGAAGGCTAGGGTTAATGAGTAACTTGCTTGGAAACCTACACAGAAATTCCCGACGACTCTCCAGCTGACAGACCAGATGAGAGGCCCGTGCCTTGCAGGAGACATCTCGCCACTTCTCGTTGTTGTAGATCAGGGCGCAGTTTTCCTCTATGAGCCCAGTATCTGCGTCATTGGGTTGGTCCTCGTCCCAAGCTGTGAAGAAAAAAAAGATCAAAAGGAACAATTGGGAACCTCAATTTGGCAAAGTATTTGGGAAAATCTGTAACTTGATGAGCAAAGAGCACTCTTAAGTACCGGAATGGTGTCTGGAGGGCACATTTTGGCTAAGATTGCAGTTAAAATATTCTGCTGTACCCAAACTTTTATCCCCATTCCAGCAAGTTCGTATCTGAAGCACAGAGTACAGCTGTGTGTGAATTTGGGGGATTGACAATGCAGTGCGCCACTGAGAGTTTGCCATGGAGAGTCCATTTTTCAACTTTACGGTCGACAAAACATGGCCCACTGAGTGAGTGTCAGTCGACAACTGGAGCTAATTTGTTATAGATTGGGGCATAGCGTTCTGCCGCCTTACAACAAAACACCATAATGATAACAAGAAAAGAAAAGGGCAAACATATACTTGAATCATAGGCTTGCGACACTACTGACTGAAAAAAAATGAACAATTTCAAATGTCCCGCGCTGCGAATTTGTCGACCATCTCCCACAATGCACTAGGAAAAATGAACCCTCCGTGGCAAACTCTTGGTGGCGCACTACATTGTGAATCGCCCGTATTCAGGTGATCTGAAAGCAATAGTTGTTATTCACATATCAACAGTTTGACTTTTGCGTTACCAGCGACAAACATCGCTACGCACATACGGAGGCTACCAGTACTGAAGAAAGATTTGCTTCTCGACAGTTATTTGGACGATGAATTTCACGGCTCGCCATTCTGTGCTGACAGCATTGGCACAGAAATTCTGTGCTAACTCTGTTATCAAATAATCCATAGTTACAAGATAAACCCATAAGCTCAAGCTCAAATTCTTTGCTGACCAACAAAATAACGATACCACAGAATTTTCCGTTATAATTAGAAGAAATCCTCTGCCTACAGTAAGTAGAGTCGTGAAAGTGGCGCTTCGTTATAATGCACTCACCCCAGTGTCCAGTCAGGGATTCCTCAGACCAGAAGTGGCCTTCCTCCCCACACGTCCAGCGGCCCTCGTGCCCCTCATCGGTGCAGCCCAGCCAGAACGGGCCGTCCAGCAGCCCCACGGTAGCGTTCCTGAAGCCCCAGGCTTCAATCTCCGTCCTGGGGTCATACAGCCTGCCTCCATGGGTCTGGCATTCGCGCTGAGCCGCCGCGTAGGTCAGGCCCTCCTCCGCCTCGCTGACGTAGTAACAGATGTGAAGTTGCTCCTCGGTGGGGAGTGCGAACCATCCCGTTGGACAGGCAACTGTCACATGACAAAGACAATCACCAACAACTGATTCATAAGATGGAATTTGTGCCAGGATGATGTCAATTCAATGTTGGACACCGACGTATAGATTTTATACACTTAGTGTTGTCTCGAGTGATTGTGACAAAAAATCACTGGGGTGGGACTCGAACCGACGACCTCCTGCTTACTAGAGCAAAGGTCTTACCACTCAACCACCAAGCTTGCCGGGGTCGGCTGGCTGGTTGGAATCAGCAAAACCCAATATTGAACCACCTTCAAATAGCCTTTGAAAGAATGTAAAATATTTGAACTTGCTTTTGGGCATGCCGTCGGGGAAACCAATGTTATCCACACATTTATCCAAAGGTGAAGCCTTGTTGCAATAATTTAAAATTACACAAATGTGAAACCAACAAAAGGGTAAAAAGGACCTGATTTCATAGGAGTTCAAAATTTATGTGACACCGGAAAAGTGTTTAAGACCAACCAGCCGGTGTGTCATCAACCATTCATAAATACCTCAGACAGTTTAGCCATTCCTATTGGTCGAGAGCCCGTCACGTGGCCGGTCTTAAACGGATGATAAAGACATGGCTAGCTGGTCTTAAACACTTTTCCAGTGTCACATAAAATGTGGACTCCTAAAAATCCAGTGCCTCTTACCGTTTCATTGGTTGAACGTTCACAATCCTCACGTAGGCATGCGCAACACTACCAGTGAGTCAGAATTTTATAGTTCTAAATTCAACACGCAACGCCCCAGGTGCGTTCTGCGCGACATCGCGCAGAATGTGCTACGCGCGCGTCAATCTCCATAAAAGGGTTGTTTACATCTTACTCGCCAGCTGAACACTCCATTATTTTGCTAAAGGGATGTTTCAAAAAGCTGGAGTGAACTTGTTGATCAAAATCAGGATTTTGTGAACGAATTCCTTGATTTTTTTTTTACCGAAAAGGTATTTATGAATGGGAATAAATATGTGCTCGGTCGGTATTAATCACTCTGTTTAAGACTGCTTAGAGTCTGGGTGCTGATAATTACCCGAGCCGGATTATCAGCACCCAGACTCTAAGCAGTCTTAAACAGAGTGATTAAAACCTCTCGAGCACACATTTATTCCCTTATTTAAAACCACCCACATGACAGGCTCTCGACCAATAGAGACGGGTAAACTGTCTTAGGTATTTTATGAATAATGGTTACGGTTGAACACCTACCGTTCGGTGACATCAGAATGGAGCACTTCTGTACAGCTTCTCTTAGATTGCAGGATCTATCCGCACAGGTTTGATAGTCGTCCCCTGGTTCAGGACATGGCTCTGCGTTAGACAGCCAGGCCGTGCCATACCCATGAGCATTCGGATACTGTGGAATCACGGATCAAAACACCACATTTCAAAAAAGTTGGTATTGTTCGATTTTTTTTATTTCTATTTTTGATTTCAAAATCATTTATTTCCATCATTCTCGCATGGATCAGAATTGGATGGATCTCTGGTCTCCTTTTATGCAGTGGAATTGAGTATTTGGATTTTTTTGGGGAGGGGGGTGGCAGAATCCTTTTAGGGCTTATCTTTTAAGAGTTGTAGAAAGTTCATATATTGTTAAGTTTTATGAAATAAGTTTTAAAAAATGTCTGTTTAAGGGGGAGTTCTCCAACAGCGATGGCCGTCTTTGAAAGAGACCTATTCTACTGTTGTAAACAAAAGTACAGCGAAATCTCGATAAGTCAAACCCCAAGTGACAGGTTCCAAATTTGACTTAAGCAGAGTTCTGAGCTAAGCAGGGTTGTATATCATTGTGATACTACTGAAGGCAATGGATTCTTTAATTGACTTTAAACAGTTGTTTGTTATCAGAGTTTGACTTCACAGTAAATAGTGGTTGAGGAATCATATCAAATCCTTTGTGGTCAAAAGGACCCCATGTAAACTGGCCAAAGGGCACAGCCAGATGACCTTGGGCATAGAGATTAACAGCTCCCGGGCTCTGTGTATACAGTAGCACTGCCTAGCACGTGTACAGTAAACAGACCCTACGCGCTGAGCCATTGAGCAACGGCAAATTTTATTGGAGTTTAGATGTACAATTCTTTAGTAAATGAATACACGCGAGCCTAAACCTTAACCAATCACAATAAGGGTTATATTGTTAGAAAGCTGACGAGACGAAGAAAAATGACTCGAGAGATCTAAGCTCCCAGGTGGCGCTATTTAACGTTATGATGATGTTAATGGACCAGTTCTTGGCTGGACGCTTGGTTTACACACAAAACGGGGAGATTTTTGACTGAAAATGCAATGTTTAACATCAATTCGCGAGTGAAATTCAGTGTTTTATTCAGTTTTGCTTTCATTTTCTGAAAGAGTATATTGTTAGGGTCACACTGTAGTGAGATCTAAGGTATACCCTGTCGAAAAATGAAGTGGTGGCGACAGATGTGAAAAAAGGCCCATTTTTAATGATTTTTTAGCCGCGTTCTCTCATAGAGGTTGCACATAAAAACCGGCCCGGTGGGTTAGTTCCCCAAAGGAATTCATATGCTCCGTCTTACATCTCCCAAGCCAGGCTCTTGATTGGTGACGGCGCCACAGATGCCACAGACTTCGTCGGCGTAGGCAGACGGAAGAGTGATGTCGACAAGATCCCGGCCGTTCCAGGCTACCGTCAGACCAAAATCGGTGGACACCTTCTGCAATACACGACAGGAAACAAAGTACAACTCATCAGTCGACATTCACTTTAATGTAAACCATTCAGAAACCCAACCCAATCTGAAAATGTGTAAGCCACTGTCTTCTGATGGCTCACCAAACCAAACCTAACTTACCTCATAATAATAATAATAATAATAATTTGGGAAGCTAATCATCCTTACTCGCAGCTGGTATGCTGAATTGCGAAGGACGCGGCTACAACGTGGTCGGGCCGCTGGCACGTAAAGGCGCCTATGGCTGCCGGCCACATCGACCCATATATGACCACGGAGCACAGCCTGAGATCGAAAGTGTTTGATTATTCCGGAGTGAGGAAAACCGGAGGGCCTGGAGGAAAAACCCTCGTGGCACAGGAGAGAACCAACGCACAACTCTACTCACATGTGATCCGCGGCCGGGTTTCGAACCGTGGTCACCTTGGTGAGAGGCGAGCGCTCTACGCACAAGCCACCCATGCCACCCTAACTTAGACAAGTGTGTATTTGCATGCAATCGGGGACCCCTTTTTGTTTAAAGATGTGGTGGCTATAGCTTTTGCACATTCGGAAAGTTGTGAGTACTTCGTGTGCGAACCAGTGCAGTACAGTAGTGCCATGCTGTGTTTAATCCACCGAGCTCTCAAAAGAGGTAAAAACGCGCCCTCTTTTGTTGGCGCACGGAACCCAGAGCGTTGATCACACCAACAACCTTTGTGAGCCCGGACCGATATATGAGATACTTCCATAAGACAAGACCTTACCACAAGCCATCCATACTGGTTGATATCAATTCCTGCCTGGATGTAGGGGTAGTGCTGCTCCTCTCCGTTGACCGTCAATTCCATCCTTTTTTTCAGCTGGACATTCTGATGCAAATACAATCAATTCAAAACAGGAATGTTGCTATAACCAAACAAATGACCATATTGGGTTTTTTTGTCTCTAAAGAAGGGTAGGTCGGTGAAAAAAATATATTTCTGAGAAAAAAAAAATGCAGTTGCACCCTTAGGCCAAAAAAAAAGTCTCCGGTTTCTGGTATGGAGCTTGCCCAAAAAGTGTTGCGGTTACGTGGCTTTTTAAATTTTTTACCTGACTTTTTTGCTTCAAATGTCGGCTGATGACTGCAAATGGTGCCCGACTAAACTTAGTGCAAATATAAGGGAGTCCAGAGAGGCCACATAAAGCTTATTCTCGACCACAACCCAATCGAAAAACACGTTAAAATTGTGCAGCAGCAGGATTCCAGTCAAACCAGTGAGTTTGGCGGTTTTGAGACATCATCTTTCATTGAAAAAAAAAAACTTTTTCATTTTGCCGACGCGCATGGCTACGGCGACGCACGCGCATACCAGAAACCGGAGACTTCTTTTTTTTGGCCTTATAGATGGCTAATTTTAATGAATCCAAGTGCGTATTGTCTCTAGTTTTGTTTCTTGCCAATGAGTTTATCATGAGTTGATATCGCTCTCTAAACCATATTTGGCAAGACGTAGTCAACTCACAAGCAGTGGCCTAAAAAATTACCTACCTGGTCCCCGATGAATATGTGAACTGCCTCAATACGAGACATGTGCGGGAATTCATCGTCTGGTTCGTTCTCCAGTACCACCTGGAAGGGGTTTTGTGGCATTCCGCAGGCCCTGGCCAAGACGTAACTGCAAGTTCCGTAGAAGTTGAAGACTTCGCCGTCAAACCTGTCGTAGTGGGTATGGCCACTAACTGAACAGGAACTGACACCTTCAAGAAAATTAAAAAGAAAGAGAGAATTAAACTTAAGAGTATATTTCACTTTTTTTTGTAAGGGTTTGCGGGTATTATGAAAGAGAATAAAACTCTTCAATTGGATATTCCATTGACAAGTTATGGCTGTTTAAATTGCACGTCAATTGCCATGTCAAAAAAGTAAAATACTGAGAAAAGGCCTTTAAATATTCAGGTTTTGTATTCATTTACCCATCTTAAAAAATATACATAATTACCAGCGCCTTGAGTACCTAATTGTTGGTAGATACGTGCGCTATATAAGACTCCGGTATTATTATTCGTGAACATGAAAGATACCAATTGTTTTTCCTTAAAAACCTTTTCTTCCAAGATTATTAAACTACTTCTCTATTATACTATTTCTAAATTATGTGTGGTAGATATATCCAAAGATTACAAAAACAAATGAATAAGAAATTCAAAAAAAAAACATCATCCCAGTTTCTCCACCATGGCCTGTGCCCAGTTCCGCCTCATTTTGCCCGAACGCCTCTCTATTTACCCTCGTCACAGTGATCTCCCATCCAGCGTCCTCTACAGACACATTTGTACGGAGGTCCGTCTTCTGCCGTCACAACACATATGCCGTCATTGTCACATGGGTTAGGGTAACACGGATCCTCTGCAAATCAAAAGAGAAGACATACAAATTGGGATTCTTGTCAAGTCACAAAATAGGGCTCGTTCAATGACGGCCATCTCTCTTGGAAAACCGCAACTGCGTATTTTATGCAATCAAGCATGCAATGCGCAGTGTTGCAAATGTTCCGAACACGCACGCTTGTTGCTCGAAATGTTTTCGAAATATGACGCAGGCAATGCGCCTTATGCAAGTTGACGCTCAAATGCGGATGCACGTGGCCATCTGTAGGAAATGACGTCATTTGAACGAGACCTTGAGCTCTTAACTAATAAAAGATAGAACGTGTACTTGAAAGATAGACCTTGTATGCTGCAGTTACCCCATTTCAATGCAGTAACAACGAATGCTCATAAGGTTTCGTTGAATCCCTATCCTAGCATTACAAAACCACTGCCCACTGACTCCACCATCAAGCATGAGGTGTATGCTCTTAAAGAGGTTGTGGAATGCTCGAAGACATTTCTGTCATTTTTTGCGTATATGTAGCCTAAGGTGTGATGAAATAAAAACGACTATTGTTTCTGTCATGAAAAAATGAGTACAAAAGGTACTTTTGGGAGCTATTTTTCAGGTCCTGTTTCGACCCGAACGTGCAATTTGTGTAAAAGTCGTCGTTGCGGGCAGCAAACAAAACACAGTAAATCGTGACGTAATAACCAGGACTCGTTTATGCTACTCTGCATCGGGAGTCCTGTTTATTAGGTCACGATTTACTGTGTTTTGTTTGCTGCCCACAACGATGACTTTTACACAAATTGCACGTTCGGGTCGAAACAGGCATGACAGGACTTGAAAAACAGCTCCCAAAAGTACCTTTTGTACTCATTTTATGACAGAAACAATAGTCGTTTTTATTTCATCACACCTTAGGCTACATATACCCGAAAAATGACGGAAATGTCTTCGAGCATTCCACAACCTCTTTAACTCTGTACATACTAACCCACAAATTCAGGACAAGAAATACATATATACATAAGGACTAATGATACCTTTTCCTATGCTTGTACCCTAACTTCGAAGAACAGGTACAAATATATGAGAACACATTTTATAGGTGGTAAGATATGAGCAATTTTGACAGTCCAAACCGAACTTATAAAATGCACAGTTTCATTAAACTTACCAAAAATACTAATTTTTTGTTTGCAAAGTGCCGGGGGAAAGATATATATAGCTCTGTTGGATCAGGACCAAAATAATATCCTTAAGGTTGCAAGTTTACATCCCTTAAGAGGCTTCAGCTGATTTTGTTCTGTTTATTTTTGCAGCTTTTGTATGATGAGAAAACCTTTTTGTAAAAATGCAAGCACAGCAATCACAAAGAACATAATAATATGCACATAATACAAATTATTATTATTATTATTATTAATCATTTCTGGTAATGAAACCAAGGATTCCTCAAATGCGCCCTAGGGCACTGTAGCTCGCAGGCCTGAAAAAAACCTGTGGAGAGAAGACAATGAGAAGAAGTTACAGTTTTAGAGGAAAGTACCGCTACGCCAACCTGACTCTCAAGAAAGTACCAGACACGTACCTATGCACTCCGTCCCGTTGCGTCTGTATCCGTGATTACAGTGGCATCCGTAGTCACCGTCTCGGACGGTGCACGTGGCGTTTTCATGGCACTCCACTGCTTCACAGTTAGGTTCCCCGCCTTCACAACGGCAGACCTCATGGCAATCTTGACGGTAGTATTCCTCATCATGCTGGTCAAGGGGATGGTACCACAAAATAAAATGTTTCACGTTTCCATATTTAATACTGAGAGAATACAGAGAACACTGATCTCAGTTAACCTATATCTGCTTACAATAGCTCCGCTTTAATTGTACAGAGGCTTATCCATTTTTTTTTATAGCCAGGGGCCGGGGGAAAAACAAACTTAAGACTATACTCTATCAACGTCTGAACTGTCTTAAAACTGTAGAAACATTTACAATAAAAAAATGCCAAAATGTCCGGGGGGGGGGGGGGAGAGAGAGTTACATTAGGAAAACAAAACCGAGTTGTGGACCAGGACTAATGTGAACACAGCTTTTCTTTCGTAGGATGGAATTTTGCGTCGGGGTGATGTAAATCAATATTAGGTTTTGCCTAATACAGACATTTTACCACTCTTTTCTTATTAAGAAACAAAGCAATCACTCGGGTGGGACTCGAACCCACGGCCTCCTGCTATCTAGTGCAGACGTCTTACCACTCTTTTCTTATTAAGAAACAAAGCAATCACTCGGGTGGGACTCGAACCCACGGCCTCCTCCTATCTAGTGCAGACGTCTTACCACTCTTTTCTTATTAAGAAACAAAGCAATCACTCGGGTGGGACTCGAACCCACGGCCTCCTGCTATCTAGTGCAGACGTCTTACCACTCTTTTTTTATTAAGAAACAAAGCAATCACTCGGGTGGGACTCGAACCCACGACCTCCTGCTATCTAGTGCAGACGTCTTACCACTCTTTTCTTATTAAGAAACAAAGCAATCACTCCGGTGGGACTCGAACCCACGACCTCCTGCTATCTATTGCAGACGTCTTACCACTCTTTTCTTATTAAGAAACAAAGCAATCACTCGGGTGGGACTGGAACCCACGACCTCCTACTATCTAGTGCAGACGTCTTACCACTCTTTTCTTATTAAGAAACAAAGCAATCACTCGGGTGGGACTCGAACCCACGGCCTCCTGCTATCTATTGCAGACGTCTTACCACTCTTTTCTTATTAAGAAACAAAGCAATCACTTGGGTGGGACTCGAACCCACAACCTCCTGCTATCTAGTGCAGACCTTTTACCACTCTTTTCTTATTAAGAAACAAAGCAATCACTCGGGTGGGACTCGAACCCACGGCCTCCTACAAACTAGTGCAGACGTCTTACCACTCTTATCTTATTAAGAAACAAAGCAATCACTTGGGTAGGACTCGAACCCACGACCTCCTGCTATCTAGTGCAGACATTTTACCACTCTTTTTTTATTAAAAGAAACAAAGCAATCACTCGGGTGGGACTCAAACCCACGGCCTCCTACTATCTAGTGCAGACGTCTTACCACTCTTATCTTATTAAGAAACAAAGCAATCACTCCGGTGGGACTCGAACCCACGGCCTCCTGCTATCTATTGCAGACGTCTTACCACTCTTTTCTTATTAAGAAACAAAGCAATCACTTGGGTGGGACTCGAACCCACGACCTCCTGCTATCTAGTGCAGACCTTTTACCACTCTTTTCTTATTAAGAAACAAAGCAATCACTCGGGTGGGACTCGAACCCACGGCCTCCTACAAACTAGTGCAGACGTCTTACCACTCTTATCTTATTAAGAAACAAAGCAATCACTTGGGTAGGACTCGAACCCACGACCTCCTGCTATCTAGTGCAGACATTTTACCACTCTTTTTTTATTAAAAGAAACAAAGCAATCACTCGGGTGGGACTCAAACCCACGGCCTCCTACTATCTAGTGCAGACGTCTTACCACTCTTATCTTATTAAGAAACAAAGCAATCACTCCGGTGGGACTCGAACCCACGACCTCCTGCTATCTAGTGCAGACGTCTTACCACTCTTTTCTTATTAAGAAACAAAGCAATGTCTCACCAGGTGGTAGTAGCCTTCATCAAAGCAGCCACAGTCCTCTGGCCGTACGCATTTTCCGTCGTGATCCAAGACGTAGCCTTCCTCACACTCACAGCCTTCCTCACAGTGGTAAGGGCACTCCTGGGCAAGCCTGACCGGCCGGCCGCAGCGTCTCTGGCAGGTATTGGCGCAGTACTTGAACACGGCATGCTCTGGGCAACGCACCGCTGTCATGGATAACGACAAAATTAAAAATAAAAACAATTTGGACTTATTGATAACTGCAAAAGATCAGTCAAATATGAAGACAGTAAATATGCAACTGATGGATTCTTTAAAAAAAAAAAAAAGAAGGAAAACTTACAGATTATTGCAAAAGTCTAGACTATACATTTAATAGTTCAGAAAAAAATGCCATTTGCTATATAGGAATTCCAAACAATATATTCAATTGCTCAAATTCAGTACAGCGCAAAACACTACATCATGACAAGAATAGCAGGGCTCCTAAATGAACTCTTATTTATTTATTTTTGGGGGATAAAATAGCTCAATACACAAAATCTCCTGCCTTTAAACAGCAGGTTAAACAAACATCAATATTACTTGATGGAACTGCTTTCATAGACTCAAATATGATAAAGTACCAACAGTAAATGAAATTCTTTCACATTATGAACGACGTGCTTCATCACATTCCACTCCAACTTCACTCAACTTTTCAAGTGTTCCACACTTTGAAAGTTGAAATTAAAAGAAAATCAACAAGTCAGGTGTGTTTACAAACACAAATGCCCCGCAACGGTGACTGTTCCCATGACATAACACCACTCTTTTAACATCAACGTACATGTACCTTGGTCACATGGAACTTTCATTGACAGCATAAGTGTCTTCTGTAGGTTTGATATGAATTAATCCCTAATCCCTATGATCTCAGAATAAATAAAAGATTTCTATTGTTTTAGCCACTGTGACCTTGACCCTTGACCTTTCGACCCCCAATGCGATAGGCCTATTTGGATTACCATTAGAACGATCCACAAACCAAATTTGAAGTTCATATGTAAAGTATTTCTCAAGTTATCGCGCTGACAAAATTTCTCTGTTTTAGCCACTGTGACCTTGACCCTTGACCTTTTGGCCCCAAATGCAATAGGCATTTTAGGATTGCCAAGGAGAATCCACAAACCAAATTTGAAGTTCATATGTAAAGTATATCTCAAGTTATCACGCTGACAAAATTTCATTTGTTTTAGCCACTGTGACCTTGACCCTTGACTTTTTGGCCCCAAATGCAAAAGGCTTCTTAGGATTGCCAAGGACAATCCACAAACCAAATTTGAAGTTCATATGTAAAGTATTTCTCAAGTTATCACGCTGACAACATTTCTTTTGTTTTAGCCACTGTGACCTTGACCCTTGACTCTTGACCCTTGACCCTTGCACCTTGACCCTTGCACCTTGCACCTTGCACCTTGCACGCACGCACGCACGCACGCACGCACGCACGCACGCACGCACTTCAGAGGTAACAGAGACAGGAAAAATGTCACACTTTGGACACTAAATGTCTCATGTCCACTTACGGCAGGCTCCGTTCATCCTCCATGGGTCCACATCAGTGTGCATTCTCTGGCAGAGTTTGGCAACAATGGACAGGGATTCACAGACAGGCGTCATCGTGTCGTGAATAAAAGCACAGCTATCGTCTTGGCAGCTGAGGTGCGCTGCAACACGTAACTCTATCGGGCATCTCCTAAAAGGCCCTGTTAGTAGCAGAAAATCAATCATACAAAAGATCAAATGTACATGTGCTCACACAGGTCTACAATGCATTGGCAAATCTACTGGAGGGGAATAAAGATAGGGGAACAAATATATTACACGGCAGCTGTTTACGATTTATGCAAATTAGGCACCCTTCCCAAAAGAATTTCAGGTGTCACCCCTTCTAAATATCGTCTTTACGGCTATAAGAATCTATCTGCCAAGTTTGGTGCTTTGGACGAGTCGATCACGCTCTTGTCAAAAATTGGGGCAAAGCCACTTTGACTATTTCTGTGAATTCTACCCACCTCTTGGATCGATTAACGGTGAACACAATTGTGCTATTTGCTCCTTCTCTTCATCAGAACAGTCAGGTCTTATCAGAGGCATTGTAGCTGGGGGATTGTCTCCCGGATAGGCAATATTCCTGTCTCCAAAGGCAGCGATGTCAAACTAAAAAACACAAAACAGAAAGCACTGATGGATCAAAAATTAGGTCTCTGAAATTAGGTCACAAAAAAGAAAAAACTTGATTGAAGTAGGACTGATTCAAACAATGATGGCGCTAAAACTTTACAAACTGGGCTGTTTAACACAATGTCAGCTTCTTGATATGGATCTGGATCGTTATGGGCTCTCCGTGCACAAGTACAATAATTGTGAAGCGCTTTGAAACCTTTTGTATAAAGCACTATATGAGCACTATATTATTATTACCCCATCAACGGCAAGAAAAGGAGAGTTGATGGGGGGGGGGGGGGGCCTAGACTGGTTCTCAGTCCATCCATGGCGTATTTTGAATGATCCAAAGTTATTGGGGTTTAGGATTAGTCTGGGAGACCATTGCAAGTTAAATTTGAACGTATTCGAGCATATTCGCGCACCGACGACGCCTGGGATAAGCTTTGTGCACATTCAGGAAATTAAAAAGTCATGCGTACTTCGTGCACGAACTACAATGTGCACACGCGATGTCCCGTCCAAGAGGCGCTCAGAAGCAGTAAAAGTGCGCCCTCTTTGTTGGCGCACAGAGCCCATACTCCGACAAAATGGCTTTTTGCTTCAAGTCTTTGCGTGGGTAGTCTTTCCACTGTTTTCTTTTTTTAACGCTTTACTGGTTTTCACATGATTTCATTGACAAGTAACACAGGAAGTTATGATGTATCGAAGGGATTCATCGGTGCTGTTACCATTTAATGATATCAAATATTGGCCATTTTGGGGTGGATTTACCACAGAAAAAAAATCAGTGTTGTGGCACCTGGATAATAAGGAAAGCTATTAGAGAGTGTCGTGAAAAAGAAATTATATTGACAACTTGGCGTAAAAAACTGTATCGCACTTCCAAGTGATATGGGCGATTAGAAGTGATAAGCGTATGCCGCTCAGAAAAAGCCGCCTTTTAAATCACCATTTTGTGTTGTTATTTCATCGAGCACACTATTTGGCAATGTACATCTCATATGAAAATATTTGCCCCGGTGTTTCTGGCAGTGGCAGCAATGTGCGCCGCAGCACCTAGCAAAAAAAGGTGCTACATAATGGGTCTCATATGTTCGTATACTTCATATACCTGTCTTTTGTTGCATTCTCCCCCCGTGCTTTGTATCCTTTGGAAAAGGCGCTATATAAATACGGCTATTATTATTATTATTATTATTATTATAAATGTGTTGTGTAAGTCTGGTGAAGTTATCACACAAAATAGTGATTTGATAGTTGTATCATTTCTAATGGCGCTATGACATCCCTTGCCCTTCACGACACGCCCCTCCCCCCCCCCCCCCCCCCAAGAAAGAACCCAAACATTTGGTGAATCTTAATAAGCCAGTTCGGTATCTCCATGAAGTAGTTCAAGTTATAAAAAAAATATAATCGATAAAATCGCTGGCGTGATGATACGCAATGTTACGCGGACGCTCAGTCTGCTTGTAATTAAAGCCAGAGTCCATCATTTGCAGCTATCCAAAAAAGTAACCGGCGTAATTATTGTTGACAAACATACTGGTTGAAAGATAGTAAGGGGACTAAACTCCCTGTGAAATTATCCTTTCTGGCAAGCTCTCATTTTGAAGAAATCAACGAAAGAAGGCATTTCCAACGGTGCTTCTTAAGAAGCACCATAGGAAATTTAAATTAGTTGTTCGTTTTGTTATTCGGCACAAGCATTGGAACGACGCACAGGCGCGCGCGGTTGCTATAATTCGTTGGATCAGTGCGCAACATCGCGTAAAGCTGCAATTCAGAACAATTCGAAACATGATTTAGCAACTTTTGATTTTAAATTGAGATCCTAGAATGCTGTTTTTCTCGGAATATGAAGCTGAAGCTGAGCTGAAACTTCATCAAGTGGTTGTTCAGTATCCTTCATTAGATTTTGAACACTTTTGTTGCTTCAAACGAACAAAATGCACTAATTACAAATGATGGACTATAGCTTTAACACGTGAACGTCGTGCACCCGGGTCAGTGCGCGTTCATGCGCCTTCGATGAGCATTTGATTATCCAGAATGACCCGTGTCCCACATCATTGTGCGCATGCGCAGTTGAAGTACCATACCGGCTTATTGATTGATCCTGGTCAACAGGATAACCTACCGGATTTGCAATAGAAGCAGCGATCTCTTCATCGACGGGTCCGCCCATATCTCCACACAGTCCGCATACTTGGCTGGCCCAATCAGTGGAGAGTGCGATGATGGTGGAGTGGAAACCGTCCCATTCCACTGCCAAGCCAAACTTTGTGGAAACAATCTGCAAAGGTTTGCAAAAAAAACCTTCTGTTTAGAAAGAAATTACCTTTGCAAATGGGAATTCGAATAGCAAATTACTTTTTTGAATGATTATTTTTTTTGGGGGGGGGGGCCTCAGGTAAATTTAAACTCTACATCTGAGGTCTTGGGTTCCATTCCCACCTTGTTGATTTTTATTTTGGCAACTCCTTGGACAACGCTGAGTTTACACTGCTTAACATGGGTGTTGTCAGAATTTTTTGGGGGGGTGGGGCAAAGCACATTTTCCCCAAAAATCCTTGTACCTCTAGCATATCCTTTTTGGAGGGTGGGTGGGGGGGGGGGCATTTGCCCACCCCACCCCCATTGACATCCCTGCAGATGCCAATTTAGTTGAACGTGTATGAAATGAACAGCAAATAATGACTTTACACCTCTTGTTTGACTTTTTTGACAAATTGACCGTAACACCAGTTTTTAGACTAGCATTTTGAGCCATGCCAAACGAAATTATTCTGAAAAGTTCAATTTTGAAAAAGTTAAGACCAACCAATCAAATGATCAAAAGTTGTGGTCATGTCAACTACTCTGCAGTCCAGACAATGGAAATGGAATACATAAAACCATGCCATCAAAGCCTAGGTTTGTTGAGTGACACTCACCACTCGGTTGAACAGCAAAGAGATCTCTACCAGGTCGTTGCTGTAAGGTGGCAAGATCTCAAGCCCGTTCACTGTGATATCGTTGTCCTGGTATAGGCTGATTTCCTGGAGAGTTGGAAAAGAAATTAACAATTTGTACGTAAGCGAAAGTAAAAGAAAAGAACTTGTTGAAATGATTGGATAAAATGATATATTAGGGGATATTTGCAAGCACGTGCGTGTGGTCTAGCGGTGGAGCACAGGATTCATGATCGTGAGGTTGTGGGTTCGAGCCCCGCCATGGCCATGCGTGTTGTACCCTTGAGTAAGGCGCTTTACCTCAATTACTCCTCTCAACCCAGGTGTTAAATGGGTGACAGGCATTATTCAATGCTGGGAAGGTAACAGACTCGCTGTGGAGGAGGTGTGGCGATCCCCCCACAGCAGCATATGAGTCTGGCCCAATCGCTAAATGAAAGAGAGATGGGCACTCCATCCCTGTGAACACAGGGTCGTCCCCTTACTTTTTTGATTTTGATAAATTAGAAGCGAACGATCCTGAACTGATTCAAGCAAGTGGAAAAGATGAAGAGATTGAACCAACCAACCACCAAACCATGTAGAATGCTATTTTACGTGGCGGTGCCAGACTCTAAAATTTGGGAGGGGGGGGGGGGAATTTAAGGCAAGGAAATAGGGTTTTTTTTGGGGGGGGGCAGTCACCATTGTCAATGGTCCGGAAAGAAGCCTTTAGAGCAACTTAAAAGTGTAGTTGTTTTCAGGAATGAGAAATGTATTCAATCGTAGAATGGTGTATAACAAATGTAAAACAAATGTACAAAGACGTTGGCTGCACACTATCTCTATGTATGGCGTGTTTTGTCTAAAGTACCAATGTTTAAAATGCTTTCATTGGCCCAAACTGTGTCCACATTTTATGAATTTTAACAGCAAAAAAAAGAAACATAATTAATCTATCAATTGATAAAATGTGTTGAGGAAAAACTGGGGGAGTGAAGGGAAAAATTGTGGGAAAAATGCCCCCCCCCCCCCCAAGAAGTGCTGGCACTGCCAGCAAGTGTCACTTATTGACAGGGCCGCGAAAATAATCAACTGTGGATAATAATATCCATATAACCCGATGCATTCCACTTACCATGCCTTGGAAGCGAAGCGAAATTTCATCTGTTATGGTAAACCCAGGATTGTCCACCACTCTCTTATTCTTAACGACGACCTCGAAGTCCGGCTCTGCAGACTCGTTGCAGCTCCTCGTCAGGTAATACGAGCCTGCCCCTTGGAAGGCGTAGGACGCCAAGGAAAAGGTGGTGAAGTGGGGGAGGCCATATACATTGCAATACCGGACCTCTGTTCGACAAAGACACAGACAAAAAAAGAACGCAAATGCTTAAAATACACTCACTAGCTAAATACAAGGAAAGAATGTTGCAACCTGATGCTACTTCAGCAGCTGTGTACAAAGTCTATGGAGAGTCAAGAAAATATTCTCTAAGTATCTCCTAACAAAATTGGAAATATTTCTCAGTTACTACAGATGCATGTCTTATCGTGTCTTATCATCATTTTTGCAATGACTGACCTTCATTGAGATGATGTATGAAGAAAAAAAGCAGCGTCAGGTTGCAACATTCTTTCCAAATACAATAAAATGGACTCCATGGACACACAAATGTCATCTATGATCCAACATTGACTTCTGGCTCTTTTGAAAACAGCCATTAACAGATTGGGAAACCGCCAACATACAGCCTGATAGCTCAGTTGGTAGAGCACTGGAACGGCGTTCCGATGGTCATAGGTTCATATGCTGTTGCAGTCAATTTCCTTGTTCAACTAGCGCCCCTTGAACACAGACTTTGACAAGCTGGGGAACCACCAACATAGGGCTGGATAGCTCAGTTGGTAGAGCACCAGTGCGATGTCCCTGCGGTCAGAAGTTCACATCCTGCTGCAGTCGATTCCTTTGTTCAACTTTATAAAAATCTTTAATCCATGTCAACATATGACTTTAGTTCACTGCACCCGATTTCATAAAACTCATCGTAACTTACGATGCATCGCAGCGCTGCGACGCGTCGTATCTCTACGATGGGTTGCAGCTGCGACGCATCCTGCGATCCATTTCATAAAACACATCGCAAGTGCGATGTGTTGTAGGTGTAATTACAGCACAACTCGGTGAACGACTATGTAAACAGTCGTGTGGTGTAATTTTAAAGGAAAACTAGCTCTCAATGGACTGTATAGCTAATTTGAAATTTCAATTGCAATATTCCCCACTAATTCATAATTATTCAATGAATTTTCTATTTACAACTTTACATACATTGTCTCGGTATTAAAGTCTCGTTATGAATTTTATATGGTATAAAACTGGCTAAGAAAAGGTCACTTCTTATTTTGTGATGACCACTAGACACGTATCTACATATATAGGGAATATACATCATTTGCTTTTGCTGTAATTTTCAGAAATGGATGGAATTGGGGGGTTGGAAATATATAGCAAATATAGTTACACTGACTTTTTTGAGGTTTTGGGTTCAAAAATGCTATAAAAACCAAGAAAAACAATCATTTTCCTGTAGTCTGGTTCCCTGACTCCATATAAGAAGAAACAGAGCAGTTTACATACATTGGGGAATTGTAAGGTCAGGGAACCAGTCTAGCTGGCTTGTACCCGTTCATAGGTGTGTAATCGATATCAAACAAGTGCGATGGTCAATTGGGGCCAGTATTTGAAAAAAAGCCAGTTTTTTCCAACACTGGTCAGCCGACCAGCATTGGAAATTGATAAAAAAAAAAATACCACTTTTCTTGAAAATGACAGTATACCAGGTGCCATGATTTTACAGGATGCTTTACACTGTTATTCACTTACAGTCCAGCAACGTATTTCAAAATGATTTGGTAGTTTTATTTTTTGATGTTTGCAAATGTTGTATTTTCCCTTTAAACTGTTGTCAATGAACTTAGGAAGAGTTCAACACATTGCAAGTTTCGCGAAATGGATCGTACGATGCAGCACGAGTTGTGACGTGTTACACGTCGTAACTTGAGTTGTGATGCGTCACAGCGCTTCATGCAACTAGTCGCTGGACTACCACAGAGTGAGAGCAAATGGTGTACATGGGAAATAATGTATGAATATTTATTTTTTTTAATACATGTTGCTTTCATTTTTAACTCACTTGAATGAACTGTCATCGATATCTTCAATTATATGTATTACCATCCGTTTTTTGCAACTCCTTTTAAGTTTTATACTGTCATCACTTCTCTCCAAATTATTTTCTTTCATGTGATTCGTTTTTATTATTTTTATTTCTGTAACGAAATATTTGCTATCTTGTTTTTTCTTAGATAGTGTATATTTTCCTTCTTTTTTGTTCGTTTTGTTTTGTTCAGTTTTGTTCTGTTCTGCTTGGTTTGGATTTTTGTTTTTTGTTTTGTTTTGCTTTGTCTTGCTCTGTTTGTTTTTGTTTTACTTTGTTTTCCTTGTCTTGTCTTGTTTTTGTTTTGTTTAGTTACGTTTGTTGTTTTGTTTTTTCCTCTTCTTTTTGTTATTTTGTTTGTTTGTTTTGCTGTTGTTTTGTGTTTGTCTTAAGTATATGTGCGTTGTGTCTTTTTTTTTTTTTTCCCATTACTTGTTAGCATTTCATATATCCATATATGCATATATCCAATGAAATTGTCTCCTATCACAATTCACAGTGCTCGTTTCATCTCTATATACATATATAATTTGTTTTTAGTTTGTTTTTATAACATCAATCTGTATTTTTTATAATGATTCTTTTTGAACATATTTGTGTTTATATATATATTTTTTTTTTTTAAATAATTTTATAATATTTTTAAACCAGTCCTGTAATTGGCTTTTTTTTCTTCTGTTGTTGGATGTGGAAAATAAATAAGTAAATAAATAAATAAAAAATAAATAAATAAATCTTGACCTTGTTCACAGTGATCTCCATTGAATCCATTTTGGCAGAGGCAGCCATAGGTGTCATTGGGTCCTGGGATACAAGTGCCCAAATTCTCACACACCACACCAGTGCAAGGGGCCTCTGCAAAAGACAAAAACCATGGTCAATGCATATACAAAATGATTTTTCTTTTACAATGGGGGAAAAAAAACAAGCTGCTAACTTTACTTCTGGATCAACAAATTGTTTCACACATACTGAAATTTGTATCTTTGTGGAGACATTTCTTTATTCTCGTAAATGAGTTTGAAAGTGTTGTTTCAAAATGCTCTTATTTTAACCAGAATTCATTTCCTTGGCTGAAATTCGGACTTAAGATCCCTTTTCTAAAACTCTTCCATTTGCGACGGATCAACATACCTTGGAAATTCCTAGTTTTTGAGTAAAATCCATACATCTATTTTGTGAAGACATTGTATTCATCTATAGAAATTGCCCTGTGGAGACGTATACAATCTTTTGTTCCCTATTGTGTGCATGTCCCCAGAGGGCACGGTGTATCAAATCATTATATCTGTTTGAGTTTTCAAGCTATGAATCTCAGTTCAAGAGGCCAAAAGGCTACCAAATTTATTACAACCAAAATCTTAATATATAATATTTGAAATTAGTCAATAAACTCTCTTGATGTGTCATCTAGAATGGAAGACAGCTTATTAAGGCATGTTCTAAACACTGTGCCACTGCCGTGCCGAACTCAATTAATTTGACCAATTTTTTGATTTTTGGCATGGTGATAGTGGGCACTTGGGACTACTGCTCGGGAAAAAGAATGGATTTTTGACACGGCACCTTCTTTGGCTGGACTGGGTGTGACGTGATACCGTCGTTCTGAACAGCAATGAAACAGCACTGGTCTAAAAATTTTAATTCGAAGTTGGTTGCTATGGATGCATTTAGTTCGACTTATTACGCTCAGCGTTTAGAGCAACTGCCGTCAGGCCCAAGATAAAGGCCATATGACCTCTTGAAATAAAAAAGTATTACAAATATGGAATAAAAAAGCAGAGAACATATGTAGCAAATTTGACATAAAATATTCAGTGAAATCCTGAATTTATATTTAACAAGCACTTTAATGACGAAACTGCATATATAGTTCTTGAGAAAACCATATTAAGAGATTTTGAGAGGAAAAAATATTAAAACGAGACACAAGTCAGGGACATAAAAAAGCCATTTATTGTGATTTTACTATACCTCTAGCGATTTAATTGGGGTTTCACATAATGTAAAATAAGGGTAATTTGCATTTTTATGAATGAAGGAACGAACCATTTTGTTTTCTTCAAAGGGTGGTCCAAACTGTATTACTACTAACAATAATACAAATTGAGTTTTGATGAGGACAAAATCTAATCAAAATTTAGCAATCATCAACATCTAATTTTTTTTGGGGGGGTGCTGCTGCCGATCTTTACCTCGACATTCCATGCCATTGCCCAGGTACCCGTCCACGCATTCACACCTGCGCCGGCCGTCGGACACTGTGCATTGAGCATTCTCATCGCAGCTGACTGGTGAGCAAGACAGGGAACCAGACTGACACAGGCACAGCATGGTACAGTCCTCATTCATGAAGATTTGACCCTCCTGGAAAAGTAAGGAATCAAAGATATGCCAACCAATAAATACAAAGACCCGATGAAAACGACCCCCGCAACAGTGATATCGATTGGTCAAATGAAAACAAGTTATCGACATGTACATAAGAACAGATGATATGAGCCGCAAATATTCTTTTCCCAAACTACATTCGTTATACATGGTTGTTGAGTGCCCTCTACAATACTTTTATGATACGTACGCAGGTATATATATTTTTTCCAGGAGTGGTCGAGTAGTTTGAGTCACCGTTTTGAATCCAATTTTTTGTTTTCCTAATCTGAGGCTTTGGAGGATTTTTTTTTAAATGGAAATAAAGTAAGAATTTCAGTACGTTGGAATTCATTTCTTTTTTTCTAATTTTATAGTTTCTTCTCATGTTTTTAGAGCAGTAAAGTCCAAAATGCCATAGCGTACATCCTATGCGGATGTCATTTGGGGGAAAAAAGCCGCCGCCTGGCCTAATCCTGGTTATGTGATGGTCTTGATTACAACATTGCCATTAGCAGTTTACTGTAGCAGAAAATGACACGCTTATGGTCAAACATATTTTACGGGTTAGTAAGGAATTTTGGCTTACACGCATCTGTACATTCCAATACAGCATGAGCCCAGAATTGTTCAGCCTGGGCTGTTAGCGCAAAGTGGTGATCGCAGGCGCGGAACTCTGCGGTAAACAAAGCCATGAAAATTGGGTCCAAGTCTTACCTGGTAGTAGTTTTCAGTCTCGACATTGTAGCAGCCACATTCGTCTCTTGGTACACACGCAGTGCCGCTAAGAACGAAACCCTCGTTGCATTCGCACGCTTCCACTCTCCTCTGGTGCTCACACTCAGGGGTTGTTTGCCGTCGGACATCGACGCAGGTTTCAGGGCAGGGTGAGGCCCGGGGTTGGAGGTGGAACCCTCTGGGCAATCAACAGCTGATGCAAAACGGAAAGCAGATTATACCGTCAAAATCAAAATTAACCTATCGCGGTAGAATCGCGCGAACGCAGCTTGGAAAGTATTGTCCAATTACATGATGTACAAATGGACGCGGAACGCGCAAAATCTGAGACAAACAAAACTTATCGTACAAAAAATTCCATAGGGTTGTCACAGGGGCGTGGCTAACTCGTAAACGGCGATAGGTCAATTGGTTTAGACTGGGAAAGTGTTGAGCCACTGCATGAGCTCTTCATGTTTAGGCATCAGCAGGCTTCACTCGGTACAGCTTGTTGGCATTTCAATATATAAAAGCCTTCTCACAATCTATCATTTCGCCAATCCATGTTGAAATCATTTTATGTCAACCCAGTGGCGTAGTCAGGATTGCATTTTTTTCGGGGGGGGGGGGAAGGGGGCACAAGCATGTAATGGGGGGAGCACCAAGGACAGACCGACCAACATTTTTTTTAAACCAAAATTCAGGCGTGCAACTGGGAATTAAAAAAAAAAAAAACAGGAAAATTCCAAACCACACAAGACTTTGTAGAGTATTTTTCAATTTGTTATGACATTCATGAGAAGCAAAAATATGAGGCAATCAGTGGCTCCAAGGAAAAGTTGCACGTCTGACTAGGCAAGTGCTGCAAATTTTTAATATGGGGCAGAGGGGGCAGGGACTGTACCTGTTTGACGCTAGAGGATGTTTTTTGTCTGAGCAATTTATTCACATTCCATAAAGCCAAAGGGTTTAAGGGCAAGAAGAGGAGTAGAATAGAATACAAATTCTATCTTCACTCCTTTTATTGTTTTATTACTCAGAAACTTGAACAGACACTTCCTTGGCAAGCAGCAAATTTCAGTATTTTTGTGAGGGGGGGGGGGAGGCACTTGCCCACACCCCCATGCTCTATACCTACAGTCTGAGTTGACGGGAACAAGTGAATATGTAATGAGGCATTGTTGGATAACTAAATGTTATTTGCCCAAATTCTTTTTATAGAAAATCTGAATCCGGTATGGTCAGGTCTGAACTGCTAGGTTTGCCGGTTTCTTTCTCTGAACAAAACTGTGTGCAATTGAGACTTGAATTCTGTTCCGAAAATTTGTGAAACAAATAAATCAAATCAAAGTCATGGAAATCCAGAGCATGTAAGGTTGTTGTTTTTGATGGGCCGCTTTAAGGATGGCTGTAAGGGGAGGAAGAGGCCATTATTAATTAAAACTTCTTTTCAAAAGCTAACAAATAAGGGAATAAATGTGTGCTCGAATGGTTTTTATCACTCTGTTTAAGACCGCTTAGAGTCTGGGTGCTGATAATTACCCTCGCCTCCGGCTCGGGTAATTATCAGCACCCAGACTCTAAGCGGTCTTAAACAGAGTGATAAATACCGACCGAGCACATATTTATTCCCATTCATAAATACCTTTCTGGTATAAAAAAATCAAATAATTCGTTAAAAAAATCCCGATTTTGTTCAACAAGTTCACTTCATGCTTTTTGAAACATCCCTCTAGCAAAATAATGGAGTGTTCAGCTGGCGAGTAGGATGTAAAACAACCCTTTTATGGAGATTGACGCGCGCGTAGCATGTTCTGCGCGATGTCGTGCAGGACGCACCTGGGGCGTTGCGTGTTGAATTTAGAACAATAAAATTCTGACTCGCTGGTAGTGTTGCGCATGCCTACTTGAGGATTGTGAACGTTCAACCAATAAAACGGTAAGAGGCACCGGATTTTTTGGAGTCCACATTTTGTTGTGACACTGGAAAAGTGTTTAAGACCAGCTAGCCATGTCTTTATCATCCGTTTAAGACCGGCCACGTGACGGGCTCTCGACCAATAGGAATAGCTAAACTGTCTGAGGTATTTATGAATGGTTGTTAAAAGTGTAATACACGTGCATCATAGGCAAATGGAAAGAATGCAAACAAGTGCAGCACAGACAAAATGTAAATGTCCCCCGATGAAGCGAATCGCTACTTACGGCAGTAGTCAAGACGCCTCCATGGATCCGGACGGCCACCGAAATCTAAGCAAATCTCGACATAGATCTTTGGGTGTACGCAAGATAGGTGTGGGTTCATTAACCTAGAAGAACAGGCATCAAATTTACACCTGTACGTGAACAGGCCAGAATTCACAGAACACGAGGCAAATGGTCCTGCAAGGAAAACAAAGACAAGAAATGAAGTGGCTGGGTGGCAACTTTGAGAATGACCTGTGAGCAGAGCTAAAAGCAACTAATGTCCACGACCAGAAATGTCCGAAAGGTCTTTGTCCCAGACTAATGTCTGAAATTTGAACAATGGCCAGTTCTTCGATATGCTAACGTTTCAGATATGTTGACGCAAATGGAAGTCTGATTTGTAACTGGTTTGAACAGGTTTACATTAAACTGTGTGTAACAGTGACCAAATACAGCCCGCCATTGTTCACGTTTCCGACATTTAGTCCGGAACAAAAGATTTCCGACATTTTTGGTTTGTAGTGTATATTTTTTAGCAAAATAAAAAATGAACCACCCCACACAAGTTGAACACCCTAACCATTGGACCACAGCACCCAAAATGATCATCTTGGGTTGTAAAAAGCTATTATTAAACTGCTCTGACGCTCTCTTGTAACCAAGCACTCCTAACGAATATAAGCAAACTTCATGTAATAGTCAGGACTTCAGCTAAAAAAAATCACACACTTTATCAGGAAAAAGTTTTTTTTTTTATAATATAAATTCAAAGATTGTGTCTGGTTGTAAGACGGCACGTGATCTGTAGGGGAAAAATATGTGCACGGAAGCCATTTGCAATTTGAACTTGACTTCGAGCGATTCACAATGCAGTGCGCCACCAAGAGTTTGCCATGGAGAGTTCATTTTTCAAGTTTACGGTCGACAAAACATGGCCCATTTGAACGAGTGTCAGTAGAAAACTTGAGCTTATTTGTTATAGATTGGGGCATAGCGTTCTGCCGCCTTACAAAAACTCCATATTGATACAAAGAAAAGAAAAGGGCAACTATTATATTCGAATTGTACTTTTACAAACTTTCTGGCGAGCTACAGTGCCTAGGGTGCTTTTGAGGAATCCTTGGTTTCATTACCAGAAATGATTAATAATAATAATAATAATAATAATTTCAAATGTCCCGCGCTGCGATTTTGTCGACCATCTCCCACAATGCACTGGAAAAAATGAGCTCTCCGTGGCAAACTCTTGGTGGCGCACTGCATTGTGAATCGCCCGAATTGTTTCAAAGTATATATTTATACATTTTAATGAACTTTTTATTCACAGAGGCTGCAGCTTGCAAATGAATAATATATACTGTATGTTTTCTCTTCCAACCCAAACCCCAAAAAGTTCATTTGGGGAAAGCATCACACACTACAAAGTACAACAAAATTTATGTATGCAGGTACCAAATACCAGAAGATTTTTCGTAGGCCCTAGGTAGGCACAGTGCCTACTGTGCCTATTGGGTAATCTGGGCCTGCTTATACACTGAAGTACTACATACTACAGTTTACTACTAGTAGTATTTTCTAGCTTTAGGTGCGGTTGGGGTCAAGATAGAAAACACTAGGGATGCAATTTGCGATAATTTTTTTTCGCTCGATTAATCATTGTCTTTTTGTCTACAGTTTGGTTCTTCTCAGACATTATGCTCATTTACTTCATTAATTACTGCACGCAAGGGCGGATCCAGAACACCATTTTTGGTTCCCCAAAAAAGTGGGTCAAAAAATTTTTGGATTCTAGATGCTCTGTGGTGCGATCTGAGGCAATTTCTGACCACTTTAACCAATGTTTTTTGAGGAAAAGATGGTGGTGTACTCATTGCCTGCCTTTATTGCGACGTCACATTAAAAAAAAAAAAAAATTGGTTTCGTTTGGGGGGGGGGCCATGGCCCCCTTTGCCCCCCCCCCCCCTGGATCCGCCCTTGACTGCACGATGCTGCTTTTTTTCTCCTTAAATGCACTTTGCAAAAAAAGAAAGAAATTGATATTAAGGCCAAGCCATGTTACCAGAGTTTACTGTCTGAGAGGCGATTCACACCTACTGCAAAGCAAAGCTTTGTTGAGAAAAGCTAGTAATGCTTGCTTTGTTTTTTTTTCTTTGCAAATAGCAACACAATTTCATTTGATGCACACGATACCATCATGACTCATTGATCCTGTGTTATTCATTGGTGGAAGGGAATCACAGTTGCCGCCACGAGGGGGTACCGGTACTTCCGGAATGGTACACACTGAAAAGAAAAACACAATTGCAAATCTGACCCCCATAAAATGCTGAATTGTGGAATCAGAAACCACGCACGACTGGTTTTTTTTACACAGATTGTTTCTGCAATAAACAGAATTGAGTGGCATTTTCAGCTTCACTGAACCATGCAAGAAACTTTAAGAACAAATAATCACTGAAAACGTTATTGAGTACTACTAGCAGAGATAACTGATGTCGCTTTCTGTAGGAAAACTTCTTTTACTAAAATAAAAAAACTTTAAAAGACTAAAGATGTCAGCGACACCACGAAGTAACACCCAAGTGTATTTTCAATATTTTCCATTCTGAGCCATGCTGTTACTTGGGTCAATATTGGTCAAGTGACCCACTGGTTTGTTAAACGTATGCCAGGGGAAGTGGAAAGAAACTTTGACTGTTGGTGACCTTTTAAACAGCAGGGAGGGGGGGGGTTAATGACTTTTATCTTGCATCTGTGCACAAACAGAACTCCCTGCGAGAGTAGACTGATTAAAAGCTAAAATTAGCACAGACGATACATCTTTAATGTGGCTGTGTGAACCTAGGAGTAGGGGATCATAGTATGAATAAGCCTTCCAATCAGGGGTAATAATAAGATTCGAGATTCAAGATTCAAGATTCAAGATTCAAGATTTATTCAGCCAATGATTAAAAAACAATTACAGGAACTTGTAATGTTGGACTCGCATAAAAGTAGAAGTGACTCAATTTAAGACACCACACAATTAAAACAATTGCCAGAAAAAATGTGTACAAATCTGTACTAATCCTCTTGTAAAGTGCTGAGATAAAGTTGACACTAGAAACATGATGATTTATTAAAGACGTCACTCTTCATTTATCTGGAAGCAAGAACTAACATACAACATTTGCTTTTGCTGTACTTTTCAGAAAGGGATGGATTTGGGGGTTCGTATTTCATAGCAAATATTGTTGCACTGAGATGTTTAAAGTTTTGTGTTCATTGTTGCTGAAAAAAAAAACAAGAAAAAAATGCTGTTCTTGTAGTCTGGTTCTCTGAGCCTACTTCAGATGAAACGGAACAATTTATAGACATCGGGGAATTATCAGGTCAGGAAACTACTTTTTGTAAATTGGGGGCAGTATTTGGAAAAAGTCAGTTTTTTTCCCAACGATAGTCGGCCGACCATCGTTGGAAATTTATACAAAAAATTCCGCTTTTCTTGAAAATGTCAGCAAACCAGGTGCTGTGATTTCACAAGATGCTGGCGACTGTTATTCATGAAGTCAAGTAAGGTTTTCCATCATAATTTTGATTTTTTTCCTTTGATGCTTGCAAATGTTGTATATTACATTTAAGTCTATAATTGCTTGCTTTAAAATTAATGTTAGGAATGGAACAGAAAATGTGACTTACCTCCCAACAATCCATTACAGAAATCCACGACTTCGGTACGCAATTCTGGGCTCAGACTGTCACAGGGGTCGGGGCTGTCTTCAAATTCAGGCTCAACAGGGATAGGACAGTCTTGACCAGTATACTGGGAGTTCCCAAAAGTGGTTCCAGACACCTATAATAGGAGCATTTTGGTTTATATTTTTCAGGCGTGAATATGGGGGAAAGGAAATGTCCACAAAAGTTATCGGCTTTGGGTTTTAGGGTCACCGAGGGGCCCAATTGCAAATGCATCCTTAAAATACCCATTTCTTCTGTTTTGTATAAATTCTAATAATACAAAACATCTTCATGGTAAAACCTCAGGAATTCCAGATTTCAAGAGGGATATTTTTAAAATCCCGACATCAGAAAAAAATTTGAAACAAGTGGAAAAATCCCAACAAAAAATCCTGACATCGGGAAAAAATCCTGACCAAAAATCCAGTTAAAATCCAATCAAACTAACATTACTGTCATGTACAGGTTATCCTAGATGACTGAGGACTTGAGACAATGGGGTGCGTTCGATAACAATGGGCCCGATGCTGCCTGAGGACCTTGGCACTAGTCCTCGGGAGAATTTTGTGTACAAACAAAAGGGAACAAAAGAAGGAAAGGGGCAGGTCCTAATGACTATAGCAAAACACGACTGTGCATTTGTTTATGGTGTAAAACGAGGACACAGATGTGCACCTTCATCGCTAATCGAGGACAGGAACCAAATCGAGGACGACCTCGATTAGAAAAATCCTCGATTTACACTATAAACAAACGTACGTAGGTGTATGTGTGTAGTTTTTTTTGTTTGTTTGGTTTTTGTTAACATTCAAATCGGCAAAAAGCTATTTGAAAACACAGGACAGTCCTATAACTTACTGTCGTTCCGTTGATAGACAGGTCATTGTAAGCGTTGAAATTAAAATCTCCACACAGGCCGCACAACTTGTTTCTATAGTCATCGCTGACAAGGACTTTAACCCCGTACCAGCCATCAAAAGCAACCTCAACTCCAATGGTTGACTTCAAAACCTGTCAAATTCATTCATATAGCAATGGTTCTTTCATTAATTATGGTTCAACAAAACTGAAAAGCAAAAAAAAAAAAGGGACAAATAAAACTCGGTATGCATGGTTTGTCGTTTGAATACAGCATTGAAAACAGAATTGTAAAAACAATTTAATTTAAGAATTCCAGTGTCATTCTTTTCAGCGCAGTGACAAAAGTGTCCAAGCATGTAAATTATTTGCAGAAAAAAATGGAGTAGCCAAGTATATATATCAGGGTGTTGAGCTGTTCCGTTGCACTCTTCATATGTATAAGCTGATGCATTAAAATGGCACCCACTGACTTGTAACATATTAAATTTCAGGTACTTATCCAGATATAGCAAAAATTATTCCAAAAAAGTAGGAAATCATAATGATAAAGAGCTTCAATTAAATCGATAAATTCAGAATGGTCATGTAGAGAGGTGTCCTTTAGGAGGCACCGTATAATTGGCACACTGCCAAACTTCTTTGATGAATGTATTACAAATACCAGCAGTCAGCGCGGTGTATGCCCGAAATCGTCCTTTTTAGTCTGCACACCATAGATAGTATCTTATTGATCAAACTGTGCTCTAAAACTCAGCTTTTTACTTAAGGAAGAGCACAGCTTGTGTTGAGGTGAACTTTTACCATCTAAAGCCCGGTTCATACTCCATGCGAATGCGAAGCGAATTTGACGTCAGGGGGGCATTCGCTGTGAAATTCGCCGGAGTTTAAATGTGTTCAACTTTTGCAAATTTGCATCGCGAAAAGACGCCCTGACGTCACAAATTCGCGTTGGCTTTCACGCCGAGTATGAACCGGGCTTTAATCCGATAACTTTCACATGCAAATCATGTCGTGCAGGTTACTGCGCTACAACTGTTTCATGTTGGGATTACGTGGCGGCTGTTGTATGTTTCACACTTTAGTTTCAATCTTTGTACAGAAATATAGTACAGGCCTTTGTGCAACAACATATTTGGTAATACTAATGGAACAAGTACATTTGGAATCCTGTTTGCATTCTGTTTGTCTTCGTTTGCGTGACTTCCTGAAATTAATCATTTCAGCAGAAGTCTATAATGAACCATTTAGCAAACTGTTACAGTTACATACCACATCCATTCCGCGGACCCGAATTTCGACACCGTCTTCTTTAAATGGTAGAACGACCTCCTCTCCTTCAAACTTGACAGTGTGTCTGGGACCGAGGATAAAGTCCTTCAAATCGAGAAGAAAAAAAAAACGTTCAATTTTTACTTTAAAACTCTATGCAATTGCATTATAATCATCATTCATAAATACCTAAGACAGTTTACCCATTCCTATTGGTCGAGAGCTCGTCAAGGTTTAGGTCGGTTTAGGTTTAAATAACTCCTCTTTCTTCATCACATTTGTTGCCATGCACTGTTTTGCAGCCCTCAATAAGATCAGATGAGTCACTTATTGCGTAAACAAGAAGGAAGCACCAATGTGCACAAAAAGAACCAATTTTAACATATATTTACCTAGATTTCAGCCCCCCCCCCCAAAAAAAAAACCCACTGTATTTGAAGAGATTTCAGTAAAAAGAAAAAAAAAGTATGAAAATTTACAAAATAATTCTGGACAAAGTGATCATTATAAAATCCTCACTTTGTGGTATGATGCCCATCTGTCACAATTACCAAATCTCCAATTGTTCTTTCTTTCTTTTTTGAGGGGGGGGGGGGAAGACTTTTTCGTGATGGATTAAGAGAATAAAACAATGAATTACGTGATCATTGATGTTGACATGGACGGCCTCTACTCCTGAAGAGATGGGACTCAGACGCTTGTTCTCCTGAATAACTTCAAAAAATGGCATTCGGTCGTCGGGACAGGTCTTGGCCAGATAGTATTGGCATTCTCCTTGGAATGTGTAGACATACGCATCAAACGTGAGGTAATGCGAACTGCCAAAGCTATAACATGCTCCCTGGACTGCCGTTTCAAAAAAGAAAAACACAAATTAATAAAGAAAAAAATCATGAGAAAAGAAAACTAAGCTTTCAAACATTTTCAAAATGATTTACCGAGTACAAGTGAAAGCTTTGTTTAAAAAGATGAGGTGCAAAGGAAAACATGACAAAGAGGTGATAGTTAATATTATACAGGGTTAGTAAAAAAAAAACGAAACCCAAATGTCGGGACTATTGTTTGATTGAAGTTCTCCATGTAGCACTTTCAAAATCTAGGATATGAAAGCCCAATTCATAAGCTTTCTTTTAGTACAGGAATCATTCAAGTCACTCATGTACATTTTAAACACAACTACCGTTTTAAGGTTCAGTCCACGGATCACAATACAGGTGTGCGTTCTTTTAGCAAAAAGAAAACAATTCACACACATCCCTATGTGACTTTCTTTTCTCTAAAACAATGGTCCCAACATTTGTGTTTCGTTTCTTTTTTTACTCACCCTGTATAACTGACATACAGATCCTTGTCATTTGATTGGTGGAACTCGCATCACTTGACATTCGTTATTGCTCCCATTCACGCCGGGGCTCATAAAGTCCCATTCGCCCATGGGGAATGGGAAATACTATTCAACAGTTAGGATCATTCTTGTTCCACGACGCGGTATTTGTGTGCAAATACATGCTGGTGTACGCGTATTGTTCCAAAGAGCCAGCGCTACAGAGTTGGGTTCAAACATTTTCGTGAAGGGGTGGTTTGGAAGAGAGAAATACATTTTCCACCAATTTTGTATTGAAATAAAAGTTCAAAGATATCAAATGACAAGGATCCATATGTCAGTTACATAAAACAAATATTGAGTGGCTTTAAATTGTGAAATGGGAGGAATATTATGGCTCGGTAAAATCTGGACTTTTCCAGTTCACTCGGCTTCGCCTCGTGAAATGGAAAAGTCCAGATTTTAACTTGCGATAATATTCCTCCCATTTCACTCTGAGCCACTCAGTATTTGTATAGCAGGGAAGGTGGTCGTTGATATATTGTTCACAGTTAGGACATGATATTTATACCTTCCTGTGACATCACACTATTGTTTTTCTCGCCATTATTTTGCATAAATGGTGCATGGCACGCCATTCGGCGTCTTACAAAAAGGCGTGCTGCGCACATATTTTTTTTCAGTGTAAACACTTGTGAATAAGTCAGCAATTTTTCATAGAATCACAGCAAGACACTGAGGTTATCATTCTCCTCATTTCCCATCAATAAACAAACAAAACAATTTGCTGAAGGTGGAGCAGAAAAATAGTCATTGGAAAAATGGACACAGCAGGATTCTAACCAGGGACCTTTTAATCCATAGCTCATCTCGATAGCCACAAGGCTACTGTGGCAGCTCAACGAATGCTGCTCTTTTAACCCTAAAAGGGCCGGGTTATTTTGACCATCTCTCAGCTGCGGAGGGGGGGGGGCAGATTCCACCCCCCTAAGATCTTGGCCATTGAGTGACTAAACATTTTGAAACTCGGGACATGCATAGAGCAACTCATCATGAACATACCCAAGAAATTTCAGGACTATAGGTCAAAGGGTTTTGGAATTATGGCTAATTAATTATTCATATGTACGAATGGTAATTGTGCTCTGTGTACATGACGTATAAGGGAAAGTTCAGTTTTCACGGCGCATAGCGCCGGACAATTTTTCGCTGCGTGGCAACCCTTGGTTCGATTTTTATATTTTTGGTGTCAAAAGATGCGCAAGGCTTGAGGCTAAAAAGTCATAACAACTTGGGTCGGGAAAAAAAAAATGTAAAGGCTATCGCGGGATTCCGCCCCCCGGCCCTTTTAGGGTTAAATGCTTTAAATATAACAAATCAAGTAAATAATAACAAGGATGTGACGTCATTGTTCCTTTCTCATGAATAAACATAATTTTCCATTTTAACAAATTCTGCCAATAGACGATGTCTACTCGATATGGATTTATTATTTTTCCATTTACGCGTTGGTGTAAATATTAATCCATGACATGAAAACGACACAAAATATTAACTTCGACTGGTACCATTTTATGCTCAACTTCATTTTTCCCTCGGCCATGTTAAACAAGCCGTGGGCTTGAGCTGCTTATGTTGGTTGGTTGGTTGGTTGGTTGGTTGATTGGTGCGGTGGACACTTTACTCGACCATATATTGTATTCATACAACTCGAGCATCACAGCTTACTTGCAAGTATTACAGCTATGATATTCTCACCCATTAACAGTGCACTAATGTAAAGAGTATCTGGCAAAAATGACAAGCATTTCATTGGCTAACTTTGTGTGACATTTTTTGTGTGACAGTTTGCTGTTTGTTTGTTCATAATAAACATGACTAAAACTGGAATACTCACCAATCTCGCAATTTGTCCCCGTCCAATAATCTGAGCATTCACACCAGTAATCATCATCACCAAAATGGTGACAAACACCAGAGTTCTCACACGGCTCCAACATGCAGGGATTGACTGTCGAACAAAATCAAACGACTCAGATTCATTCTTAAGGCTTGTTTACAAATTACATATCTCAAGGTTTGTACATTGTATTCTACAATACGAGGAGACAAGGAGTTAGTCCTGTTGACCTTGATCATGCTGCCACCATCTTGGTCATGTTCCCTGTATCCAATAACAGTACTGAATGATAATATCTTTTGTGCAAACAGGAACCAGACTATTTTTCCTTCCATTCTAGCTTTGATTGCGTTGATTAGAATGAGAAAAGGTCATGCCAACAAAGCAGAGAGGTAACTGATTCATCGCTTTGAGTACTGAACTGATTGTTTCAATAAACCTAAATTGAAACAATGCGCGTTGATTTTTGGGCCTTTATGCAGGCTCATCGTCTGTATCGGAGGATATTTTGAGCTGAGTGAGTTAAAAGCCTTAAACTTTTTTACTTAATGGCTAAATATAACAAAAACAGTTCTTGACTGCTGTGAGGCGGGATTTTTTTTTAACCCCTTCGCCTCAGATGTTAGGCACCCCTATGGTGTTAAAAATGCCATATCCCACATCACAACAGTCAACAATCCTTTAAGGGAATGTACAACATTTGCTTTTGCTACAATTTTCAGAAATAAATGGATTTGAAGGATAAGTATGTTATAGCAAATATTGTTAAATTAACCTGTTTCTGGTTTTGGGCTTGTAGATGCTGGAAAAACCAAGAAAACCAATCATGTTCTTGTATTTTGGTTCCCTGACCCCACCTAAGACGAACATAGCAATTTGTAGACTTTGGGGAATTGTAAGGTCAGAGAATCAGTCTAGCAGGCTTGTACCCCTTCACAGGTGTGTAATCAGTTGAAAAGAAAATGGGGAATAACTAAAAATGAACAATTAGGAGCCAGTTTTCTCCAACGCTGACCAGCGTTGGAAAAATAAAAATTTTCTTGAAAATGTCAGCACACCAGGAGCCACGATTTTACAGGATGCTTTAGACTGTCATTCCCCAACAATCCAGTAAGGTATTTCGTGATAACTTGATCAATTCATTTTTTGATGTTTTTGCAAATGTTGTATCTTCCCTTAAAGTTAAATTCTCTCTATCAATAAGTCACCACATTAAGCACCCTCTCTCTCGTTGCGCTCATGCCAAATTGTGGTTTCTGAAACGCACACCTACAGATACATGTACAGATTCCAACCGATCACTCCATCAAATGAGAACTGGAACAAACTTCTCGCAAGCAGCACCCGATTTCATGAAGCGCTGCGACGCATCGCAACTCGAGTTACGACGTGTAACACGTCGCAACTCACGACGCGTCGTATCTTCCATTTCACGAAAGTTGCGATGTGCTGAACGCGTCGTAAGTTCCGTGACAACTGCTTAAAACACGTCGCAAGTTAAGACGTGTCTAGTGGTCGTCACAAAATAAGAAGAGTCATTTCTAAACCAGTTTTATACCATAAACATTACATTAACGAGATTATAATACCGAGGCAATGAGTGTATAGTTGGAAATAGAAAATTCATTGAATAATTATGAATTAGACCAGAATATTTGAGTTGAAATTTCAAAGTAGCTATACAGTCCGATGAGAGCTTGTTTTCCTTCAAAATTTCAAAATTTCAAAATTGCATCACACGGCCGCCATTTTGTTTTACGTTTTAACAAATTTCGAGCTGAGGTCCGACGACTCTTTGTTGAATATCAGACCACTATTTACTGTACACTGACTAAATACATAAAACAGTCGTCGCGTTGTGCTTTAGATACACCTACGACGCATCACACTTACGACGTGTTTTGTGAAATGGATCGCAGGACGCGTCGCAGCTGCGACGCATCGAAGAGATACGACGCGTCGCATCGCTGCAATGCATCTTAACTTACGAAGAGTTTGATGAAATCGGGTGCAGAGCTCTCGGAATTCGGGGTGAGCAACAGGAATTGAATCATTTCCTTCACGCATTTCGAGATTAAAATATAGACAACTTGCTGTTACTTACAGTTACATACTTCGATGCCGTCTCCTATCAGTGGCTCCTGGCATCGGCACTGCCTCTCCCCATCGTCCAAGACACACTCGGCTCTGTCATGGCAACTGATAGGGGTACACGCAAGCGCGCCGTCCGTACACAGGCATCGGGACCGACAGTCGGAAGTCAGGTAGTCCTCTCCTTCCTGTCGAGGGAAGCCCAAACAGTCCGTTTAGAGAGGGCAAGGTACGCATTTTGGCTGAACGCGTGAAGCAACATGTACTGGAAAGCCTTGCAACTAGGCATTAGCATTCGTGTATTAAGTAGTAAAGTCCATCACTGAGCCAGTACAGGGTGAGTCAAAGAAAATGAAACCCAAATGTCAAGGGCATTTTTTTTTAGTGAAGTTCTGCATGTAGCACTTTCAACATCTAGGATATGAAAGCCCATTTCATAAGCTTTCTTTTAGTACAAGAATCATTCAAAATGCTCATGTACTTTTCAAGTTACGAAATTTTAAACACAAACACCGTTTTAAACTTCTGTCCACAGATCACAAAAAAGGTAAAGTGTTCTTTCAGCAAAACGAAAACAATTGACACACATCCCTATGTGAAAGTGCTACATGCAGAATTTCACTTTAAAAAAATGGTCCCGACATTTGGGTTTCGTGGTTTTTTTTTTTTGACTCTTCAGTTTCCTTGGCATGAAATGACTGAGAATATTTCTATTACCCCTGGATGGGATGCCAGTCCATCGCAGGTTACCCCCCAGCTAATGCCGCTACCCAATGTCCCCCACCCCTCCCCCGATAATTTTTGGGCTGGAGACGCCAACGACGATGTCCCCCCCCCCCCCCACACAATAATATATCCAAGTGCGTATAGATTTTAACCCAATGTACCTCAATTTGCAGGGGAGTGTGTGGCTTAGTGGTTAGGGTTCGTGACTCATGATCAGAGGGTCCGGGGTTCGAATCCAGCCGCTGGTCATATATTGTGTCCTTGGGCAAGGCACTTAACCCCCACTTGCCCCTCTCCACCCAGGAGTATAAATGGGTACCGGCATTAGCTGGGGAGTAACCTGCGATGGACTGGCATCCCATCCAGGAGGAGTAGAAATATTCTCAGTCGTTTCATGCTACTGAAACCGGAGATAAACGCCGGCCTGATGAGCCACATTGGCTCGGGACAGACTTTACTTTTTACTACCTCAATTTGCACTGTCTGTTTCCCAGATGGTGTTATAGCTGAAAGATTCTGTTCGTGCGCCACCCTTTTTCACGGAAATTGCGGACAAATGTTTACGCGAAATTGCCGCTGCTGAGTGAGACCGTACTAGCACCGCCGTCTCTGCTGATAACTGACCTTGTAATAGAATCCCTGAACGAGACAGCCGCAATCATCGGGAGACACACACTCCTCCCCGCTCAGGACCTTGCCCTCCTCACACTGGCAACCTTCCCGGCAGGGCTGTGCGCAGGCGGTGTCGTTCGTGCCTTCTATGATGTCGTTGCACGTGACTGGGCAGCCGGGGGCACACATGGTGTAGACAGAGCCTTCTGGACAGATGAACGCTGTTCAGCCAAACACAGGAGGTTTAATCCGGTTTGTGGACCCGGGGAATTCTCACAATTTTTATAAGAAGATCACTAAAGCCCGGTTCATACTCGGCGTGAAAGCGAAAGCGAACGCGAATTTGGGACATCATGGCAAGTATTCGCGCTGCGAATTCGTAAAAGTTGAACACATTTTAACTCAGGCGAATTTCGCAGCGAACGTGCCATGACGTCAAATTCGCTCCGCATTCGCATTCGCGTGGAGTATGAACCGGGCTTAATGTGGTTATTTACGATTACGTCGCATGCTGCGTGTGCGTAAATGACTGGCATTTATTGCTGACTGTACGGAGGCATGGCAATGGTAATGGTATACGGTTGTGGGGGTGCTGTGGTCCAATGGTTACGGTGTTCGACTCTTGTGCCGTTGTACATGGGTTCGAATCCTATAAAATTACCAATGTAGTTAACGTTTGTAACTACGAAATGTACAAGGATGAAAACAAGACTTTGCCATCATATTTCTGAAATAGTAAATTGATTTTTGAATCATGTTTTTTTTTTCAAGATTTAACGGGGCTGCATAATTGCCAGCGTTACGTAATGTCCGTGACAGAGCTTTTAAGAGCTCAGTTCATAAACCTGATCATGTATTTTTCAAATCCTATCCGCTCCTTTCACAAGAACCCCCTCACCGGCAAAGAAAGTACAGTTGGGGGTGACCGAGCGACGCCATCTTGCCTGACTGCAATTTTGCCGCGACGCGCGGCCCCGTACCACTGCATATACATAGTACAAATCCCCTGGTGTACGCGCGTTAACAGGGAACGGTGCGTGTCAACTGGCTTAATGTCCCCCTGGGATGTCGTTGCTAGGTAAAAGGGCGCCCTCTTTCGTTTGCCGCGGAGCCTATACATCCATCATCTAGTAATGGTCAAAGAGATTACAGACTAGGAACTTTCTCCGAATCATAAATTAGATATCACATTTAATTAGCTCTGTCACCAACTTTACACTTCCTTTCATAAAGCTGGAATTGCTCTGTTTATGTGCACGCATTAGCATTTTACCTCCATTAACAGGTATGTATTAAAATCTTTTACATCCTTTTTATTTTCATCAAAAGTTAGACCCGAATTATTTGACTCGTCATCATTTTCCCAAATCTGGGCCCAAAACTCTAAAGTATGCTGTACAACGACTCACGGCAGAAATCGTCCCTCCTCCATCTGTCAATCTCAATTCCATCCCAGTGGCAATCGTCCGCATACTTGGCAACGTCCTCACACAGTGCGCCTAATTGCGGCAGGGTGCTACACAGGTCATACATACAGCTTTCATAGTAAGGCAGTGGGTCTATGACTCCATGACAATCACTGAACGGACCTGGCCAAAACAGAAAGCAACACAAACATTGCAAATGTTTGACTGAATACAAAATAAAGTCAGTTTATGATTGAAATTCTAAGTAGTCTGGATACTTAAGCACAGCTGTATGCTAGAATGAAGGTGGTTTGAATTGCCAACAACCACAGTTGTGGTTGATGGGGAGGTTTTGGGGTTGGGGTTGGGGGTGGAGGTTGGAGATGGGGCTGGGGTGAGATTGGGAGTTTGGGTGGGCTTGTAGTGGGCTGGGGTTGGGAGTGGGATTGGGATTGGGGTTGGGATTGGGGCTGGGATTAGGGTGGGATTTGGATTGGAGTGGGATAGCGTGTGGGGTTGGAATCTAGGGTGGGGTTGGGTTGGGTAGGGGTGGGGGAATTGGGGTGGATTGCGATTGGGTTGTGGTGGGGTTGGGATTGGCATTAGGGATGTGATTGGGGGTGTGGTTGGGGCAGGGTTGGGGGTGGGGTGGGGTGGGGTTGGGGTGGGGTGCGGTTGGGGTTGGAGTGGGGTTGGGGTTAGAGTGGGGGTGGGGTTAGGGTTGTGGTGGGGTTGGGGTTTGGGCGGGGTGGGGGTAGGGTTTGGGCGAGGTTGGGGGTGGGGTTGGGTTGGAGTGGGGGTGGAGTTGGGGTGGAGTTGGGGTGGGGGTGGGGTTGTGGTGGGGATGGGGTTAGGGCGGGGTTGGGGTGGGGTGGGGTGGGGGGATTGGGGTGGATTGCGATTGGGTTGTGGTGGGGTTGTGCATTGAGTGGGGTTGGGGTTGGAGTGGGGTTGGGGTTAGGGTTGTGGTGGGGGTGGGGTTTGGGCGGGGTTGGGGCAGGGTTGGGGTGGGGGTGGGGGTGGGGGTGGAGGGGATTGGGGTGGATTGCGATTGGGTTGTGGTGGGGTTGGGGTTGGGATTGGCATTAGTGATGTTGTTGGGGTGGGGTTGGGGTGGGGTTTGGGGTGGGGTTTGGGGTGGGGTGGGGTTTGGGGTGGGGTGGGGTTGTGGTGGGGGTGGGGTTAGGGTGGGGTGGGGTTGGGGGGATTGGGGTGGATTGCGATTGGGTTGTGGTGGGGTTGGGGTTGGGATTGGCATTAGGGATGTGGTTGGGGGTGGGGTTGGGGCAGGGTTGGGGGTGGGGTTGGGGCAGGGTTGGGGGTGGGGTTGGGGCAGGGTTGGGGGTGGGGTTGGGGCAGGGTTGGGGGTGGGGTGGGGTTGGGGTTGGAGTGGGGTTGGGGTTGGAGTGGGGTTGGGGTTAGGGTTGTGGTGGGGGTGGGGTTTGGGCGGGGTTGGGGCGGGGTTGGGGTGGGGGTGGGGGTGGGGGGATTGGGGTGGATTGCGATTGGGTTGTGGTGGGGTTGGGGTTGGGGTTGGGATTGGCATTAGGGATGTGGTTGGGGGTGGGGTTGGGGCAGGGTTGGGGGTGGCGTTGGGGCAGGGTTGGGGGTGGGGTTGGGTTGGGGTTGGAGTGGGGTTGGGGTTAGGGTTGTGGTGGGGATGGGGTTTTGGCGGGGTTGGGGCGGGGTTGGGGCGGGGTTGGGGGTGGGGTGGGGTTGGAGTGGGGGTGGAGTTGGGGTGGGGTGGGGTTGTGGTGGGGGTGGGGTTAGGGCAGGTGTGGGGTTGGGTTGGGGTGGGTTTGGGGTTGGAGTGGGGATGGGGTTAGGGTAGAGGTGGGGGTAGGATGCGTTGGGATGGGATGTCCTGTGTACATCCATCAGACAACAATATAAAACCATCTTTTTCATGATGCTCACCCTGATGAGTGCAAATAAACCAGCTTACAGACACCACCAATGAACTCAATAACACTTACCCTCTTCATGCCTTATGATGTTGCACTTTTCCTGAGCTTCACTTAAACTACCTGCGTTCTCTTCACATGGGTTGTAGGAATCACCAGGAGGTTCCATGTTACCGCATTCACCATACACCCAGCTGTTACCAAAGCTGTTCACATCTGGTGCCTGCAAGATCCAAAAAAAGTGGGTAGTAAAACTCTGGCTAAATCTACATTGTACATCTCGTCAAGTCGGCCGTCTGACTAAAATCCTGATTGTCCTTAATGTATTTCCATTGAATGTTGTATTTCTAAGTCGGCTTTTATAAGTCGCCATTTCCCTCAAGTCATCGTGTTACTCTCGGTCCTCCTTCCATGAAAAGCATTACAAAATCCTTTGTGTAAGTCGGCATTCAACAAATCACGCATTGGCATCGACTTCCTGTTCTGCGTTTGGCAAGAAGTGTCGAGTGAAAAGTGGTTTGGCACGGCCCGTGATCGCTGCATGCATCGGTGTTGCAAAAGGGTGTCCTACTGCATACATTGCATATGTATCATGAGCATATCAATACCAGTACCCCCTCTAGTCTGTACGCATGCGCTCTGTCCATTTTGGGGGTCGTCTTATTGAATGACTAGTGCTGCAGTCAATGCGTGCATGGTATATACCAAACCACGCACGCATTTAATTCCTTACTGTGCACGTACATACGTACATGTACATGTATTACTATTTTGTACACGTGGTCTCCACTTTCAATATCCCAAACGTGATGATACAATGCGAGGATTAATTTGCTGGATTCAACTCAAGCATTAAGGAGATAATCCAGGGTAAATCGAGGCCAATTAATGCAATGAATCATGTGTGCAAAAGGCCATTCATGTAAGTCGGCAAAATGACAACTTACAGCAGATGTCGGCATTCGCGCAAGCCGTCACAAATTCTCAGGTCCCGAGAGCGCCGGCTTAGCTGGAGTTCACCGTGTACATATATATATTCAATGAAATCGTCTTCTATCACAATTCACAGTGATATAATTTTTAATATACATTCACTGTGATATCATTTTTAATATATATATTAAAAATTTGAAAAGGTGTTTACAATTTTAGGCACAAACTTTTTAAACAATTTTAAGAGTGGAAGCTGTTATATTCCTTTCTGAAATAATAATAGTTTTAATCATTCTTTTTCAACTATCTCTCAAGCGATAAAATGGATCGGTAACTTAATAGCATACGAATGTCAAAAGGGGGAAAAAATCCCTCACCAAATCTCCGTTGGGTGTTGTGAAGTCATTATCTCGCTCCTCGTCATAGGTGCCGCACAGACCGTGGGTCTCATTGAAATAGTAGGCCGATACCTCGATGGAAAAGCTGTTCTTGCCGTCCCATTCCAGCTTGGTGTCATACTCGGTGTCCAGTACCTGCGCAAGCATCAGAACAGACAACATGTTATTTAGAAGTAAATAGAAGATACCTTTTTGGGACTTGAGTTACAGAGCTCGTATCAGGAGCTTGCGACAACATCACGGTGTCTTTGTCAACTGGCGTTGTTGAGGCCCTCACGTGACCCGTCACGTGACCAAGCTTGGTCACACGACAGGAGGCGGTCGTACACGTGGGCCAGCTCGTACCCTCCTTCTCTGTTCATATGGGGGTGGTGCCTGCGGATTTCTACTGCCTCACGGATTTTGCGTTTCGAGAGGTCGTCCTCCCTGGTGATGATCCCAACATTATTCGCAGAGATTTTTGTCCTCGGGTGGATGACATATGTGATGCGTGCGATCAAGCTAAATGAGTCGTTTGTCGACCCCGGTCAAAAAAAATTTATAACAGATTTGAAAAGAGCACAATCTCAGCATTACTGCTGTGAAAACTGCATGCTGATACCATCTTTAGTTCAAAAATTATGGAAGTTGTAACACCAAGAGATGTGATGAAGTGATGTGATGAAGTGGCCCTTTTTTGGCCTGAATCTCCAAATGAAAATTCCCGACAAACGACTCATGTAGCTTGATCGCATCACATATATATTCACACTGCAGAAACACCAAAAAAGCCACCATAGCCAGTCAGTCGATGGACACAACATGGACGCATGGCACCTGAAGCACACACGCCAAAACGAAAACCTTTCCCACTGTCAAATTCCCCCGTTTTTTTCCCCGAATTCCCTGTGGTTTCCCTGACCAGAAAAAGAGACAGAAGCTCATTTTCAAGGTTTTCCCTGATTTCCAGACTGGCTGGGAACCATAGAGCTATATTAAATTACTAGAGCGCTAACTCCTCATTCTTGCGCGCGGAGACACTTTGAAGCCGCTCTGGGCGCAGACATTTTGAATTTATGTGCGTGTTTGTAGAACACAATCAAAATAGATGGATTGAATTCTAAAAGTGTACTCTAAATGCAACGCGCTAGTAGAAGATACGCAACCAACGGTTAAAAAAACGTCACGGCAAAAAGCATCTGCAGCGGAGGGATGCGCACACGTTGCGCTGTTTGCGTACAGCAAAATGAAACGCTCATTTGCAGATCGTGCGTTTCAGTTTTGGGCGTTTCGGCTTCGATGACGCACCGGTATGGAATACAAACGCAGATATGCAAATAGCCGTACAAAAGCCGTACAAAATTTCAAGTTTTCCATAGGTTTGTCCACAAACATGGATGCGCCCATCAGGCATTACTTTGTACATCGAGTTAGCGCTCTAGTATTTTAATATAGCTCTATGCTGGGAACCCTTTGATAGATATTTCTTACCAGTTGTTTTCCGACTCGCTTGATAGTCACTCCCGGCCATGCGGTAACCGGAGTCTGAACCTCCATATTGTCGATTCGAACCTTCCTGTCTTGCAGCAGTGAAACTCTCTACAGAAAGCAAGTCACAATAGAATACAAACCAGATTTATTTAAAAAAAAAAATACAGATGATCAAACTGAAAAAAAAAACACTTTAAATTAATGCCTTCATAGTATGAATCGGCAGCTACGTAGTCCAGCCACCCCTTATGGATCTGCCAGTATTATAAAGTGCAAGAATTAACAAAAAAGAAGTAAACAAATAAATAAAACAAGTCAGGTGTGTTTACAAACACAAATGCCCCGCAACCGTGACTGTTCCCATGACATAACACCACTCTTTTAACATCAACTTACACGTACCTTGGTCACATGGAACGTTCATTTACAGCATTAGTGTCTTCTGTAGGTTTTATATGAATTAATCCCCAATCCCTATGATCTCAGAATAAATACAAGATTTTTATTGTTTTAGCCACTGTGACCTTGACCCTTGACCTTTCGACCCCCAATGCGAAAGGCCTATTTGGATTACCAAGAACGATCCACAAACCAAATTTGAAGTTCACATGTAAAGTATTTCTCAAGTTATCGCGCTGACAAAATTTCTTTTGTTTTAGCCACTGTGACCTTGACCCTTGACCTTTTGGCCCCAAATACAATAGGCTTCTTCGGATTGCCAAGAATAATCCACAAACCAAATTTGAAGTTCATATGTAAAGTATATCTCAAGTTATTGCGCTGACAAAATTTCTATTGTTTCAGCCACTGTGACCTTGACCCTTGACCTTTCAGCCCCAAATGCAAAAGGGTTCTTAGGATTACCAAGAACATTACACAAACCAAATTTGAAGTTCATATGTAAAGTATTTCTCAAGTTATCGCGCTGACAAAATTTCTTTTGTTTTAGTCACTGTGACCTTGACCCTTGACCTTTCGGCCCCAAATGCAAAAGGGTTCTTAGGATTACCAAGAACAATACACAAACCAAATTTGAAGTTCATATGTTAAGTATTTCTCAAGTTATCGCGCTGACAAGATTTGTCCGGACACACACACACACACACACACACACACACCCATACTCACACACACACACACACACACTTGTTTCACATGACTAGTGTGGACTTTCCATTGCTTTCGTGTAGTTAAGAAAAACCAGTGAAAAAACTCATTTTTCTCAAACTGTGAAAACTCTTTCAACCCAATTTTTTTCTATGATTCCCTTTAGTGTGTCTCTTCATTCTGCTACCGATAAACCTAACCCAAAAATGCCTCTAAACCTGTTTTCCAGAAATGGGGAAACACTGTGTGGACGTGGGGTAAGTCCACACAACGTCGGTGCTACCTACATTATGTGGACGTCTTTTGTTCGGAAGTCCACACTGCGTATGTAAGACAAACTCCCACCCACCCACCCACCCACCCACCCACCCACCCACCCACCCACCCACCCACCCACCCACCCACCCACCCACCCACCACCCACCCACCCACCACCCACCCACCCACCCACCCACCCACCCACCCACCCACCCACCCACCCACCCACCCACCCACCCACCCACCCACCCACCCACCCACCCACCCACCCACCCACCCACCCACCCACCCACCCACCCACCCACCCACCCACCCACCCACCCACCCACCCACCCACCCACCCACCCACCCACCCACCCCCCACCACCCACCCACCCACCCACCACCCACCCACCCACCCACCCACCCACCCACCCACCCACCCACCCACCCACCCACCCACCCACCCACCCACCCACCCACCCACCCACCCACCCACCCACCCACCCACCCACCCACCCACCCACCCACCCACCCACCCACCCACCACCCACCCACCCCCACCACCCACCCACCCACCCACCCACCCACCCACCCACCCACCCACCCACCCACCCACCCACCCACCCACCCACCCACCCACCCACCCACCCACCCACCACCCACCCACCCACCCACCCACCCACCCACCCACCCACCCACCCACCCACCCACCCACCCACCCACCCACCCACCCACCCCACCCACCCACCCACCCACCCACCCACCCACCCACCACCCACCCACCCACCCACCCACCCACCCACCCACCCACCCACCCACCACCCACCCACCCACCCACCCACCCACCCACCCACCCACCCACCCACCCACCCACCCACCCACCCACCCACCCACCCACCCACCCACACCCATTCTCAAATACCCACACCCATTCTCAAATTTGTATCCTTGTGGAGACATTCCTTTGTTCTCGTGTAGTAAAGTGTTCAATTTTGAAAGTGAAGTTTCAAAATGCTCTTATTTTAACCAGAATTAGTTTCCTTGGCTGAAATTTGGACTTAATATCCCTTTTCAAAAACTCTTCCATTTGCGACAGATCAACCCACCTTGGAAATTCCTAGTTTTTGAGTAAAACCCATATATCTATTTCGTGAAAACCTTGTGGAGACCTATTCATCTATAGAAATTGCCCTGTGGAGACCTTTACAATGTTTTGTTCCCTATTGTGTGTGTGTCTCCACAAGGATACAAATTTGTAGTCACACCCACCCACGGAAGGACAAGGCGGAAACAGTATGCCCCTTCGGCTTCGCCGCGGGGCATAAAAATAACAAACTGTGTGGTTGACTGTTCCAATTCTGTTTTTAAAATTTACATAATAGAAAAATTGATGTTTCCAGATTTAGCCAAAATCTCAATCCAATGTGATGACAACATTTCTGTTAAATGTCAGCTTGCATGTTCCAATCGCACATCATGTGTAAGTGCATGCGTGTCAGACTTTTGTCGGACATTTGGCCGTGCAGTCACAGCTATTTTTGCTAAAAGGCACAGTTTTACATGCATTTTGTTTGTTTCCAGTAATAATAACACCACTCAAAATCCAAAGAAGAATGTTCAAGGCCTATTCCGAAATTTCAGCTCAGTGGATATTACACTCTTTGAGAAAACAGTGAAAAACCATGCACAACCTTTCGATCACAAAATATGATTTTGTTAATATAACTCTCTTTATTCCAAAAGTCAGTCAATCGGCTGATCGTTGGAAGTCACCTACATTTCTGAATTTCTTCGAAATGACAACAAGCCCGATTGAATAATTTCACAGGGTGTTTAGTACCAGTACGATCTTTAATCCAAGTTTTTGATAATAATTTGCAAGGTTACCCTGACCCCAGACTAAGAAGTCGGGGGAGGGTTCTTCAAATCCCAAAGTGGAATTTTATATAGGAGAGTGCGTAGCATGAAGCCCTTACGGCGTGGGGAGCAGTGAACGCTCAAGGGCCCCGAAAAGTATTAGATGCTAGATGCTCTGTGGTGCAATCTGAGGCATTTCCTGGCCACTTTCCTCTGACTCTTTGAGCAGAAACTTTATCAGTGCAACAATGTGACCACGTTTTGGCTTTTTAAAAAATTTATTTCATCTTTCGATCCCAGCGTACGGGCCTGACTTATAACAACTTTTAGGCGAGTTAATTCTTATTCCCTTACCTGTCCCCCAACAGTAACATGCAGCTCCCTTGTCAGGGAAACTCGACTGTTCATGCTGTAACGCTCGTTATCTGCGACCACCTCCACGGCCAGGTTGATATCCTTCAAGACAATCCTGAGCACAGTGTACTGACAGTCCCCTTGGAAGTCAAACCGACGCCCGTCAAAGGTGGTGTAGTGCGGATCCCCATGACCAGAACAGACAGCCGAGCCTAAAAGGAAACACAAGGCGACTGGTTAGGATTTGGGACTCATGATCAGAGGGTCAGGGGTTCGAATCCTGGCGCTAGCCATAAGTTGTGTCCTTGGGCAAGCCACTTCACCCCCACTTGCCTTCTTCCACCCAGGAGTGTAAAAGGGTACTGGCATTAGCTAGGGATTAACCTACATCGGAATGGCATCCCATCCAGGGGGAACAGAAATATTCTCAGTTGTTCCATGGCATGGAAACCAGAAAAACATGCCGGCCTGATAAGCAATATCGGCACGGAACAGACTGAACATTACTTTTAGAAGGGAACACGCAGCTGGAAACTCAAACGGGTTTAGTGTGTACTTCAACGACAATTTCATCTCCCATTTTATACAAATTGGTCTACTTCTCTATCTATGGCCAAAAAAAAAAGTCTTTGGTTTCTGGTATGGAGTTTGCCCCAAAAGTGGTGCGGTGACGCGGCTTTATTTATTTTTTTTTTACATTTTTTTTCTTCAAATGGCGGCTGATGACTGCAAATGGTGCACAATTAAATTTAGTGCCAGGATGGGCTGCATTCTTGGAAAATCTCGCAGGTTTAAGAGGTCAACTCGCATGCTCTGCGTTTTGTTACTCACCCATATCACAATAATCTCCTGACCAGCCGCGCCGACACACGCAATGGAAATCTCCTTCCCCGTTACTGACACATCGGCCGTTGCCTGAACAGTGATCCTCCCCTGTATGGCATGGATCCTCTGCAATATAAACGTTTAGCAAATATTTAAGGAAATTTTGAAATATTTAAACGTTTAGCCATTCGCAAAGGCTGATGCATGCTCATTATGTCTGCAGACCGGTGGACTTGTGACTGGACTTGTGATTATACTTGTAACTGTACTTGTGACTGAACTTGTGACTGAACTTGTGACTACTTGTGACTGGACTTGTGACTGGACTTGTGACTGGACTTGTGACCGGACTTGTGACCGGACTTGTGACTGGACTTGTGATTACTTGTGACTGGACTTGTGACTGGACTTGTGACTGGACTTGTGACTGGACTTGTGACTGGACTTGTGACCGGACTTGTGACCGGACTTGTGACTGGACTTGTGATTACTTGTGACTGGACTTGTGACTGGACTTGTGACTGGACTTGTGACCGGACTTGTGACCGGACTTGTGACTGGACTTGTGATTACTTGTGACTGGACTTGTGACTGGGCTTGTGTCTGGACTTGTGACTGGACTTGTAACTGTACTTGTGACTGGACTTGTGACTGGACTTGTGACTGGACTTGTGACTGGACTTGTGACTGGACTTGTGACTGGACTTGTGACTGGACTTGTGACTGGACTTGTGACTGGACTTGTGACTGGACTTGTGACTGGACTTGTGACTGGACTTGTGACTGGACTTGTGACTGGACTTGTGACTGGACTTGTGACTGGACTTGTGACTGGACTTGTGACTGGACTTGTGACTGGACTTGTGACTGGACTTGTGAATGGACTTGTGAATGGACTTGTGAATGGACTTGTGACTGGACTTGTGACTGGACTTGTGAATGGACTTGTGAATGGACTTGTGACTGGACTTGTGAATTGACTTGTGAATGGACTTATGACTGGACTTGTGACTGGACTTGTGACTGGACTTGTGACTGGACTTGTGATTACTTGTGACTGGACTTGTGACTGGACTTGTGACTACATCTCTGCCCCTACAACAAATGTCATACTGCTCAATGAATACCATTGAGCCATGCCTACAAATGAAGTTGTCTTCTCCCATATGGGTATAGCACGATCTGCTCGTATACCTACTTTCGAAAGAACATAGAAAAATCACGATGCAAGGACTATTGGCTTACGTTGACACATGTATCCATCTCCATAGTAGCCTTCATTACAGTGGCAGCCATGGACGCCGTCTCTTGCTCCACATGTTGCGTTGGTATGGCACTCCTGAGCGGCACTAGAGAGACTACCTCGTCCGTTGCATGTATATATCTGCGTACAGTCATCATTAGCATAGCTCTCCCCAGGCTTCGGAAAACAGGAAAACGACGCCGAGTGTCAAACCTTACAGCAATCCATAATTTTATTATAAATCCCAAGGCCTTTTTTGGCTAGCATCTTTCCCTATAGATCAATCCCTAGCACCAGGCTAGCACAAGTCGCGCTCAGGCAGTACTCTCGCATTCTGTGCTCCTCCAACCAAGAGGGTTACCAAAATGCGCACTCGCCTTGTCTTTAAGAGCACGTGCGGCATGAGTGCGAACGTGATGCTGTTGTGCCCATTCTTGAAAATCACGCAATCTTAAGAATGCGCGCGCATTCTTAAGAATGAGCGCGCATTCTTAAGAATGAGCACACGTTCTTAAGAATGAGCGCTCATTCTTAAGATTGCGTGGGAATATCACGTGCACAATTTATGAAGTTTGCGCAATCTTGACAAACATTGCACGACATAATTATGTTAAATGAAATGTATAGCGGTTAAAAGGGAAACAATTCATATAAAGAGGAAAGAAAATGTTCTATGCTTCTGTACTCGTATAACTACGATAATTGGTATCAAACTAAACCTGTTATTATTGCTTTTTCCTGCCTACTTATGGGAAGTTTTGTAATAACGGAGGACTGGGAACTAGTCTGGGAAGTGCTTTGTTTAGGCTAGACAAGTTACAAGTCCCTGTATGTATCATATGCGTGCCACGAAAAAAAAAAAGATGTCCAGAAGCTGCCAAAATTGCTCTTTTGACTAGATAGAATCCAGCTCTGCGACGTAATGGTGGGGGTGTGAACAATGAATTGGTGGCAATTTAAATGGGAAATAGCATTAGCACTATGGGATGTCACAGTATTCATTCTCATTCTTCACATTCTTCATTCCACCCCCCCCCCACCCCCCGCTTTTATTATCCCAAAAATCAGAATTCTTTCCAATACACTATTATTATGTCTCTTATTTTTTCCCCGGTCCCCCCCCCCCAATACGCGTATACTTTTCATATCCACTCTACTTTTCAGTGCCTTGCGTTGCAACAGTATAATTATTAAGAATCAGTGAACGAGGATTCAGCTAGACTTGCCAAGCGCAGCCGGTGCTCGGCATCGACAAGACCGTTATCTTGTCGCGCATTCTTAAGAATGTGCGCTCAATCTGGAAGAGTTATTTTTTGCGAAGATTGCGCAAGGATCCAGTTGCACAATCATAAGAATGTGCATGCGCATTCTTAAGAATGCGTGATTTTCAAGAAAGCGCACAACAATGCCATCTCCAAAATGGCTTCTACTTTTGTTCGTCAGATTAGTCTGTTCCTCAAGAAAAATTTCACTGTGCAAAAAAAAAACAATGACACATTCTATATACAGGGTGTTTCAAAAAAAAGGAAACCCAACTTCAAAGAATGAGTATGGACAGACGATATGTTTACTGGCTATAAAACAGGTATCGTCTGAAAGCGTAATCTTTTCAATGATACTTTGTTTAGGTTTTCCGAGTCATGCATCGGTGAGCATCATTGTCTTGAAAACTGGATGCAAAAATGCAGTTGGTTCACTTTCATGAAAAAAACCCACTGGGCACCGTGTGCCTATTGTTACGAAAATGTCTGTGAAATGGCTTGAATTTTAATCCTCGGGAAAATGGCACATTGTTTTGAACGTGGCTTGGTCAAAACGAGAAATTCATGACGAACAATAAAATCCAGTTTTGAAACCAACCCGACTTGTTTTTTGGTTGTTTTTTTTTATGCACTCTTGTCTTCTTCTTGAATACTTTAATATTCTCATGCACATCATGCCTATTGTGTTTGACATGAAAGTGAACCAACTGCAATTTTGCATCCAAATCTCATGACAGTGGCGCTCAGTGATGCATGACCCTGGAAATGTAAACAAGGTATCATTAAAAAGCATAGAGATTACGCGTTCAGATGATAGCAGTTTTATAGCCAGTAAACATTTAGTCTGTCCATACTGGTTCTTCAAAGTTGGGTTTCCTTTTTATTGAAACACCCTGTACAGTGAATTCTTTGTCCTTGATATTCTTCATTCACTCCCAATAAGCGGGGAGTGAAAAAACCTGCTTGAAAACACCGTTTGCGTGTTGGATCTCATCATTCGAAACTCCGTTCTCGGGTGCATTCAACACGAGAACAGGGTTTGGAATATGCCCCGTAAGTCTGCCCACTCACCTCGCGGTAAAAGCGATCCAGACAGCCACATTGCGATTCCTGGACACACTGGTCTCCGTTGGGTATGTAACCCTCGTCACACTCACACGCCTCTATACAGGGGATTGTCGGGCATGGCATAGGTTGACTCTCTGAGCAGGTAATGGGGCAGGGTGATGTACAGGCACTGTAGTGAGAATTCTCTGGGCATTCAAACGCTGTAACAAGAGAGAAACAAAGCGCCATTGAAGCAAGGAACGGACAAGGAGAGGAATATTGGAGACATGAGCTGATGTTACCAACTGATGGTTTGAACACAAACATTTGAAATAAGACAAGTGCATGTTTTATTTCCACCTACTTTATTACCAATTACTTCCAAATTCAACCATTTCATCAAAAACATGTCGACAGTAATAATTAATGCATGGTAATACTATTATTTCTGTACTCATTCATAATAATTAACCATTTTCACCATTTTTAACCATTTACCAAAGTCAAACTATTTTTCTTCTTTTGTTAAATTCAGGCTGAATTGTTTATTCGTGGATAATGCCATGGGTTTGAGATCGGAGGGTCGGAGTTCGAAACCACATTTTTCCAATTTGTTTTTCTTTTCTAATTTGCGACTTTGGAGGATTTTTTTAAAAGGGAAATAAAGTCCGAATTTCAGTAGGTTCGAATTTATATTTTTTTTTCTTTTATATATTTTTTCTCATGTTTTTAGGGAAGTAAAGTCCAAAACCTCATAGCATACACTCCATTTGCTTGGGTCGTTTGGGAAAAAAAAATTGGGGGCCTGGCCACTTTCAGCCAGCCTCAACCATTCATCACCTGATAACTGTATGCTCCTTTTTTTTTCATTGGCTGTTTCGGCACTTTTGCCGAAACAGCCTTTGTTTTCGTTAAGATTTTTCTTTTTTTCTTTTATTTTTTTTCTTCTTTTTCAGCCATGCCCCATAGCATTTGTACACGTTTTTACAGTGGAAGGCACTTTGGGCACTAAAATCAATCCGATTGACTTTATACTCGGCACACACTTAGACCAGCATCTGAAGATGTGCCCCGAAGATTGACGTCATGGTGACGTCATCGACTAATTTATTATAGAATTTTGAATATTTAATTTTTTCCATAGACTTTGTACACAGAAATAAAAAAAAAATTGTCGATTTTCAAAGGGCATTTTTGACACTTTGCCAGTAATTCATTTGCACCAATCTTTGTCCAAGCAGAGACCCTAATTCAAACAACATTTTGTAATGATGACGTCATGATGACATCATCCGGTGTGTATTTATAGGCAATTAAATTGTGACACTTTTAATATTTAAAAATGCATAAGAAATCAACCATACGTGTCCGCAGCATTCTGTTACCGGCAAAAGGTAAAGTAGGTTGAGGTTTTTATTTCATTCAGTGTGCATGAAATCACGTGACCCTTGCTTCCGGTCGAAAAAGGCCAAAACCGGAAGTGGCTTATTATTTTAAAATGGTAATAGATATGAACTTGCTTTTAACGGTGTTAGTCTTTTGGCTAAAACTATTCCTCAAATCATCTACCAATGACGTCATGCAATCTTCGAGCACCCTCTAGCGACAGGTTGAAAATTTGCAAAAATGTATTTTGAATAGATGTCTGTGGCGAAGTTTGTCGGAATCGCCTAAATATTGGTGTATATGATGACCTTGACCCACTTAGGACGTGTGCGAAGTTTTAGTCGAATGACGTCATCAGACCGGAAGTTATAATAAAAAGACCCTTTTTCATTTGAAAATTCCTGAAAAATCAACCATGGCAGTTTTTATGTTAGTTTTTACTTTAATTGTCGATTTAAGGGTAGGTCTAAAACATTTGAAAGCTTCGAGGCAATAAGCGAACTCGGACATGCCCTGCGCACGCTTAAAACTTCAGGTTGACAATACCTCTGCTCTAAAACATGCACAGAACGTCTATATGTACATACACGTACGTTACGCACATACATCGTACATGTATGTCAGTCAGCCTGCAGAGCACGTGTTGCCGAGGTCAAATCCTGTCCACATCATAGTGACCGTTTTAGCCGATTTTCAGCTAACTTTGACAGATTTTATGTTCATGCATGCGCATAGTCAGGGACGTATAATAAAAAATCATAATGCCGAAACAGCCCTATGTTTGCCACAAACATATGTCTAGTTTATAATAATAATTATGAACTTTGGAAATAAATCAAATTGAATCCAATCACATCAAATCAACAGGCACTCACGGCAGAGTTGTGGACTCCTCCACACGCCAACTTGGAATCCCGATTCTTGGCAGACGTCTGCGTAGAGTGAGACACTCGAACAGAAGTTGGTGTAATCAGGGAAGGTAGTGCACAAGTCAAACACGCAATCTTCGAAGAAAGCGTCTGCAAGATCAAGGCTTGCACAGGAGCTGAATGCATCTGAACAAAACAAAACAAATACCAGTGTCATCAATAACTTCTGTATGTCTGTATTTCCTATTCGAAAAAATCTTCCAATGTTATCTACAACTCTCATCAGGGTTCCAAAATAGGGCCACTTCATCACATCACTTCATCACATTTCTTGGTGTTCCGACTTCCATAATTTTTGAACTAAAGATGGTATCAGCATGTGGTTTTCACAGCAGTAATGCTGAAATTGTGCACTTTTTAAATCTGTAAAAAAAAAATGGCCAGGGTCAACAAACGACTCATTTAGCCTGATCGTATCACAAATTACTTTTCACTAAAATAACAGAGCAAAAACTGTTTAGAGCATCTGCTTCAGCTGAAATGAAACTTGTAATTAATGGAGTACAAGACATGATCACACTGTACCTGTGCGAACGATACCGCAAACTCGTTCAGCAAGCCCTTGCACAGCTGGGTTGGGGTTGCACACGAACGGAGTAGGCTCCTCATCCGATACACATTCCTGGCCCTCTACTGCCCAGCTGTTGCCATAGGCTTCCTGACTATCAAACTGGAACAAGGACATGAAGAACGTGCAAATCATTTGGCTGGCAGTGACGGACTCAGTCCGATATTGTAGCAAATTGTCTGAAATATGGACTCTGGGCCCAAGTACTTGCTTCAACGGCTGTAAAGGAAGGGGGGCCACACCAGGAGGGGCATTCATTGCCGATGGGGCCTGACACTCACGTGTAGGGTTTCGGCACATTCTTATTAATTGCTGTGTCCAGTATCATCTTACATCATTTCATCTTTAGACTACGGTTGTGCATCAGGTCGGGTCGACCAAAACCAAACCGGACCGAAACCAATATGAACTCCCCAAATCCGACCCGACCTGACCCAACACAACAAAAATTCAAGTAAGACTGACCTGAACTGACCCAAAACCGAACCGGCACCAAAAAAAAAGAGAGAATAATATCTTGCATGAAGACCGTAAACCACATGTACGTTTGCGCGTTGGGGTTGACGTTGCTCGTATCGGGCATAGTAACTCTACAATAATACCGCACCGCATGAATTTCTGTTTCGTTTTGTTTTGGGGGGTTTATTTCGGTTTATTTCGGGTTTTTCACAAGATAGCTTAACCCACCCGACCCGACCCGAAAATCGCAAATGTAAAACCAAAACCGACCCGACCCGACTGAAATGATAAACAAACAAAAAACGACCTGATCTGACCCAAAGTCGGTTTCGAGTCGGGTTGGTTTCGGGTCGGGTTGGTTTCGGGTCGGGTTGGTTTCGGGTCGGGTTGGTTTTGGGTCAGGTTGGTTTCGGGTCGGGTTGGTCTTGGGTCAGGTTGGTTTCGGGTCGGGTTGGTTTCGGGTTGGGTTGGTTTCGGATCGGGTTGGTTTCGGGTCGGGTTGGTCTTGGGTCAGGTTGGTTTCGGGTCGGGTTGGTCTTGGGTCAGGTTGGTTTTGGGTCGGGTTGGTTTTGGGTCGGGTTGTTTCGGGTCGGGTCGGGTTGGTTTCGGGTCGGGTTGGTTTTGGGTCAGGTTGGTTTCGGGTCGGGTTGGTCTTGGGTCAGGTTGGTTTTGGGTAGGGTTGGTTTCGGGTCTGGTTGGTCTCGGATCGGGTTGGTTTCGGGTCGGGTTGGTTTCGGGTCGGGTTGGTCTTGGGTCAGGTTGGTTTCGGGTCGGGTTGGTCTTGGGTCAGGTTGGTTTCGGGTCGAGTTGGTTTCGGGTCGGGTTGGTTTCGGGTCGGGTTGGTTTCGGGTCGGGTTGGTTTTGGGTCAGGTTGGTTTCGGGTCGGGTTGGTCTTGGGTCAGGTTGGTTTTGGGTAGGGTTGGTTTCGGGTCTGGTTGGTCTCGGATCGGGTTGGTTTTGGGTCGGGTTGGTTTCGGGTCGGGTTGGTCTCGGGTCGGGTTGGTTTTTGGTCGGGTTGGTTTTTGGTCGGGTTGGTTTCGGGTCGGGTTGGTTTCGGGTCGGGTTGGTTTCAGGTCGCGTTGGTCTCGGGTCGGGTTGGTTTTGGGTCGGGTTGGTTTTGGGTCGGGTTGGTTTTGGGTCAGGTCGGTTTTCGGGTCGGGTTGGTTTCGAGTCGGGTGGGTTTTGGGTCGGGTTGGTTTCAGGTCGGGTTGGTTTCGGGTCGGGTTGGTTTCAGGTCGGGTTGGTTTCGGGTCGCGTTGGTCTCGGGTCGGGTTGGTTTTGGGTCGGGTTGGTTTTGGGTCGGGTTGGTTTCGGGTCGGGTTGGTTTCAGGTCGGGTTGGTTTCAGGTCGCGTTGGTCTCGGGTCGGGTTGGTTTTGGGTCGGGTTGGTTTTGGGTCGGGTTGGTTTTGGGTCAGGTCGGTTTTCGGGTCGGGTTGGTTTCGAGTCGGGTGGGTTTTGGGTCGGGTTGGTTTCAGGTCGGGTTGGTTTCGGGTCGGGTTGGTTTCGGGTCGGGTTGGTTTCAGGTCGGGTTGGTTTCGGGTCGCATTGGTCTCGGGTCGGGTTGGTTTTGGGTCGGGTTGGTTTTGGGTCGGGTTGGTTTTTGGTCGGGTTGGTTTCGGGTCGGGTTGGTTTCGGGTCGGGTTGGTTTCAGGTCGCGTTGGTCTCGGGTCGGGTTGGTTTTGGGTCGGGTTGGTTTTGGGTCGGGTTGGTTTTGGGTCAGGTCGGTTTTCGGGTCGGGTTGGTTTTCGGGTCGGGTTGGTTTCGAGTCGGGTGGGTTTTGGGTCGGGTTGGTTTCAGGTCGGGTTGGTTTCGGGTCGAGTTGGTTTCAGGTCGGGTTGGTTTCGGGTCGCGTTGGTCTCGGGTCGGGTTGGTTTTGGGTCGGGTTGGTTTTGGGTCGGGTTGGTTTCGGGTCGGGTTGGTTTCAGGTCGGGTTGGTTTCAGGTCGCGTTGGTCTCGGGTCGGGTTGGTTTTGGGTCGGGTTGGTTTTGGGTCGGGTTGGTTTTGGGTCAGGTCGGTTTTCGGGTCGGGTTGGTTTCGAGTCGGGTGGGTTTTGGGTCGGGTTGGTTTCAGGTCGGGTTGGTTTCGGGTCGGGTTGGTTTCAGGTCGGGTTGGTTTCGGGTCGCGTTGGTCTCGGGTCGGGTTGGTTTTGGGTCGGGTTGGTTTTGGGTCGGGTTGGTTTCGGGTCGGGTTGGTTTCAGGTCGGGTTGGTTTCAGGTCGCGTTGGTCTCGGGTCGGGTTGGTTTTGGGTCGGGTTGGTTTTGGGTCGGGTTGGTTTTGGGTCAGGTCGGTTTTCGGGTCGGGTTGGTTTCGAGTCGGGTGGGTTTTGGGTCGGGTTGGTTTCAGGTCGGGTTGGTTTCGGGTCGGGTTGGTTTCAGGTCGGGTTGGTTTCGGGTCGCGTTGGTCTCGGGTCGGGTTGGTTTTGGGTCGGGTTGGTTTTGGGTCGGGTTGGTTTTGGGTCGGGTCGGTTTCGGGTCGGGTTGGTTTCGAGTTGGGTGGGTTTTGGGTCGGGTTGGTTTCGGGTCAGGTTTGCACAACATTATTTTAGACTGTATTTTAGGATCTTCTGTTTCGTATGAATGAAACGAAACAAACAAACACACAGTCAGAATATAATTAGTTGTTCGTATGGCGACAGCGGTGCCCCCCCCCCCCCCCCCCACCTGTCATTTGGGACTTCTGAATGTGGCCCCAAAGTGCTTTCTTCAAAATAGATACAGGTATGGAATTATAAAAACACATTGAGTGGTTACCCAGCAGCTGAACTGCCTACCTTCTTTCACTTGAATTGTTTTTTTTTTACGAAATGGCTTTGTAGCAAGCAAATAATTGTAGTGGAGCTCCAATTATTTAGACGAAGGCTCATCCTTGGGTCTACCATGTTGTTTTTAAATTGGGTTTCAGCCAATAACCCTAACTACCCCAACTCCATCAAAATCCATTCCCCCATTTTGGTGGATTTTTGGGGACTTGGTCCAGAAGGCCTGGCGTGACTAAATATTGATGGAATATAATTATGATGGACTTGGGCCTAATGGCCTGAAGCAGTGCTAGGGGTATCCGATTGATTTTGCCTAGCTTACTGTACTGCTATTGTGATAAAAGCCATGTGTAGCAAGTCCATGAATGTCAACCAGTGCGTCAGTGGTGGATTCCATTATGTCATGTACAGTTTTGTATTGGATGCACAGTGATTGATGGATTTTGATGGACTTGGTCCAGTTCCTAGTGAAAGACGCCAGGGAGTTAGGGTTAAAAGTGACTTATGTAGGCACTGACAGATATTCAGGCGTTTAACGGACAAAAAAATAATCAAGCGAGACTTACGCCGTCAAATTCATCGTCAGGATCTCCATTCCAATTGCCGCAAAGGCCGCAGGTATTGTTGAAGAAGTCCGGTATCAGGGAGATGTCCACGTTATACTTGCCATCCCAACGCAACGTCAGACCAAAGCGAGTACTCAGCTCCTGGCAAAGTTGACAGAGGGAGGGGGTGATTAAAAACGATCAACAGTCTAAAAAATCGTCAACTATCTCAAAAATGTCCAAATACATACCTCATGTGCAACTTGGACAGAGGTAAAATACTCATATAGTGATCCAACTAGCTAAGGCCAAAAGAAAAGTCTCCGGTTTCTGGTATGGAGCTTGCCCCAAAAGTAGTGCGCCGCTGCTTTAAAAATTTTTTTTTACTTTTTTCTTCTTCAAATGTCAGCTGATGACTGCAAACGGTGCCGGACTAAAATTGAGTGCAAAATATATGGGAGCCCAGAGAGGCCACATATAGCTTATACTCGATCGTAACATTGCACTCGTCTATAGCTATATTGCACTAATTTGATAATATATAACCTAATTTGATTTATATCACCCCGACACAAAATTCCATCTTATAATAGTTTATGTGGATTCGTTAGCTCGGTGGTCGAGTGGTAAGACATCTGCACTAGAAAGCAGGAGGCCGTGGGTTCGAGTCCCACCCGAGTGATTTTTTCCAACTTTAACTCGGGAGGTAACACACTGAGTATACAGTGTTTAAAAACGTCGGTGAAGGGCAAAACCTTATTTGATTTATATCACCCCGACGTGAAATTCCATCTTATAATATATTGCACTCGTCCTCTACTCATGTTATGGCTTGTGCAATATATTCTGGTATCCACCTCAAAGCCATGCAATATTATAGGTACTGGGGTTAAACAATGAAAAGTTGAGTATACAAGAAAATATTCTACCTCCGTGATATGTTACTTACAAGGTATCTGCCTTGTCTTTTGATATTAACGAGGGCATTTGAAACAGGAGGTCTGGCTTCCACACCGTTGATGAACACTTTCTTGCCTCGTTTGAGGGCAAAAACCTGGCGATAAGTAAATTCAGAAAAATGAAAAAAAAAAGATGAAGGAATTTGCATACAGGTAAAACATGCATTCGAGGCCATCGATTATAAATTTGGGATCTGCAAATAATTTCAAATGGAAAAAACAACAATTACAAAGGAGTTATCAGCTACGTGCAAGTAATTGCCTTCTCCTTGTGAAAAAAAACTTTGTTTTGGGGTCAAAATTCCAGAGCAGTGACTGAAAACACAACCTCCAGCAAATGGTTGCCATGGAGAATTCTTTTACAGCAACGCATCATGGAGAAAACAAGTAAAGAGTCACAATTTTTAAGATATTGCCACGTTACATACAAGTTCTTGTTAACAAAGACTCAGCACTTTTGAAAGTTTCTGGGATGGACCATTATTTTTTAATTTTTTTTTCAACTTACAAGTTGAAAGCATTTGTGTTTGCGCGGTACTGAATGTACACAAAGAAAGATTGAGGGTTGACTGCAGGACAATAAAAGTTAGAATTCAACATTACAGACGAAAAGTGGTTTCACTTATTAATTATAATTCTTATTCCAAACATACTATTTCATCAAGCTCAACGTTGATGGCTTTGGTGACGGCTGGACCCCTGCCGTTCGCCCGCACTTTCTCGTTCTCCTGGATGATGCGGAAGTTAGCGCCAAACCCAGGGTCGCAGGGCTTCACCAGGAGGTACTTGCAAGCCCCTTGGTAGTTGAATTTGACACCGTCAAAGGAGCGGTAATGGGGGTCACCGTGAGCATAGCAATTGCCCTTGACTGTGTGTGGAGAGAGACAGAGTCAAGTAACAGGTTTAGTTTCATCACTGAAAACAATAATAATAAAATAATAAAAGAACATTTTGGTATCCGCCTAAAAAAGGCACTCATGGCGCTTGAGGAGAAAGTCAAGTTAGGATTGTGTGTTGTGAGAGTAGGCTTGTTTGTTCAGGTGAGATTTTATGTTTGTCTTAAATGTTGTGATGGATGGAGATGATTTCATAGCCAGAGGGAGTTGGTTCCACACTCGGGCTGACGCTGCAGTAAAGGATCTGTCACCCCAAAGAGTGGAGGTCCTGGGCTCGTGAAGAGTAGGCTTGGTCCAGTTGAGTAGGACCTGAAAGTTTGACAACTTGTTAGCTGGAAGCTGGACAGCTTCAGTTGATCAGTCTTAGTTGGACAATCTATGCTTGACAGTTCAGGACTTTAAGTATACTCTTTGACCCATCAGGACGGCCATGGGAGACCGTGATATGTGTGGCGTGCCTTTGTTGCAGTCCGACGAGCGTCAACTTACAAGTCGACTGAAAGTTTGACAACTTGTTAGCTGGAAGCTGAACGGCTTCAGTTGATCGGTCTTAGTTGGACAATCTATGCTTGACAGTTCAGGACTTTAAGTATACTCTTTGACCCATCAGGACGGCCATGGGAGACCGTGATATGTGTGGCGTGCCTTTGATGCAGTCCGACGAGCGTCGACTTACACATGCATGTCGTGCGGAATGGCGCGTGTATCTAAGAATAGCGCAAAGCGCAGAGTAATCCGGGGCCGAGAGTCCACTTGATGATGATGTGTCCCACATGCCGAGAGGCCAAAGTGGTATATGGGACTCACATGCCATGGCCCTTATTCACGAGTTGGCCATTTTTGTTCGAGTTCCCCGATTGTATTTCATTAATTGTTAACTGTGTAATGGGATGGCGCCAGACTATTTATGCAGGCACAATGCAGCCATATTTTGCTGTCATTTTTTTTTTTAAATATGGCTTTAAACTTCAGGGAAAGTTAAACTACAAATTATTCATTAAACTGCAATTTATCATAAATGAACTTGCTTTCATTTCACTTCGCAAGTTCCAAAAATTAGGATTTTACCTCACTTTCAATTCAATATGGCCGACTTGTGAATAAGGCCCATGAGGCCCAAGGCCGAGTGGTATGTGGGACACAGACGCATTACATTTTCCATGTTCCACGAGCGTGAGCGGGACAACAAATTTATTTATCTTCAAGCAAACTTGACGCGCAGTAAAGATGGAACACGCACGCTGTACACAAACTTTTCAGAGGTTATCCAATTACACATGCATGTCGTGCGGAAAGGCGCGTGTATCTAAGAATAGCGCAATGCGCAGAGTGCGCTATGGATCTTTGGCCCTGCTGGTTGCCATGGATCGACCAATCAGGTTTCAAGTTTACTCAAAGATAAAGACAGATGCAGCTGACTTACCTTCGTCGCAATGCCTTCCTTGAAAACCTCGGAAGCACTTGCACTCGTATCCGCTGGCGTGGAGTTCAGTATGCATACACCTTCCACCATTCTTACAAGGATTAGCATCGCAGGGGTCATCTGAAACAACATGGTACGTATGCCAATGGATTACTTGTTTAAAGCTATAGTCCATCATTTGCAGCTATCCGAAAAGTAACTGGCGTAATTATTGTTGAAAAACATACTTGGTTGAAAGATAGTAAGGGGACTAAACTCCCTGTGAAATTATTCTTTCTGACAAGCTGTCATTTTGAAGTAATCAACGAAAGAAGGCATTTCCAACAGTGATTCTTAAGAAGCACCGTAGGAAAATTTAAATTAGTAGTTCGTTGTGTTATTCAGCGCAGCGCGCACAAGTATTGGAACGACGCACACGCGCGCGCGGTTGTTGTAATTCGTCGGATCAGTGCGCGACCCCGCGTATAGCTGCAATTCAAAACAATTCAAAACATGATTCAGTAACTTTTGATTTGAAATTGAGATCTTAGAATGCTGTTTTTCTCGGAATGTACAGCTGAAGCTTAGCTGAAACTTCATCAGGTTAGTTGTTCAGTATCCTTCATTAGATTTTGAACTCTTTTGTTGCTTCAAACGAACAAAATGCACAAATTACAAATGATGGACTGTAGCTTTAAAGCTAATTTGGACCATTTGAATTTTTTTCTTCTCTTTCAAGCTCCAAAATTGCTCCAAACCTGAAGTAGGGAGCATAACAACTACAACCGATGGAGGTTTTAGCTCGATGGCTACTCCACATTTTGTAGGGGAAATAAAGAAGAAAATGTATGCCCAAATTCTTGGGTCGGGAATCCGTTGCTAATGCACATACTAAAAATACATGTAGTGTCATACAATGTTATACAATTTGTCATTGCGTGAGTGCGCTGCACGCGCGCGCATTTACAGAACCGGGATAGTTTGGGTTTCACAAACTGACATCCTCCACAGTGTAGCACTTTCAGAGCGCACCCCGTACATTTTTGGTTTCACAAACTGACACTGATATTTTCATTTCAACAATTAAAACGCTTTTTAATAAAAAAATTTGTGTAATCACACAAGTATGCGGGTGGATTAAATTTGTGTCAAACCTTTCAAACCATTTTTCTCTGTTTTGCATTGCTGCATCATGCTTGGGTGTCAGTTCGTGAAAACGAAAATCTCCCTATTTCGCGTCAGTGTCGATGTGCGTGCACTACCGGGTGTCAGTTCGTGAAACACACCAAACACATGCCAAGGAGTTAAACTGGTGAGATCCTGAATCCATCAAAGTCCCCCCCAACTGCTCAATATGGAGGTATCCTGAATCCGCCGAAAACCTACAGAGTGTGGATTTTGATGGATTTGGGTAGGTTAGGGCTAAGATTGTAGTTGACCTACCCACGCAATTGTCTCCGTCGGCCATAAGATCTGCGTTACAATAGCAGCCATGGACGCCCTCGTCGTTCGCACCACAGAACCGTTCGGCGGCGTCACAGGTAGCGCCATTGCAGTTTGCCGCACCACTTACACAGGTGCAACTCATAGAACAATCTTCACTGAGAAAAGTCTCAGACGCCTGAAAAGAGGGAAACAAGTGGAGAACATGCATGAACATTTGACGGCAGTCTTCATGACCCGTTGTGCAAGGACGCGTGCGGGACACATTGTACAGGGTGAGTCAAAAGAAGTGGAACCCAAACCCCATGAAATATATTTCATATTTAAAAAAATATGTAGCACCAAAATTAATGACTGGAAAGCCAATTTCATAAGCTACTTTTAGATGAAAAAAATAACTCAAATTTCTCAATCCGTTCAAAGAATATCACCACTTAAACACAATGACCCTAAAACCTGTCTCGTCCAAAAAAGCAATTCATTGTGTGTTTTGACTGTTTGGAACAACAAAGAAAATGACACAGAATACTTGTTTCAACAACTGTCACCAACTGTAGTACACAGTATCTTTATTAACAACCCTGGTAAGGCAAACAATATGATTTATAAAATGTATCTTTTTTAAAGGACGGGCCTTCAAAGGGATTCTGTTGACTATTTTTCACTTTTAAACTGAGATTTTGTCGCTGGTGATGTTTGAAGACAATTGCAATGAGGATTCTTGAAATCTCATTTTTTTTGGACGAGACAGGTTTTAGGATCATTGTGTTTAAATGGTGATATTTTCTCAATGGATTGACCAATTTCTGTAATTTTTTTCATCTAAAAGTACCTTATGAAATTGGCTTCCCAGTCATATAATTTTTGGTGCAACATATTTTTTTAAATATGAAATATAATTTTGGGGTTTGGGTTCAGCTTTCAGGATTCCTTAAGGGGCTGTAAACACAATTGAACGATAGGGAACCCCATAAGGAAGTCTTAAAAAGTCTATCTACCCCATAAGGCCAAAAAAAAAAGTCTCCGGTTTCTGGTATGCGCGCGCGTCGCCGCAGCCATGCGTGTCGGCAAAATGAAAAAGGTTTTTTTTCAATACAAGATGATGTCTCAAAACCGCCAAACTCACTGGTTTGACTGGAATCCTGCTGCTGCACAATTTTAACGTGTTTTTAGATGGGGTTATGATCGAGAATAAGCTTTATGTGGCCTCTCTGGACTCCCATATATTTGCACTAAGTTTAGTCGGGCACCATTTGCAGTCATCAGCCGACATTTGAAGCCAAAAAAAAAAAAAAAAAAACAGGTAAAAAAAAAAAAAAAGGCCGCGTCGCCGCACCACTTTTGGGGCAAGCTCCATACCAGAAACCGGAAACTTTTTTTTTTTGGCCTAAGGGAAATGCTAACTGTATGGAGTTTGAGATTTCAAGAGGAACAAAGGAAAACAATAGAAAGGGACACTAAGTCAGTTCCCACAATTACACCTAACACCTACGTACGGCTGTATGCATGCACATACTGGGCCCAATTTTATGGCTCTGTTAACCACATTCTCTTGTGCTTACGGTGACCATTCTGTGCGAAAAATTCGGCGCTAGCCCTGTCAGCTCCCCAAGAAACAGATTACTTTGTTTGAATTACAATTCTCCAAGAAATGTAAAAGTTGTTGACTTCTAAGGGAGACATCAAACAAAAATGCGCCAACATTTATGGATTATTTCTTCCCAAAAGTTTGAATTACTGGCCGCCAAACGATAACCTGGCTCTCGTAGTGCGGATGGATTTGTGATAAAAATGAAAGCCCTTTCAGAGGAATAAAGCAGTTTTTCTCCCATTAGTGGGCACATGTGGTCTAACGGTAGAGCACAGGATTCATGATCATGAGGTTGTTGGTTCGAGCCCCGCAGTGGCCATGTGTGTTGTGCCCTTGAGTAAGGCGCTTTACCTCAATTACTCCTCTCAACCCAGGTGTTAAATGGGTACCGGCATTATTCAATGCTGGGAAGGTAACAGACTCGTTGTGGAGGAGGTGTGGCGATCCCCCCACAGCAGCATATGAGTCTGGCCCAATCGCTAAATGAAAGAGAGATGGGCACTCCGTTTCTGTGAACACAGGTTCGTCCCTTTTTTTCCCATTAAAACCAAATATACAAATTGACATTTTTTTTAAAAAGAGACACAGGAAAGCCTGTTTCATAAAGATAAAATGTCAGGGAAACACGTACCATATGATAGACATCTTCAAAGTAGCACCCGCATTCATCTTCAGGCACACAGCTTCCGTCACCATCCAGGACACGTCCCTCGGCGCATTCACAGCCCTCCACACACAGCAACGGACACACAAAGAATTCCCCTTGTTCCTCGCCGCACATCTTGGGACACGCGGTCATGCATGGGTTGTACGCAGAGTTGGCTGGACACAACATGGCTGATGACGGGATAGTATGCAACACAGAAAACAAAAACAAAATCATCCACTGCTTTTTTTTTTTTTTTGATGCAGCACTTTGGAAGTTCAATGCAGAACAAATACAGGTCGAGTCAAAAAAAGTGGAACCCAAACCCCAAAAATATTTTTCATATTTTTAAAAATATGTAGCACCAAAATAATAACAACTGCAAAGCCAATTTCATAAACTACTTTTAGATGAAAAAATTACTGAAATTGCTCAATCTGTTCAAAGAATATCACAATTTAAACGCAATGACCGTAAAATCTGTTTCATTTCCCCCCCCCCAAAAAAAACAATGTATTGTGTGTTCTGACTGTTTTGAACAACAAAGAAAATGACACAGAATACTTGTTTCAACAACTGTCAACAACTGTAGTACACAATATTTTTATTAACAACCCTGCTTAGGCAAATAAAATGATTTATAAAATCCCTTTTTTAAGGCAGGCCTTCAAAATGACTTTGTTGAATATTTTTTTACTTTTAAACTGAGGTTTCATCGCTGGTGATGTTTAAAGACAATTGTGACGACGATTGTTGAAATCGCATATTTGGATGAAAGAGGTTTTAGGGTCATTGTGTTTAAGTGGTGATATTCTTTGAACGGATTGAGCAATTTCAGCAATTTTTTCATCTAAACGTAGTTTATGAGATTGGCTTTCCAGTCATTATTATGTTTGGTGCTACATGGTTTTGTAGTTATTTCAAAAATAGTCAGACACTTTTTGGGGGACATACCGCATACTGATTCTACAATTCTCCATTTTGTATCTAGCAATTTTTGTTATTGCACAAACTGAAAGCAAAAAGTCCTTGCTCCGCATGACAGCACAAGAGTCTTTTTGATACGCGAGACCAGTTGGTGAACGTTTTACTTACGGCACACCTCTGGCGACCTCCATTGACCGATCTCAACCCCCCTTTCCTGACATTGTGAAGCATAGCTGGCAACGTCGTCACAGGCGCTGGACATGTCGGGTCTGGCGGAACACCAGTCATACAGAGCATCCTCTACGACAGGCTCTGGATCAACCACATCATGGCATTCACTCAGAGGACCTTTTAAAAAAAATATTCATTTCAAAATGATGACAAAATTACTTGTAAACATTTAGATATTGGAAATGTGTACCCAAACATACATCTGCATTTTATAACAATTCTTTGCAGTTTCAAAAGGTACCATTGACTGAATTTCAACTTAAGAATGGCCTGATGTTCTGTCTTTTTTAATTTTCACTTCACAGTAACGCAATTTGGAACATCACGTTAACTTGTGAATTGGCATCTGTATTGAGTGATCACTTATGCACGGACTTGGCACAATGCAAGTTTTGACCCTGGACAGAGTAACAACGAATGCTCAGTCATCCGTGGCCACATACACACAATCAAGGTATTATTGGAATGAGGACACATTGGCGTTTCACACGATCTTTAATTGTTTTTGCAGATATTTATTAGATTTTTATAATTTACATTTACATTTGGGTTTCCTCTTTTTTTATACACCCTGGTGACATTTCCTGGTGAGAGACTTCTGGCACTGGCTGCAATATGCGCCGCAGCACCTCGTATACCCCTTAAAAAAGGTGCTACATAATGGGTCTCACATTTCTCATAAACTTCATGTACTTGTCTTTAAAAAAATAGTATACAAATACAGCATGGTTTGAGGGAAGTAGTGGGAATTACTGGTCCAGAGGTGTAGATCAGCTTGACTAGTCAAGCTGACGTACACTGAGGGACCAGTAATTTCAACTTTTTTCCAGAAATAAACAAGTCAGGTGTGTTTACAAACACAAATGCCCCGCAACCATGACTGTTTCCATGACATAACACCACTCTAACATCAACTTACATGTACCTTGGTCAAATGGAACGTTCATTGACAGCATTAGTGTCTTCTGTAGGTTTTATATGAATTAATCCCTAATCCCTATGATCTCAGAATAAATACAAGATTTCTATTGTTTTAGCCACTGTGACCTTGACCCTTGACCTTTCGACCCCCAATGCGATAGGCTTCTTAGGATTGCCAAGGACAATCCACAAACCAAATTTGAAATTCATATGTAAAGTATATCTCAAGTTATCACGCTGACAAAATTTCTTTTGTTTTTGCCACTGTGACCTTGACCCTTGACCTTTTGGCCCCAAATGCAAAAGGCTTCTTAGGATTGCCAAGGACAATCCACAAACCAAATTTGAAGTTCATATGTAAAGTATTTCTCAAGTTATCGCGCTGACAAAATTTCTATTGTTTCAGCCACTGTGACCTTGACCCTTGACCTTTCGGCCCCAAATGCAATAGGCTTCTTAGGATTACCAAGAACAATATACAAACCAAATTTGAAGTTCATATGTAAAGTATTTCTCAAGTTATCGCGCTGACAAAATTTCTTTTGTTTTAGTCACTGTGACCTTGACCCTTGACCTTTTGGCCCCAAATGCAAAAGGCTTCTTAGAATTGCCAAGGACAATCCACAAACCAAATTTGAAGTTCATATGTAAAGTATTTCTCAAGTTATCGCGCTGACAAAATTTCTATTGTTTCAGCCACTGTGACCTTGACCCTTGACCTTTTGGCCCCAAATGCAAAAGGCTTCTTAGAATTGCCAAGGACAATCCACAAACCAAATTTGAAGTTCATATGTAAAGTATTTCTCAAGTTATCGCGCTGACAAAATTTCTATTGTTTCAGCCACTGTGACCTTGACCCTTGACCTTTCGGCCCCAAATGCAAAAGGCTTCTTAGGATTACCAAGGACAATCCACAAACCAAATTTGAAGTTCATATGTAAAGTATTTCTCAAGTTATCGCGCTGACAAGATTTGTCCGGACACACACACCCACCCACCCACCCACCCACCCACCCACGGAAGGACAAGGCGGAAACAGTATGCCCCTTCGGCTTCGCCGCGGGGCATAAAAATGCCATATTTGTTTTACTACACCTCATAAATATTTAGTAGCCTCACTGTCTTTTTAGTAGCCTCACTGCCTTGTCAATAACGGCCTTCCTAGATTTTGCATATTTATTCAGCGCAATTCAAATTCTTCGTCACAGTATGAAATAGTCCGGTGCCAACACAAAGTGTTTTTACTGCAGTTGTAACAAGGATTACAACAACAGACTAGTTCCGTAAAGATTACATGTCATAGACTACATGTCTACGAGGCAGGTTCCAGAGGGAATTTTTGGCGCTACCAGAAAAAAACTACCGCAAGGCAGCGAGCTGGATACTAACCGAGATGACGTCACGTAGGCGCGTATCATTGACGCGCGGCGGAATTGGCCAATGACGCGCTCCAATTTGATCATGAATATTTATGAGGTGTAGTAATATTATATCCGGCCTATTATTGCTAAGATATAGGCCAGCGGTCACACGCAATAAACTGGGGCCAAGTCAAAGACCAAGAGTCAAAATTGGGTAGTATATGCTTCCATTCTCACCTGCAGGGTCACTCAAAACAAAGATGAGGTGGCGAGAGACTTCATCTCCCGGCCTTTCCTGACCAAACACCTCCACGCAGGGATGGACACCGCTGGACTCGTCGTCGGCATTGCAAACATCTGAATTGGCCTTCCAGCTGTTGCCAAACTCAGCCGGACCGTTCACCTTCACAAAGAAACAGCCAACAATGACTCAATCCAACTGATTTGATCAATGGCCGATTTCCTGTCGCTGCTCAGCACAGAAATTGGCCGAGTGCAGAAAATATTTGCTTAGATAGCAAAAAAAGGTTACCAGCCAAGGTGGGGTGCGATGTATATTACTCGTGACAGGTACTCCGCTGGTTTTTGCTATTAAGCGCATTAATTAGCTGAGCTTCATTTTTTGCCAAGCAGCTCCGTAAAAAAAAAAGGATTTTGATCAATTTTTTCCTTTTTTTTTCTTTTTAATTTCTTTCCAAAATACAGAATAAGGAGTCATGCAGCATGAGATATTTGTTCAGATGTTCAAAAAATATCTACTTCAAGAAATATGCTAATGTTAAAGGTTGTAAAGAAAAAGATATTTTTTGTGTCGTAAATTTTCTCCCTTAACTATTAATTATTAAGAAGAACTGTTTTGATCGCTCCACTCTTTCTTTGTCGTCACACAAAAAGACAGAAACGGCTGATGTGAGAGTGCCTACAATAATCATGTCATTTTTGTTGTATGTTCAATTTCAAAATCTGTCAGCCATGACCATGTTGACGCCTATAACCTAGCTGCCAATAACCCAGTTGATGCCCAAAACCCAGGTGCCCATAACCCAGTTGATGCCCATAACCCAGTTGATGCCCATATCCCAGTTGACGCCCATAACCCAGGTGCCCATAACCCAGTTGATGCCCATAACCACATGAGCCCATAACCCAGTTGATGCCCATATCCCAGTTGACGCACATAACCCAGGTGCCTATAACCCAGTTGACGCCCATAACCCATGAGCCCATAACTCAGTTGATGCCCGTAACCCAGTCGCCCGTAACTCAGTCGCCAAAGCCCAGTTGACATTTATAACCCAGGTGCCCATAACCCAGTCACACCCATACCCATGTGCCCATAACCCAGTTGACGCCCAAAAACCAGACGCCCACATCCAAGTTTGAAGGAATATTACTGTTAAGCAGAAAATATTGCATACCGCCAGCCAAAAGCAACATAAACCACATGACGTTTTGGTCGGTAACCAGTTTTGGCCATAAGTGGTTAAGCGGCTCTTTTGGCCACACCTTTGTATCAGCAAAAGAATCAAGAAAATGGGAGAACCCATCCACCATCTTGGGGAAAAAAGGGGGCTTATTTTTTCTTTCAAAAAATCCAAGACCAGAATATTGTTTGCTGGGCCTTACCGGCTGGAATCCTGGACCCACGAATTCATTGTTGCGATCCATATCCATATTGCCACACAGACCACACGTCCGGTTGGAGAATTCATAGGACAGCTCAACGTTCACGCCGTATCTTCCGTCCCACCGAACTTCTAGACTGTTGTTAAATTTGGCCACCTTGTCATTAAAATGAAGAAAAAAATGAAAGAATTAACCCTCAGAGGTTTGTAGCATTTTACTGAAAACTGACGTTGGCCAAGCCCAGACCTCCAGATTTGATAGTACAGTAGAACGCTGCTACAACAGACGCTGCTTTAATAAGACTTGAAGGTTTGCACGGTGATTCCCGGATGTCCACGCCCGCCTATTCAGTTCTACATGTGACTTAACACAACTTGTAAAAGAATATTTCAACCAGTCCCATAAGTAACGCACTAGTCAGCAATGAATGGCACTGGCCGCCACTTTTGTCGTAGGGCAAGGAACTTACCAGGTTGTTGCCGCTGCGTGTGACGGAGAAACCGGGATAATTCAAGGGCGTGGTGCGAACGACGCCATCAAGGGTCAGTTCTTTATCCTGAAGCAGGCCGATTTCCTGCAGAAACATACACCGACGATAAGTGAGTGTACCTGTGACATGTTAGCTGTAAAATGATTCACAGCCACTGATAATAGTCTGGCTTGCTGTCATTTAGAAGAAATCAAGAAATGTAGGGGATTTCCAACGATCAGTCGAGGGAACGACTTGGGGAAATACAGAGTGCTTCGTACCAAATCGTGTCTCCTGATCAAAAAATTGTGCATGGTGTTTCACTGTTATCTCATTAAGTGTTGTATCCACTGAGCTGAAGTTTCAACAGGTTGGGTTTTGAACATTCTTCTTTGAATTTTGAGTGGTGTTTTTATTGGGAAATGGACAAAACGCTTGAAAAGCAACTTATTTTATGTGACTTTTGAGGTAAGGGCCTCTATTTGTGTAGATTTGGAAGTCATTTACGTGACCAAACGGGGAGTGTGGCCTAGTGGTTAGAGTTCGTGACTCATGATCAGAGGGTCAGGGGTTCAAATCTAGCTGCTGGCCATACGTTGTGTCCTTGGGCAAGGCACTTCATCCCCACTTGCCTCTCTCCACCCAGGAGTATAAATGGGTACCGGCATTAGCTGGGGAGTACCCTGCGATGGACTAGCATCCCACCTAGGGGGAATAGAAATATTCTCAGTCGTTTCATGCCACTGACACCTCAGATAAACGCCGGCCTGATGGGCCATATTGGCTAGGGACAGACTTTACTTTACTTACGTGACCAAAGATGTGAATCCACAAGTCTTGGGTGCGGGAAGCCCTGGAGTTGGTGGAAACTTTCCGGTTCTTTTGGATGATGTCAAAATAGTGGGCGTCATCTTCGTCTCCGCAGTACTGCAACAGGTAGTACTTGCAGGCGCCTTGGAAGTTATACTTGAGCCTGTCAAAGGTCCTGTAGTGGGGGTCTCCACGAGCTCTGCACTGTGCCCGGCCTGAACATGGGAACGGTGGAATAATGCCGTACTATATAATGGGCACGTGTGGTCTGGCGGTTGGGCACAGGATTCATGATCGTGAGATTGTGGGTTCGAGCGTGCTGTGCCCTTGAGCAAGGCGCTTTACCGCAATTACTCCTCTCAACCCAGGTGTTAAATGGCTACCGGCATTATTCAATGCTGGGAAGGTAACAGACTCACTGTGGAAGAGGTGTGGCGATCCCCCCAGTAGCATTTCATGGACTCGAGTCTGGCCCAATCGCCATTTTCGTGAAGTCGCTAAGCATGAACATTTCTTGCTTACCAAAAATAGGTTACCAACCCTAATCTCATGCAATGTAAATGGTTTGTAACTGGTCCCCAGCCGATTCATGCTTAGCCCATACATTCTGTAAGCAATATTTTCCACTTGTGAGCTCCGTAGGGGCGTCAATCGCTTCTCAAAAGTGGGGGGGGGGACATACCTTGATCAGAACTAATGCGAGCGAGAACCGCAAAGCCCTTACGACGTGGGGTCCGAAAAAAATTGATTCTAGATGCTCTGTGGTGCAATCTGAGGCAATTTCTGACCAATTTAAGCAGTATTTTCTTAGCCATCCTTCAAAGAGTGGGGGGGGGAGACATGTCCCCCTGTCCCCCCAGGATTGCCACCCATGGAGCTCTGTAAAATTGGGCCCAGGCTAGCACGCTCTAGACTACTAAACGAACAAGAAAACAATTTTACGTAAGACAGCGGCACTTACCGTGTTCACAGTGTTCCCCAGTCCAGCCTCCCATACAGACGCAGACATAGGAGCCATCACTTCTGTCTTTGCACAAACCTCCATTCCCACATGGGTTCATACGACACGGGTCGTCTGCCCAAACAAGTGAAAGAAAGTCAGCATATGTTAATGGTTTCCCCTCGAAAATGGTATTTGAGTGGATAGAAGGTAAGAAGTATTTAAAGGCTCATTTGAGACAACGTCGCTTGTCAAGGTGAGGAGTGAGAATGCTTCTCTTCCCCAGAACAGGATGCCTGCCATCGCAGGTTCTCCCCAGGTAGGTGCACAAGTCCATGGTAGTGTCGCCCTAAATTTACCCTAGCCCAAACCCTACCCTACCCTAACTCGAACTCTAGCCCAAACCCTAAACCTAACCCTAACCCCCAACACTAACCCCTAGTCCTAGCCCTTGTCAAAATGGGTCAAAATGGCGGTTTTTATAACATGGCGACAGTTATGTGTATCCCTCATAAGGTGTGTCACCCTATTAGAGCAAATTTAACTGTCGCTCTATTAGACCTGTTAGTAATATAACGCTGAGCCACACTTGAGGATTCAGAGCCAGTGATTAGACTTGACAACCTACCTGCCTTCCAGCAGCATTCCCAACCCTGCCTCTGCACTATCCTATCGGTGATGAAGTACATCCAGAAGCCATTGCCGTCCACCGCAAACTTCTCTGGAGCCTCGTCCCCGTCAAACAGGCGGATTGGGGCGGTGGGACTGATCTCCAACTCCGTCAATAGAGGGGGCTCTCCGGGGCCGACGTACAGCGAGTCCCGGTCGTCTTCGACGTTGAAGCGCTCGTCGCATTGGATGGTGTAGTACGTCACGCCGGGCACTTGCACGATGTACTGAATGATGGTGTTGGGCGTGTAAGGTTGGTCTGGGTAGTTGGGGGATCTGAAGCAGCCTGATTTGCAGTCGGGGCCCAGGCAGGTTTGACGGTCGTCGTATCCTCTGCATTGCACTGACAATACAAAAGAAAAGGAATGGACTTATGCAACGAGTCAGCAAAACCTGAATGGATAAACGGTGCATGGGTTTTCAACTCACAATATTGTTGCCTGTTGGTGATTTTATAGTTGGTTATGGCTAAAATTGGAGGATTCAATATGCAGCTTTTCACTCTACAAAACTCTGAATGACGGAGAATTCTCTCTTAAATTGCAACATATGGTAACATTTGGTGAATTGTAACATTTGGTGACTTGTATTCAAATTAACATAATGACAGTATTCTTGCAATTTTTTAAAAGATTTTTTAACCACGCATGGTTGAAGAGTTTTACTTCACTACATTATGAAAAAAAAAAAGTAAAATAAGGCCAAAAAAAAAAAGTCTCCGGTTTCTGGTATGCGCGCGCGTCGCCGTAGCGTCGGCAAAATGAAAAAGTTTTTTTTTCAATGAAAGATGATGTCTCAAAACCGCCAAACTCACTGGTTTGACTGGAATCCTGCTGCTGCACAATTTTAACGTGTTTTTAGATGGGGTTATGATCGAGAATAAGCTTTATGTGGCCTCTCTGGACTCCCATATATTTGCACTAAGTTTAGTCGGGCACCATTTGCAGTCATCAGCCGACATTTGAAGCAAAAAAAACAGGTTAAAAAAAAAAAAAAAGCCGCGTCGCCGCACCACTTTTTGGGCAAGCTCCATACCAGAAACCGGAGACTTTTTTTTTGTGGCCTAAACTGACTTGTACTTGTACTCATATTCATGACAAAAAACTCATATTCATGGCAAACAACTCATACTCATACTCATGACAACGTACTCCTACTGGAAAGAAATTGCCTTGTACTCTACTCGTACTCAAACCAAAGTACTGATACTGATAGCAAAGAACACGTTCTCATACTCGCACTCATGACAAAGTACTCGTACTCATGGAAAGAAATTGCCTTGTACTCTACTCGTACTCATGACAAAGTACTGATACTGATAGCAAAGAACACGTTCTCATACTCTTACTCATGACAAAGTACTCGTACTGGTACTCATGGAAAGAAGTTGCCTTGTACTCTACTCGTACTCATGACAAAGTACTGATACTGATAGCAAAGAACTCTTACTCATACTCTTACTCATGACAAAGTACTCGTACTGGTACTCATGGAAAGAAGTTGCCTTGTACTCTACTCGTACTCATGACAAAGTACTGATACTGATAGCAAAGAACTCTTACTCATACTCTTACTCATGACAAAGTACTCGTACTGGTACTCATGGAAAGAAGTTGCCTTGTACTCTACTCGTACTCATGACAAAGTACTGATACTGATAGCAAAGAACACGTTCTCATACTCGCACTCATGACAAAGTACTCGTACTGGTACTCATGGAAAGAAATTGCCTTGTACTCTACTCATACTCATGGCAAAGAACTCATATTCATGGCAAACAACTCATACTCATACTCATGACAACGTACTCCTACTGGAAAGAAATTGCCTTGTACTCTACTCGTACTCATGACAAAGTACTGATACTGATAGCAAAGAACACGTTCTCATACTCGCACTCATGACAAAGTACTCGTACTCATACTCATGGAAGAAATTGCCTTGTACTCTACTCGTTCTCATGACAAAGTACTGATACTGATGGCAAAGAACTCGTACTCATACTCTTACTCATGACAAAGTACTCATACTGGTACTCATGGAAAGAAGTTGCCTTGTACTCTACTCGTACTCATGACAAAGTACTGATACTGATGGCAAAGAACTCGTACTCATACTCTTACTCATGACAAAGTACTCGTACTGGTACTCATGGAAAGAAGTTGCCTTGTACTCTACTCGTTCTCATGACAAAGTACTGATACTGATGGCAAAGAACTCGTACTCATACTCTTACTCATGACAAAGTACTTGTACTGGTACTCATGGAAAGAAGTTGCCTTGTACTCTACTCATACTCATAGCAAAGAACTCGTACTCATATTCGCACTCATGACAAAGTACTCGTACTCATGGAAAGAAATTGCCTTGTACTCTACTCGTACCCATGACAAAGTACTGATACTGATAGCAAAGAACTCGTACTCATATTCTTACTCATGACAAAGTACTTGTACTGGTACTCATGGAAAGAAGTTGCCTTGTACTCTACTCATACTCATGGCAAAGAACTCGTACTCATATTCGCACTCATGACAAAGTACTCGTACTCATGGAAAGAAATTGCCTTGTACTCTACTCGTACCCATGACAAAGTACTGATACTGATAGCAAAGAACTCGTACTCATACTCTTACTCATGACAAAGTACTTTTACGGGTACTCATGGAAAGAAGTTGCCTTGTACTCTACTCATACTCATGGCAAAGAACTCGTACTCATATTCGCACTCATGACAAAGTACTCGTACTCATGGAAAGAAATTGCCTTGTACTCTACTCGTACCCATGACAAAGTACTGATACTGATAGCAAAGAACTCGTACTCATACTCTTACTCATGACAAAGTACTTGTACTGGTACTCATGGAAAGAAGTTGCCTTGTACTCTACTCATACTCATGGCAAAGAACTCGTACTCATACTCGCACTCATGACAAAGTACTTGTACTGGTACTCATGGAAAGAAGTTGCCTTGTACTCTACTCATACTCATGGCAAAGAACTCGTACTCATACTCGCACTCATGACAAAGTACTCGTACTGGTACTCATGGAAAGAAGTTGCCTTGTACTCTACTCGTACTCATGGCAAAGAACTCGCACTCATTACAAAGTACTCACAGCCATGGCAAAAAACTCATACTCATACTCGCACTCATGACAAAATACTCGTATTGGTACTCATGGAAAGAAGTTGCCTTGTACTTTACTCATACTCATGGCAAAGAACTCGTACTCATATTCGCACTCATTACAAAGTACTCACAGCCATGGCAAAAAACTCATACTCATGATCGCACTCATGACAAAATACTCGTATTGGTACTCATGGAAAGAAGTTGCCTTGTACTTTACTCATACTCATGGCAAAGAACTCGTACTCATATTCGCACTCATTACAAAGTACTCACCGCCATGGCAAAAAACTCATACTCATGATCGCACTCATGACAAAATACTCGTATTGGTACTCATGGAAAGAAGTTGCCTTGTACTTTACTCATACTCATGGCAAAGAACTCAAACTCATACGCATGGAAAGGTACTCGACTACAACGCTGGTGCATGTGCACGGAGTAAATGCATTCTACCATGCACAGCTTCAAAAATCCAAATCCTTCTTACTGGCATGGGTGAAACAAACTTTCTCCACATTCCCTGACCAACATTGAGGCCATATAGTGGCAGTACTTACGATCCACAGGTTCACAAACGAAGCCGTTGCCCGTAAATCCTTCGTTACACGTGCATTCGTTGCGGTCATCGCCAAGCTGGCACGAAGCGTCCTGACTACAGACCAGGCTTGCGCAATCAAAGTTATTGGGCGAGTTGCATGTGCATTCCTCCGTGCAGTTCTCATCGACTAGTATCGTGTTCAGCTGAGAATCAGCAAGTTAAAAACCAAAATCAAAAAATAGTTCATTCAGAGCTTTCGACTGCATCAGGGTAACATAATAATAATAATAATTTGGGAGGCTAATCATCCTTACTCGCAGCTGGTATGCTGAATTGCGAAGGACGCGGCTACAACGTTGTCGGGCCGCTGGCACGTAAAGGTGCGTATGGCTGCCGACCACATCGGCCCATATATGACCACGGAGCACAGCCTGAGATCGAAAGTGTTTGATTTTTCCGGAGGGCACGGAGAAAAACCATCATGGCACAGGAGAGAACCAACACACAACTCTACTCACATGTGATCCAAGGCCAGGGTTCGAACCGTGGTCACCTTGATGAGAGGCGAGTGCTTTATGCACAAGCCACCCATGCTACCCCCATGTTCACTCAATTAATAGCTCACTGGGAAAATGATCAGCGACAACCAGGCTAGTCGTCCAGACATTATAATACTTCTCCCCCACCCCACATCTTCTCCAGTCTCACCCTCCCCAAGTTTCCCCTTCCCCATCCCAAACCCCCGGAAAAGGTCAGTCCACAAAATAAACAGGTCGTCTATATTTCATGTACCAGTAATCGTTTTCAATTACCCCAACTGGTTTTAGAATTTTTGGTGCGTGCTCTAGCAGCACCTTCTGAACGGAAGCTTTACGTTTCACAAAGCAATTTCAATTAACCAAACTGAGAAATGTTAACAAGCGATTGATCTACCAATCCGAATAATCTTTGTTTGGTCTAGTCTGCCCAAGTTTGTGGATGTAAGTTCACAAGTCCAGTCACAAGTCCAGTCACAAGTCCGTCACAAGTCCATCACAAGTCCAGTCACAAGTCCGTCACAAGTCCAGTCACAAGTCCGTCACAAGTCCATCACAAGTCCAGTCACAAGTCCAGTCACAGGTCCAGTCACAGGTCCAGTCACAGGTCCAGTCACAAGTCCAGTCACAAGTCCAGTCACAAGTCCAGTCACAAGTCCAGTCACAAGCCAAGTCACAAGCCCAGTCACATGTCCAGTCACATGGCCAGTCACAATTCCATCACAAGTCCAGTCACAAGTCCAGGCACAAGTCCAGTCACAAGTCCAGTCACAAGTCCAGTCACAAGTCCAGTCACAAGTCCAGTCACAAGTCCAGTCACAAGTCCAGTCACAAGTCCAGTCACAAGTCCAGTCACAAGTCCAGTCACATGTCCAGTCACATGTCCAGTCACATGTCCAGTCACATGTCCAGTCACAAGTCCAGTCACAAGTCCAGTCACAAGTCCAGTCACAAGTCCAGTCACAAGTCCAGTCACATGTCCAGTCACAAGTCCAGTCACACGTCCAGTCACAAGTTCAGTCACAAGTCCATTCGAATTGCTTGGGAGTACTTGTGGTGGACTTGCACGGACTTGTAATGGACTCGACTACATCCCTGCCCAAGCTTACCATGTAATACATGCCATCCCTTTCGCAGCCACATTGGCTAGCAGGGATGCATACGTCATTCTCTAGAAGGCGGTCTCCATCACACCGACAGCCCTCTGTGCAAGCCTCTGGATCACATCCTGGTGGACCATTGGGTTCTTGACAGGTGCGTCCATCACATTCAGTGATGCATTCCGCGTAGGCAGAGCCGTCAGGACATTCATATTCTGAGTGGTCAACCAGGAGAAAATACTTTACTCCTAGCCAATTTATCAAATTTACTTGAACACTCTTATCGTAAGATGGAATTTTGCTTTGGTTGATCACCCCAAGGTAAAATTCCATCTCATGATGAGTTTGGTTGAGGTACCTGCTACTCTGTCAGATGCCAACCAGCCGGCCGACCCCGGCAAGCTCGATGGTCGAGTGGTAAGACGTCTGCACTAGTAAGAAGAAGGTCGTGGGTTCGAGTCCCGCCCACATGAATAAGGAGACAATAATGTCCCCTGAAGACGGTCAGAGCATACTGACCGGAACGTCGAGTTTATACCTCTGGTTCTTTCAGAACCATTCTCTTAATTTGAGAAACTATTCCCACATGGTGTTTCCGCAAACCTTTTATTCATTAGTATCTCCACCATGCAAAGCCTCAAATTTTACCTAGTTTTAAATGTGTGGTTAAAAACCAACCTTGGGCCTGGTCACCGATTATGGCCCGAGCTGAAGACGAGGGTTTTATCGTTGACCAGACCCCTACACGGTTTTTATCATCATGTTTAAAAACTGTTCCAGTGCACTTTCATCCCATTCATAAATACCTTTTCGGTCAAAAGTCAAATATTGACAACTTTATAATGATTTTGTTCAACCGTTTTGCTTTACATGTTCTGAAACGCCCTTCTGGTCATGTCTATGGTATGTGGCTGACGTGGGTGGTGCTAAACATCAACATCTCCTTATACAGAGGTATAAAAAAGGCGAGTGTTCTTTCAGCAAAACAAAAACAATTCACATGCATCCCTATGAGAAGTATTTCCGGTTTTGCTGCAAGAACACTTATTTTTTTTGCAATCTGTGGACAGAACTTTCGAACAGATGTTCAAAATTCCGTAACTTAAAAAGTACACCAGTGATTTGAATGATTCTTGTACTAGAAGAAAGATTAATGTCGGGACATTCATATCATACATTTTGAAAGTGCTACAGGCAAAACTTCATTCAAAAATTGGTCACGCCATTTGTTTGTTTGTTTTTTTTACTCTCCCTGCATAGGATCAAATAGTTTCAAGGGTTTAGTACCAGTATGATCTTGAATCAAAGTTAATTTGTTGTTAATGATTCGGTATTTTACTTTTCTAAATGCGGATGACCCCATACGATGATGTTCAAGTCGTCGTAGTGGATGCATTTTTTGAGCCCATACGCAAAGAGCAAAATCCGTACAAAAGTAACACATGTAGCAGAAAACGGAACAAGTCAGGTGTGTTTACAAACACAAATGCCCCGCAACCGTGACTGTTCCCATGACATAACACCACTCTTTTAACATCAACTTACATGTACCTTGGTCAATTGGAACGTTCATTGACAGCATTAGTGTCTTCTGTAGGTTTTATATGAATTAATCCCTAATCCCTATGATCTCAGAATAAATACAATATTTCTATTGTTTTAGCCACTGTGACCTTGACCCTTGACCTTTGGGCCCCAAATGCAATAGGTTTCTTAGGATTACCAAGAACAACACACAAACCAAATTTGAAGTTCATATGTTAAGTATTTCTCAAGTTATCGCGCTGACAAGATTTGTCCGGACACACACACACCCAAACACCCACCCACCCACCCACGGAAGGACAAGGCGGAAACAGTATGCCCCTTCGGCTTCGCCGCGGGGCATAAAAATGACATGCATTTACCGTTTTCGCAGTTGTCACCCAGGAACCCCGGGACACAGTTACAGGTATAGTTGAAGTCGCCGATGGGCACGCATGACGCACCGTTCTGACAGATGTCAGGAACAGTGCAAGGTTCAATCGGTACCGCTGTCAGGACAAAATAAAGGGAAACAAACCAAAATATTTGTCAGTAACTTTCTGAAATCGGTTGTTTAAGTCAACCGACTGCACACGCAACCCCTTATTTTGACATGGGTCGGTCTACAAATTTAGCATCCACCGTGTAGCTTTGTTCCCTGGCCCTATTTTCCGTGTTACTTCCTGAAATTTGCCATTCAAATTAAATAAAGAATGACTTCAAACAATTCGGGCGATTCACAATGCAGTGCGCCACCAAGAGTTTGCCACGGAGAGTTCATTTTTCCCTTTTTTTATGAAGTGCCCTTTTTTTCTGAACAAGTGCCCTTTTAGCATCTGCCATTTTGGGTGGTTTTTTTCAGAATTTCGCACATGTATCGCCGTGAAAAGCACCATATATCGGCCCTTTGTGTGCATAATTGTCAGTTTTGAACAGCGCCCTCATCGCCAGATATTACACCCCCCCCAATAAAAATGACCGTGCTACGCCCCTGTTCAGGGCTACAAAATGACACACGTTGTTTTACCTGTTGAACAATTCTTGCCCACAAATCCGTCAGAACAATCGCAGCGATAGTCCGTGTTCTCCTCAAGTGATGTACACGGGGCGTCATTCTGACATGGTGATGTTGGTACGCACGGATCCGCTGTAACGTTTGAAATTGAGAAGAACAAAAGTAATTTGAAACAAGTCTGGTGTGTTTACAATTCGTGCAGCATAGCTTGGTATATGTTGGTACGCACGGATCCGCTGTAACGTTTGAAATTGAGAAGAACAAAAGTAATTTGAAACAAGTCAGGTGTGCTTACAATTCGTGCAGCATAGCACGAATGGAACCGGAAGTTAACGCACCTCGAGCGTTTATCCGATGGGCGCTGGTAATGAGCGGAGCACACACGTGTGTATAACGTTTTTGCTAACGAAACCGGATTTTTCAATTCACATTATCCTGGGTGGCCGTTTACATTAACTCAAACGGCTCCATACTTTCGTGTCCAAGTGCTCTGTTAGAACACTGAAATGATGCCCACCATTGCCATGGAACACCTGCAAACTTGGGTTTTCCACATGAGTTAGGATCCCGAGCGGGATTGTAGCGCTATTATTTGCGTCTTTGGACCAATCAAGGCCTACCTATGGAACCCAGCCCTGGTTCAGGACGGAAAGTGCGCATATGTCTCATTCAGTCACAGTTACCAAGGCTTATCAATAAATCATTCAGTAGTTATACACATTAGAAAGGTAAACTTCGTGTACGTGTTTTTAATAGCATACAAAATTACCAGCGCCTTGAGTACCTACTTATTGGTAGATACGTGTGCCGTATAAGACTCCGGTATAATTCTTAGTATTTTCATTACGGACTCAAAAACATTTTTAAGACTCAAAAAAATTTTAAGAGGATTACCATTTTGACAATTTTTCCCCAGAAATCCAGTTGGGCAAGCACAGCTGTAGTCCGTGTTCTCGTCGAGTGCTGTGCATGGGGCGCCATTCTGACATGGTGTTGATAGGCACGGATCCGCTGTAACGTTTGAAATTAAGAAGAACAAAAATAATTTGAAACTATAGTCAGGTGTGTTTACAAACACAAATGCCCCGCAACTGTGACTGTTCCCATGAAATAACACCACTCTTTTAACATCAACTTACATGTACATGTACTTGGGTCACATGGAACGTTCATTGACATCATTAGTGTTTTCTGTAGGTTTTATATGAATTAATCCCTATGATCTATTGTTTCTATTGTTTTAGACACTGTGACCTTGACCCTTGACCTTTCGGCCCCAAATGCAATAGGCTTCTTATTAGGATTACCAAGAACAATTATCCACAAACCAAATTGGAAGTTCATATGTTAAGTATTTCTCAAGTTATCACGCTGACAAAATTCATCCGGACACATCCACCCACCCACGTGTATCGCGCTGACAAGATTTCTATTGTTTTAGCCACTGTGACCTTGACCCTTGACCTTTCAGCCCCAAATGCAATAGGCTTCTTTGGATTACCAAGAACAATACACAAATCAAATTTGAACTTCATATGTTAAGTATTTCTCAAGTTATCACGCTGACAAAATTCATCTAGACACACACACCCACCCACATGTGTAAATGCTGTCAATCATGGACGCCCCATTGTCCCTAATCCTCTTTCCTTTGTTTGTACTTTGTTTGTAACTTTTTAGCGACAGCTCTCATTGGTTTTGTACACGATTTGAGTTCGTGGACGTTCGGTCAATCAAGGACATATTGTTTGCGCCCCAATTCTTTTGTCCTACGTCCACGATTGCCAGTGTTTATAGCTCACCCTTACACAGGCATAGATGTGGGGTACTTCCTTTGTTCTCGTGTACTAAAATTTTGCAATGTCGCACACTAATTTCAAAATGCTCTAATTTTAACCAGAATTAATTTCCTTGGCTGAAATTCGGACCTGAAATTGAGTACCTATTTGTTGGTAGATACATGCGGTGTATAAGAAATTTACTTATTAAATGTAATTAACAGGGTTACAAAAAAAAACATCAAACATGGACAAGCTCACACACTCTGGTTTTACTATACTCCCAAGGACAATGCTTTGTGTTTCCCTTTGTCCCTGTAATATAACACTCTCCCATAGACTAAGCACTCAAACCCACTACAGAGGACCATTTCGAACAAAAGACCCAACTCTCGAGGACTGAAAGGATCTGTCGTTCTCCCTTTGTGTGTTGGTCCTCGGGGGTTATGTAGAACACATACAATTATACCCAACTACCAAACAAACAAGCAACAACAAAAAAAGATTTTCAGTTTTAACACAAAAAACTTGTTCAAACAAGTACAATTGTTGGAATATAAGTACAACCACAATAACATATACTGAAGTCGAAAGCATGTCAACCAGAAAAAAAACAAAAAACACACACAAAAAATAACATTTAAAAAAAAGTTTCAGTTTGACAGAAACCCTATTAAGACCTTTTACGCTTAATGAAACTTCTTCAAGTGCAATCATTTGATCTCAGTTGCTTACCATTTTGACAGTTTTTCCCCTGGTATCCACTTGGGCAGATACATCTGTAGTTGGTGTTGTCATTGATCGAGACGCAGGTGCCTCTTTCACACAGGTTCGGCTCACACGGATCACCCTCTGTGGTCGCAGAAACAAAAGAGTGTAATTAGTTAAAGCTATAGTCCAACATTTGCAGCCATCCGAAAAGTAACTGGCGTAATTACCGTTGAAAAACAAACTTGGTTGAAAGATAGTAAGGGAACTAAACTCCCTGTGAAATTATTCTTTCTGGGAAGCGGTCATTTTGAAGTAATCAACGAAAGAAGGCATTTCCAACGGTGATTCTTAAGAAGCACCGTAGGAAAATTTAAACTAGTAGTTCGTTTTGTTATTCAGCGCAGCGCGCACAAGTATTGAAACGATGCACACGCGCGCGGTTGTTATAATTCGTCGGATCAGTGCGCGACGCCGCGTATAGCTGCAATTCAAAACAATTCAAAACATGATTCAGTAACTTTTGATTTGAAATTGAGATCTTAGAATGCTGCTTTTCTCGGAATGTACAGCTGAAGCTTAGCTGAAACTTCATCAGGTTAGTTGCTCAGTATCCTTCATTAGATTTTGAACACTTTTGTTGCTTCAAACGAACAAAATGCACTAATTACAAATGATTGACTATAGCTTCAAATCACACAAGCAAGAGTGGAGCACATGATGAAGTAAAGCCAACAGGCGAGTGGTATATGGGTCATTCCACCGGGTTTGGAAGCAGTGCATGTTACATCCATATATTTGGTTATATTATTGAAAGTATCCATGCATTCTAAACAATTGCTCAACATAATATTTGTCTTAATGTGTTTCAATACTTCAAAAAGTTTGAAATCATTTGAAAGTACTTTGACAAAAATATGAGCAAAAATGTATTAATTCAGAAATATAGCAGAAACAATACCTCAAGTGTGGACGTAACAGTTTCAAAATCACTCAATGGAAGTGTGACATTTGGGTTTTACACCGTGTAAATGTTACGTCCACACAACCAAGCTATCATTTCTGCTCCATTTGACACCTGACTACCATAACAAAAGCTTTTCTTATTGTGTTGCATGTATAGTAAGAAGTACGCAAAGTGAATTTGGGTAATGTTTCGTAGAAATTTAAAAAACAGGTACAAATGTCATATTTGGACGTTTACGTCCAAAATGACATTTTTTGCTCGTATTTTAGGCAAAATACATTGAAATGATTTCAAACTTTCTGCAGTAGTGAAACACCCAACAACAAATATTATGTAGAGTAACTGCTAGCAAGGCATTCATGCTTTTCTTAATATGGTCATATTTCACACTTTGTTCCCCAACCCGGTGGAGTGACCCATATATAAGACACAGACGCACTTCAAGGTGAGTAAAAAAAAAACGCAACCCAAATGGCAGGACCAATTTTGGAATGAAGTTTTGCCTGTAGCACTTTTAACCCTGTGAGCCACGGACTTTTCTTTTTACACGTATGCACGAAGGGGCGCACGCGGAAGGCGTTTTATATTTGGGGGTGAATAACTGTGTTTGGGGGGTGCAAATTGTTCACTAATGGTCTGAACAGTTGAATAGAAGTTCCCTGGACACAAATTCATTCACCAAACAGCCACAGACAGATTGAAATCAGTATAGCACTGCAATACAAGCACCGACACAAAACAGCCACAGGGTGGACTTTCGTATCCTAGATTTTAATACCAGAATCACTCAAATCACTCATGGACTTTTCAAGTTACGGAATTTTATACACAAACACATTTTTAAAGTTATATCCACAAATCACAAAAAATGTAAATGTTCTTTCGGCAAAGCGAAAACACTTCTCATAGGAATATATGTGAATTGTTTTCATTTTGCTGAAAGAACACTTAATTTTTTTGTGATCTGTGGACAGAACTTTCAAAATGCCGTAACTTGCATGCGGAGCCTGCCAGCGCGCTAGCTTTGCGCAAGGGAACTGCAACATCAAACGCTCAGTCTCATGTCCAGCAGCACATCAAAACCTTCAGTTATCAAAGGTTACATCGCAGTGATTTAATTTATTTCTCACACAGTACGTTACAACCATTTATCTTTTTGAGTTATTAGCACGATATAACAATTGTTGACTACTGTGATGTAATGTGGGATGTGCTGTTTGAACCCCCTCGGAGCGCATAGCACCCTCGGCCGTAAAAAACGTCATATCCCACATCACAGCAGTCGACAATTGTTAAACAGATGATAAGTAATACACATACTTCATTTGTGGCATTAGGATTTTTTGAAGCTTTGGATCTTGAGGTTTAGAATTCTGTGGAACTGCCCAGCTGTAAGGTTTAAATTGAGTGAGAATAATTTCAATGTGTTCACCTAGACGGGGGCACAGCTGATAGAAGTCTCCACAGCAGTCATTAAATCCTTGGCACAGAGAGTCACAGTAGCAAAGACCCTGACTGCCATCGGAAAAACAACGGCCAGCGCAGGTAGCTGGATAGGATCAAAACAGACAGATATGCAATTGTGAACATGGTTCTTTCATACAATTACCAGTCATTCCATACAGTGTTTCCCCTGGCTAATGAAATGAGCGAGGTGGTAACAATTGAAATTGATGATTGAAATAAAATTGACGCAGTTTGCGAGCTCAAAAGGATGCTGCCCTTACAAAAATGCGAGATGATTCCATTTACACATCCAAATTGTGAGTTCTTGATACATAGAGGTCAAGGAAAACGCTCATAAATTACACAAAACGAAAAATTGTCGATTAGTATTTCCTTTATTGCAAATCTTCACAGCGAGGTGGTGATATTGACTGAAAGTAGCGAGGGGGGCCGCCTCACGTTTGAATGGGCAGGGGAAACACTGATTCCATAAATCTATTAGGCCCCCAAAAAAAACTATTCGGTCTCTGGTCAGACCAAAGTTCCGGAATTGATGCGGCCACGCGGCTTTTTTTTTTTTTTCCTTCAAGCTTGGATTGTACAGACAAGGTGGGTACTATTTTGCTTTTTTGGTGTCCTCATGTACATTGGTGTCCTCCATAATTTGCCTTGGTGCCCTTTATCATTTGCCTTGGTGCAATTTCCCATTCCTTGGTGCTTTTTGGTAAAAAAAATTGAGGAGGTGCGTAAATAGAGGGCGCTGTTGGAGCTACCGCGAAACATTTTGGAAAAAAAAAAGATCGATGCACATGATTAAAATCGACGCGCGCGCGCTGACCAGAGACCGACTTATTTTTTTTTTTGGCCTTACATCTGAAGTCTGTGATTTTATAATTCTGATGCACTCCTTTACACTAACAGAACTCAACCTGTCAAACCCCAACGGCATGTTTTGTTGGAATCTGTCAGGATGGGTACAGTACCCCTAAACTGACAGTCTTTTACGTAGGGTTGGCACACCTCCAGAATCAAAATCAGAAATATGTGTGTGCAGTTTCCCATATGGTGTTGGAAGTTGCCAGGATGGGTATGGTTCCTAGTAAATCATGCTAGGGAGTTAGGGTTTTGTCCTCTAAGAGTGATTATGTGTATACAAACTACCTACCCAACAAATAAAGTTGTTGTTAATGATACTTGATTGGTAAATTACAAAGTACCAAGGTACGAGGAAAATGAAATATGTCACACTTTGGACCCCAAATTAAAAACATTACCCATATCTACTTGAGCATGGAAGTTCGTTTCCTGTCCCATTATTATATCAATTAAATAAAAGATACCTTTTTGGGACTTTAATCACAAGAAATCATATCTACTTGGTTTTATGTATAATGACCACTCCAGGCAACTCAAGGCCCCAGAAAAAAGTTGAAGGATGGGGCCGAAGATTGCGATGTTTCACGAAGATCTGAGTCGCAATCAGTGATCCGAAACGTCGATATATGCATAGGATCACGTTTTAACAGATCCTGCTTGCGAGGTGGGTTCGCACGATCAAAGATGGCCATGTGCGCGACAGACAGAAAGAAAAAGAGGTTTTTTTACATAGATTCAAAGCATCAAATGAGCTTTTGTTACAACAGTTCTTCATAATTCTTTTAGAATGCATTTTCGTGAATACAAAAAGTACGATTGATTTACTTTTTTTGGAAATAATAGATAGCTTATCATAAAAATAGCCCTTATGTCTACAAAATCTGAAGCAGACGACATTTGTCTTGTGTGCGTTCACGTGTATAAAGGATTTGACGCACAAGAGTGGTCTTGTTTGTTTTCGCACGGCGGCGTGCGAAAATGAACAAACAGGCCCATTGTTCCAGCTAATGGCAGCAATAACAAAAACAGTTGCTGTTCTGAACAGTACCTGGTATGTCTGTAAGTGAACAATTATTCTCTGTCTTGATTGTAAACAAGGGGATACTGTAAGGTTCGAGAATACGTAAGAATATGGGTACTCAATATTACACAAAGAATACTAAAAACACAATTCCAGAATACAATAAAGCGAAAATGAAGTTTAGAAATAACTGTTATACTGTTTTTATTCTTTAAAGCTTCATAACCGTGCCGATTGTTCACTTTTTTTCAAATGGACACATTGTGTTTTGGAAAATAAACTCCTCAACTTGATCAGAGTAAACACATGGTAACCAAGTTGATTTATAGGCATGCAACTGGAAAGTCACAGACAGAGGAATATTCAAGCTTTACATGACCCTCTGCAGTATTTTAAAATTAGTAATGGCATACAAAAGAGGTATAAAAAAAAAAGAGGAAATCAGCTGATCCGATCTGAATTGCATGCCTAATACAGTGGAACGTCGCTATACCGAACACCACTACACCAAACATTCGGCTATACTGAACATCGTCTTTGGTTCCCGATTTTTGTGTACAAAAGGTACCGAAAACTGTTGTGAAAAAATGTCAACAGAAAAGCGACAAGTGGCTATTTCCCCAAGGAATAGCAAGGGAAAGCCATCCATTGCTGTTGGTAGTAAGCTCAAAAACTGTGTATAATAGTCGGCACGTGTTCAAAGGCGTCTTTCAGTAGCCCAGGCCGTGCAGGGTGAAGTTCTGAAGGAAGCTATTTATTGAAAAGTGAGTACCGGAGCACTGGCAGCTATAATATCGCCATACCGAATGATCGCTGTTACAAACAATTTCTGTGGATCCCGCGGCATTCATTTCAGCGGCGTTCCACTCTATAGACAAGTTTCAGAAAAAGATGTGATAACAAGGAGAAGCAATTAAGAAAAGGTTAAGAATTTCTCACCATCTCCTGGTTGATTAACCCCAGTTGGACGTACGCAATGATTGTTAAAGTCAGCACAGCAATCATTGTAAGATTTGCATGCAATGTCACAGTAACATCCGGCCTGACTGCCTGGCGTATAGCACCGATCGGCACAGGTTGCTGCAAGATTGGTTACAAAGAAACACAAATATAACATGATCATTCATAAATGCCTGAGACAGTGCACTCGTTCCTATTAGTCGAGAGCCCGTCGCGTGGGTGGGTTTGAATAAGGGAAATAAATGTGTGCTTTGGAGGTTTTAATCACTCTGTTTAAGACAGCTTGGAGTCTGGGTGCTGGGCGAGGGTAATTATCAGACTCCACGCGATCTTAAACAGAGTGATTAATACCAACCAAGCACATATTTATTCTCATTCATAAATACCTTTTTGGTAAAAAAAAAAATCAAACCTTTTCGGTAAAAAAAAAACGATTTTGTTCAACAAGTTCACTTCCTGTTTATTGAAACACCCCTCTAGCTAAATAATGGAGTTTCCAGCTCGCAAATGAGATGTAAACAACTCCTTTTATGGTGATTGGCGCCCGCGTCGCGCGTAGTGCGCGATGCCGCGCAGAATGCACCTGGGGCGTTGCGTTATGAATTTAGGACAATTTATAAAATACTGACTTTATAAAATACTGACTCACTGGTAGTATTGGGCATGCCTACGTGAGGATGGTGAACGTTCAACCAATGAAACAGTAAGAGGCACTGGATTTTTAAGAGTCCAAATTTCATGTGACACTGGAAAAGTGTTTAAGACCAGGCAGCCGGTCTTTAAAAACCGGTCACGTGACGGGCTCTCGACCAATACGAATGGGTAATCTGTCTTAGGTATTTTTGAACGGTTCACAAAACACGGACTGGTTTTAAACACTTTTTCCGGTGTCACATGAAATTTTGACTCCTATGAAATCTGGTCCCGTTTATTCTTTTATTGGTTGTATCACATGACCAGTTACTCTCCTAATTATCTTCACTTAGGCATGCTCAATACTTACCACTGAGTCTGTATTTTATAGTCCTAAATCAACACTACACCAGCACTGCTGCGTTCTGTGCCACATGCACAGTGCGTGCCAATCTCCACATAAGGAGATTTTAAGCGCTACGCGCCGGCGCGCGAGGCACATAATTGGCCAAAGGGGCGTTTCACAAAACAGGAAGAAAAATTGCTGATTAAAATCGTTGGAATTTTGTCACTTTTGGACTTATTTTGACTTTCTGACGAGAAAGGTATTTACCAATGAAATTTTCAAAGGCTCATTATTCGTTTCCAGGCCACCAGCCGGTTTTAAACGTGCTTGTTTATACCGGCCAAGCACATATTCATTCCCTTAATCAAAAACTATTTAAACAAGAATTCCGATTTAAATTTGAAAAGTTGCATCTCTTAAACATACCAAAGCAGTTTGGTTAAGGTTGTACAGTTTAGATACAGAAACAATGCACTTAGGAAGAAACATAGTTTAAGCGACATTTGGGTCAATTTCTCTCCAACATCTCTCCAATATGAAAATTTCTCCAACTTGATTTACCTCCTCCAGCACCGTCGTCAACTGGGGGCCGCGGGCACTGGGCGTAAAAGTTTGAGCAGCAGTCCTTGTAAAATGGGCACAAACCATCACAATAGCATCCACCAACACTGCCCTCGGTGTAACATCGACCGGTACAAGATGCTGGGGAAAGGACAGAGATACAAAAAAAATGTCCTTCTCATTTTTGTTTTTTCAAATCTTCTACATTTAATGTTGCACATCTCTCAAAACTCTAAAAACTTGTTCAAGGTTGGCGCAGACAAATTCCACTTTTCTTAGAAATGACAGCACACCAGGTGCTATGATTTCACAGAATGGTTTAGACTATTTACTTGCAGTCAAGTTGCAGTCCAGTAACGTATTTCAAAATAATTTGATAGTTTTGTTATTTGATGTTTGCGCAAATGTTGTACATTCCCTTTAATACGTTCTCTCCATTGATAGTAACAGGCCTTGAATAAACTAGCCCACGCCACATTAAAATACACCAAAATGAATGTGAATATTACGAAGGAGCACTGTACTTACAATCCCCGGCTTGATCAGTATGATCATGGAGGCACATGTCACCGAAGTCATCACAGCAGTCACTGAAAAATTGGCATGCTTGATCACAATAGCAGCCTTCGACAGCACCCGAGGTGAAGCAGCGGTTGGCACAGGTCACTGCGAGTGAGAAAACAACAACAATATGATGCGATCAGGCTACATGAGTGGTTTGTCAGGAATTTTCATTTGGAGATTCAGGCCAAAATAGGGCCACTTCATCACATCACTTCATCACATTTCTTGGTGTTCCGACTTCCATAATTTTTTAACTAAAGATGGTACCCAGTTTTCAAAGCAGTAATACTAAGATTGTGCTCTTTTCAAATCTGTAAAAAAAAAAATTGATCAGGGTTGACAAACGACTCATTTAGATTGATCGCATCACAATTGTTACCTTACGCGGGTATTTCCAATACAATACATCACAAATAGAAAAAGAGTACAGTAAATCTAACCACAAAGACAGATAAAACAAAAAAAATCTTCACAAAAATTCTCATTCAAAGCTAATGGACAAGTACAATTATGTTTGTGGACAAACACACACGGCTGTTTCGGCATTTTGTTATTGTATTTTTATGTCATGTTGCAGTACTGATAGGACATATATGTACAGAGATGCCAACATTCAAATTCAAAGAAGAAATTCCCTACATAACATGAAACCTGTTGAAAAATCGAAAAATGTCACAGCGACACATGTTGCAGAAGGCATATATATATTGATGTCTCATTTTTAAGTGGAAAGGCGTATCTTTCAAACCATACATATCATCTATGTTGGTTACACATTCAATGTCTGGCATTCTGTTTTATTTTGTTTGCATTTTTTTTTTAATACACACGAAACCGAGATTATTGCTAATTGGAACAGAAGTAGGCCACATGTGAATCAAAGGGAGATATCCTCTGTTAGGGTTGAATTTCCACTTTAAAATGACACCCTTATCATGTCATTACATTCACGGTTGACTGAGCAGTGACCAATTTTATGAAAGGGTCTAGTTAGAGACTTGCGCCACTTTTCAATTGTGTCAATTGTCACAGAGTGAAAGGCTATGGTTGCCAATCAAGGCAGGCGGGGGAAAAAAAGAGATTTCACCATGAAGAGTGGCGCAAGCCTCTAAATAGACCCTTTCATAAAATTGGTCACTGCTCAGTCAACCGTGAATGTAAGGACATGATCAGGGTGTCATTTTAAAGAGGAGATTCAACCCTAACAGAGGATATATCCCCTTGATTCACATGTGCCCTTCTTCTGAATTAGCAATAATATCTCGGTTTAGTTGTTTTTTATCCACTCTGTAAAAGCTACCTTGGTGGCATGGGTGGCTTGTGCGTAAAGCGCTCGCCTCTCACCAAGGTGACCACGGTTCGAATCCCGGCCGCGGATCGTATGTGAGTAGAGTTGTGCGTTGGTTCTCTCCTGTGCCACGAGGGTTTTTTTCCGGGCCCTCCGGTTTTCCTCCCTCCAGAAAAATCAAAACACTTTCGACCTCAGGCTGTGCTCCGTGGTCATATATGGGTCGATGTGGCCGGCAGCCATAGGCGCCTTTACGTGCCAGTGGCCCGACCACGTTGTAGCTGCGTCCTTCGCAATTCAGCATACCAGCTGCGAGTAAGGATGATTAGCCTCCCAAATTGTAATATTATTATAATGAAAACCCTACCTTGGTCGCATGTCTTGCCACCGTATCCAGTGGGGCACGTACACTGATAGTCAGCATTTCCTGATATGGGCATACAGACGCCTTCATTGATGCAGGGACCAGAATCGCATGGATCGTCCAGGGGGGCATCTGTCACATAATCAAATAACAGACAATCATTCTACATATCTGTAGCAGAGAACACCCCTATACCAAACAATGGACCCATCTATTAAGCCCCTCCCACAGTGTGGGCAGCGGGCATGGGCGTAGCGAGGGGGGGGCAAGGGGGCGGCACTTGCCCTCCCCTGGAAAAGCAAAAAAAAAAAAAAAAAGGAAGAAAAAAAAAAGAAAAAAAAAAAAAAAAAAGGCGCGAAGACAAAGTGGCTTAAATTTAATGAATTGGGGGGGGGGGGGGGCAAAATGTCCCTGCAAAATGTCCCTGGCAAAAAAAACTTTTGCCCCCCTCTAGAAAAAATCCTGGCGATGCCCATGGCAGCGGGTGCATCTCTCCAAGGGTGATTTACGATGTAGTGCGCCACCAAGAGTTTGCCACGGAAAGTTCATTTTTTTCTAGTGCATTGTCTTCCCTTTACTGGGCCCCATGGGAGATCAGTGGATTCCACTGAATGGGCTACCCAGCTAAAATAATAAATAAAAGTGAGATTTGCGATAACATCGTGTGAAAAGATCTCTTTAGAGAACAAGTGTTGTTCTGAAAAAAAAAATTATTCCTTACCATCGTAGGTCACGGTGATACAGTGAGGTGTACTTGAAACCCTGGGGAATTAAAACAAAAGGCATACACAAATTAATAAAAACAAAGACACTGAAAAGGACTTTGCCTTGATCACGTCCTTTGTTAATCTTTAAATCTGAGTTAAAATTTGTTGAACTGCATATTTAATTTGACCCCCCCCCTCCTCCACTCTGGCTGGCAAATTCAGCTATACACCATCACACCACTCAAAATCAATCAAGTGACTGTTTCAACAGTTAAGAATTCCCTTGCTAATTTGATATAGCCATGCTTTGACTGGAGGTGATTGATATGCCAGCTGTATCGAACAGTTACCTCTTTTGTCTGTTGATGGAATGGGACTAGTCACAGTGTTTACAGAAATATGATCTGACTGGTTTTTTTAATAGCCGGTATACAAATGCATGGCAAGGGAAGTGGAAGACATTTTTGACTGTCTGTGAATGATCAAGTAACGGAAAAGAGAAGAGTGCTGTGGCCTTGTTGTTAAGGGCATTAGATTTGTGGTCTGCGGGTAAAGCTGCAGGTTGTGGGTTCGAGTCCAGCCTGGGGTCATGCTGGGTGTGCCCTTGGGCAAGGCACTTTGTCACTCATTGCTTCTCTCCACCCAGGAGTAGATGGGTACCTGTGAGGGCAGAGATGGTTATTGTGATTGAATAAGCTTGCTTGCGCCTAACAGGCTGTATCGAGCTGTAACAGGCTGTATCGAGCTGTATACTCCCCAGGGAGCTGAGATGGTATTTGGAATGTTTCATGGGCCCAATAAGCAGGGGTAATAATGATGTAGCATTGTGAGTACCAGTACCTGGTGGATATGTACGCTTTATAAATACCCACTATTAGGCAAAAAAAAATAATAAGTCGGTCTCTGGTCAGCGCGCGCGTCGATTTTAATCATGCGCATCAATCTTTTTTTTTTCCAAAATGTTCCGCGGTAGCTCCAACAGCGCCCTCTATTACCGCACCTCCTCAATTTTTTTTTTACCAAAGAGCACCAAGGAATGGGAAATTGCACCAAGGCAAATGATCGAGAGCATCAAGGCAAATTATGGAGGACACCAATGTACATGAGGACACCAAAAAAGCAAAATAGTACCCCACCTTGTCTGTACAATCCAAGCTTGAAGAAAAAAAAAAAAAAAAAAAAAAAAAAACAGCCGCGTCCCCGCGTCAATTCCGGAACTTTGGTCTGACCAGAGACTGAATATTTATTTTTTTTTGGCCTTAGCCCCAACAAATAGAGATACGTACCCGTTTGACTGGCTTGCATAAAAGCACATGATCTGTTTGCCTGTGCCCTGACTGTCAGCTCGGCCTGCGGTCACTGTAATGCTTGCCCGTCTGTTTCCAGTGTCGGCCACTGTGGTCAGTGCTGTCTTGGTGGTCATCACAGGCGATAGGGTCACAATCTCAGTGATGCTGTTGGTCATACAAAGCAATTAATTTCTTTAAGCACATTTTTGAAAGCTTGAATTTTTTTTGTTTTTAATTAACCCTAACCGCCCTGAATCCTTCAGAATCCTTTTTGCCAAAGTTGAGGAATTTTGAGGATTGAGGTTACATGGCAAAAGTGCTTTACTGATTTTGTAGGATGCATTTTGTCAAGGTCTTGGCCGGACTTTGTGTTGTTTTTGCTCAGCCATGCATAAATATAGGCCTGGATTATGCTTGAAATCCTCCGTACTGCTCCAGGATGTCACTGGGCAAGCCTCAACATATTGACAGTCACTGCCGCAGGATTTTGCAGGATTCAGGCGGTAGTCACCCCTCCATGGACCATATTCAAGAAATAATGGAGGAATTTGCAGAATTGAGGCTCTATGCTTTTTTTCCATGAGGCCAATTGGAGGATCTGGATCTGGATCAATATTGCAAGCAATCTCCCTTTATAGGAGATTTTGCAGGATTGAGGCTACATCCTAGCAAAAAGGCCTAGGGAGTTAGGGTTAATAACTTGTCTGATCAGCTTGTCACACAATCATTTGCTGCTCAAGAGCAGGGCCAAATTTCATGTTAACAGTTAACCCTCACCTCCTAAGAGTTCATTTGGAGTGAAGAACCACAAACTACAAAGCACTACACAAATTATGTATGCAGGTACCAAGTGCTAGAAAAATACTACGAGTGCTGTGCCCACAATTATACAGGGTGAGTAAAAAAAAGCGGAACCCAAACCCAAAAAAATTACATTTCATATTTAAAATAATATGCAGCACCAAAAATAATAATGACTGGATAGCCAATTTCATAAGCTACTTTTGGATGAAAAAATTACTGAAAGTGGTCATCCATTCAAAAAATATCACCATTTCAACACAATGACCCTAAAAGTTGGTGACAGTTGTTGAAACAAGTATTTTTGTCATTTTCTTTATTGTTCCAAACAGTCAAAACAAACAATAAACTGATTTTTTTTGGGGGGGGGGATGAGAGGTTTTAGGGTCATTGCGTTTAAATGGTGGTATTCTTTGAACGGATTGATCAATTTCAGTAATTTTATATAATATTGGCCCAAAAAAACCATTAACCAGCTACCTACCCTATTTTCAAATATGCCATGTAATCGGAAGCAGAACTATTTTGTTTTGGCCTTAACCTTCTTGAGTGACTTACGTAAGACCAGCAGCAGAGCTTTGGGCCACGATGTCAAAAGTTCCAGTGGCTCCGTTTCCCTGGGCAGCGACTTCGCTACCAAAGGCCGGTGTGCTACCGACAAATGTCGGTTCAGCCTGGCATACCCCGGTTGCTCCGTACAACCTCAGCACAAAGTGAAGGGGTACAGTGCTCAATGCCGCACCGCCATTTGTGTAGCTGTCTTCTACGACTACGGCCACACCGTAAAAATTCCTGGCATTCGTAATCGGCGGCACTTGGAGCGTACAGGAGCCCTTCAATAAAACAAAAGAAGATTATAATTGATTTTTCATTCTTAATTATACAAACACACAAGTCATATGACAAATTTGGTAAAATTTGTAAACATACATTTTGAATCTTTTTTTTTTTTGACATTAATAATTGTTAAAGGGAAAGTACAACATTTGCTTTTGCTGCACTTTTCAGAAATAATCGATTTGGAGGATTAGTATGTTAAAGCAAATATTGTTAAAATGACTTGTTTCACGTTTTGGGCTAGTATATGCTGGAAAAACCAAGAAAACCATTCATTTTCTTGTAGTCTGGTTCCCTGACCCCACTTAAAATGAAATGGAGAATTTATAGACTTTGGGGAATTGTATGGTCAGAGAATCAGTCTAGCAGGCTTGTACCCCTTCACAGTTGTGTAATCAATTGCAAAGAAAACGCGGAATAACTAATTATGAAAAATTAGGAGCAGTTTTTGTAAAAAAGCCAGTTTTCTCCAATGTTGAAAATGTCAGCACACCAGGAGCCATGATTTTACAGGATGCTTTAGACTGTCATTCCCTAACAATCCAGTTTGGTATTTTGTGATAATTTGATCATTTCGTTTTGTGATGTTTGCAAATGTTGTATCTTCCCTTTAAGGTCACTTTCTACAAATGCTATCAATTTTTCTTGCTTATAAGATAATCTCCAGAAATAATCAAACAAGCCATCTTTCCTGCAACTCAATCAATTTCACTTTATTTAGACCAGAACAAATCCGAAAATCGTACCACGGCTCCTGAAGGATTGAACGTAACGTCGACAGTGTTGCACAGTGCATAGCAGGAGTCAGCTTGAGAATTAGGGTCAGCTCCCTTACGGCAGGACACAAAATCGCCGCTGTCTACATCCACAACTGTTGAATCATGGGACAAATATAGGACAAAATGATTTGAGATACGGTCAAATTTAGAGAAACTGATGGATTTGAATTTTAACTTTATCCAACCGGCCTCCAAAGTCATCAAGAGAAGAAACAAAATGTGCTTTTAACCAACTTCAGATTTGAGATTTTGAATTGGGAAGAAATTTGAAAGAAAATGTAATGAGGTGGCTCTTTAAAAATGAGTTTCAGAGTCAGCGAGTCACTCTCATAAGTATTTTTCTTTTTTAAATAGGTAATTAAACAAAATTAATCTCCTTATTATCATCAAGACAGACATTATCATCAACATTTTTCAACATGGCCGCCCGACCCATTTTCCAAAACCACAAACCAGGCTAAATTTCAAGATGGTTGCCAGGTTTTTTGTTTTAAATAACCGCCACTTGGACTCAGGAAATGACATACCAGCTTTTAGAGCCTAAAAGCTCAACTTTTTGTCCTTTTTTTTTTAAAAAGATCATTAAATTTATCATTTTTTCGGTTTTTTTTTTTTCCAATTAAAAAAAAAGGAGGTGGCCTCCAAAGAGAGAACAGGCAGGGACGCTAAACATGATTATTTTTAAAATGAAATGAAAAAGCCCTTACTTGGAATGCGGATGTTCGTTGTGCATCCTCGCTGAACTAGCACCTCTGGGAACATTGAAGTGATGGGTGCATTGTTGATCTGTGCGTTGTCCGAGCGCGGAGTAAGATTCATCGATGTCTTCAGACCATACTGTGCTGGCCCACTGCTACCCGTCGGAACATTGCTTGCCCAACAACATCCGCTATACCTGTAGAGTGGAACACATCAAAAAACACAAATTCATAAGATCCTTTTTTAAAGCTTCTCTTTTGTTCAAGGTTTTTTTCAAACTTGAGAAGATTCAAGGTGATTTTATTCTACTGAGCACACAGAGAGCACAGCAAAGATTACCCAAGAAAATCTGGTGGCATGCACGCTGGGCTCCTTCGACCAATAGGAATAACAAAATGCGCGTGCGCCTCGTCTTTAAGAATGCGTGCAACATGCGCCTGAGCGCAACACCACCTCAGTAAAATATTAGTTGTTTTTTTTTTTTTAATAGTTTTCATTGTTTACTTCCAAATGGAATCGGATAATCACGCCAAAATAGGCTCTCAGCACTTTTGAAATGGGTGGGTAAACTCAAGGGTTAAGAATGGGAATGCTTAGAGCTTGATAAACTTCGAGGTGAAAATGTTGCTCTTGCAAGGCACTATTAAGCGAATGATCACAGTGCGGCACGTTCGGGGGCCCGCCATGTTGGGGGGGGGGCATCAACAACTGAGTCACAAAGTGTACCGCGTACTCTCATGCGTGTGAAGGCGTCAGCATGCAAACCAATGCAAGAACCACAACAAAGACCCGACTTAATTCACACTTTGGAACTCTAAACAATCTTTGCTTTCTAAAATGGGGACCCTGAGTTTCCGGTACCCAGCTGTAGGCCAGGTCACGCAGATCAGTGAAATATAGCCCTATACCTACCCGAGGACATAAGGAACAGAGCTGCCGACCGGAAAGGACTGGACAATCGGCACGGAGTACACACCGGAGCTCCAAGGCACCCCTTCGTTGTAGTCAGTGCAGATGAAATCTCTTGCCGCGTCAATGATGTTGAAGTTATTGGGACACGTTAGGCCGCTGCCGGTCTCTCGTTCACACGTCATATCTCCACCTGCGTACCGGCCACCAGCGGCTACCGTATCTGCTGTGCAGTATATGATGGAGGGGGGATTCAGCCATGCAATTCTGTGAGAAATCTCGATCTGTATGCGAGAAAAAAACATTAAAGATGATGGCCATACTGTAAACTAAGAAGACCCTAGATCTATTGGGGTGTACAACTATGGAATATAGTCGTGTTCCCTAACGTGGCGCAATTCGAAGCTTACCCAACTTTCCTCGTGTAGTGTTGCCAAACCTCTTTGTTGACAAACCTCAAATTCATGCAGTAAAATACTGGTACTTTTACCTTATTAATGCTTGCTATTTAACCTCCGTGAACAATTTCGGTTTCATAAAATTTAAGCCGAAATTAAAAAACGGTGGCATTCGGAAATTGGGCACAAATTGGCGGAGTGTTCCCTAACGTGGCGCACTTAAATAAATCTCGGAAAATTCCAAATTAACATTTAAGAATTTCTGTAAACTTGATCAATTCTGATAAATCATTATTATTTCTACTTACATACCCAGCCAGATGTTTGTCAGAAAATTATTTTCTTATTTTTCAGGGCATTTTCAAAGGTTTCACTTTGCACTTGAAAAATAAAATCGGAAAATCACGCCAAAATAAATTTTTCTTTTAACTTTGTAGCGGGCAATTTATGAACGGGAGTGTTTAGAACTTGATGAAATTTCACTTTCTGTGAAATTTCAGTTAAAACTTTTGCTCTAGCTAGGCGCTACAGGCGAAAAATCAAAGTGCGCCACGTTAGGGGCCGCGCCACATTAGGGTACATCAACAATACAGGGCCACTCCATTCTATATGCGCACATCCATGGCTGCGTGGATGCGCATAACAGTTGGCTCTCTTTAGCACCCTCTATTGATCACAATTTACTTCATGCCTAATCCGCATCCGCGCATCCAGCATCCAAGACAGAGTGAGTAAGTACAGGTTGGGGTTGGTTTTAGATAGGGAAATAAAAGCGAGTCCTAGGGTAAAGTCTAAATAAAGTAGCGAGTCCTATCACTCCTATGGTAAATAAAGCGCCCTCTATTGATGACAATTTACTTCATGCTCACCCTCCGCGCATCTGCGCATCCAAACATACATCTTTGTGGACCCACTATTGTCCGTAATCCTCATTCCTTTGTTCGTTTTAATACTCTTAACTTTTTAGCAACAGCGCTTGTTCAAGTTGTTGGTTTTGCACACAATTTTCAATCGTGGACTATCGGTCAATCGTGGACGCATTGTTTGTGCCCTAACCCTTTTGTCTAGGTCCACGATTGCCGGTGTTTACACACGCATCCAAGACATATCCCAAGTTATTCATCACTCAATATAACTCACTCTCTAAAGCGCCCTCTACTGATTGCAAGTTTAAGACTTCATGCCCATTCACTCCCTTTTTCTACTTCATGTGCGCCCACCGCTCCTCACTAGACTTTGCATCCAGCTAAAAAAAAAACCTCTTCTCTTGCGTGGCCCTGCATTCTTTAGTTAGTCCCATTGGAGGATACTTTTGTGCAACAATTCACCAATAATACACTACCTCATTCATGTCATTAGTTAGGTAACTGATTTAAGTACCCCGCCATTCCGTCTCGCTGCTCGGCGCGCGGTACCGGGTGTCCGTCCGATGTTGATGGTCCAAATAAAACATGTATATTTTAGAACGTGTAGTTGAATTTATTTTTTTTCGAACGTGCAGTTGATTTTTTTTTAAAGAAATGATTGTACACCAAAAATTGCCATGATATTGTCTGAACAATAGCTAGCACAATGATTTCAGACTGTGAAAGAAATTGCCAGCCGAGCGAAGACCGAAAATCAACTCTTGTTTATTTGTTTTTACAGAGTAGGGCCTAGTATGATGGCAAAAATTACTAAGGTTGTGTTAATAAATGTCACTCGTCACGGTGACAGTTTTGCCAACCCGGCAGGACGAAAGTGACAGAAGGCGTATCAATGTTCCCCTTTCCAAATTTGAATTTCCTTAGATTAGACTATTTTTTCCCCTGAGATTTCCTGAAATTTCCTTAGGATCTTCTTGGAATTTCGTTATCTTTTCCTTAAGTAAGGCCAAGTAAAAAAAACAAAAACACAGTTGATCGTCCGGGTTTTTCAAAAAGAGGAGGATGAGGGCCTTTTTATTATTATTTTTTTTACATTGTTTCCAAGATGGCCGCCAAGATTTTAAATTAAAAATGGCCGCCAACTTCGATTCAAAATGACCCCTAGCTTTTATTTAGCTATCCTGACAGTTACTAGAGTCAAAATATTCATATTAAACATGTTCTATGTATTTTATTAGAGCGAAATACAAGAAAAAGTTAGCTTTTTGAGTTGAGAAAAAAAAATTAAAAAAGAAAAAGGATGCGGCTTGCTTCAAAAAAGGTTGCGGGCGGGGACAATCAACTGGTTTGTTTTTTTTACTTGGCCTAATGTAAGTTGAAGTCACCATGGTAATAAGCAAAAATGACTATTTCTTTATCAGGTTTAGTTTCTCACTTTCTCAAGTCTGCGTTCTTATTCTGGACTCGCTTTCATTATTATTATACACCGAGACTGCAGCTTTTAAAAGTTCTAGTCGGCTTTTTTTTCGCATGTCCTGGCAGTGATGCGCCCTCGACGGTCGTAACACCCAACCCCGAGTCCCGTAGTCTGGCCCCAAGGCCTAATTTTGCGTTTGGACCCAAATTCATTATCTTTTGAAAGTATTTGTTTGCTTGTAATTTTGACATTTCTTTGAAATGTTCTTCATTTTTCTATTTCCTCAACAATTTCCTTGGTGGAAGCACTGATCGAGGCGCAAGGAATTTTCAGTTAAATTTGACGAAACTTATCTTCTAATGTTTCCTGTCTTAAAACAATTACAAAGGAAAGCCGATGTATAGGGCTATAATGAAAATGACGCAGGACATTACGCATAGTTTTGTTAATTTGTCGGTTTTATAGTTATGAAGACGTCGAATTAATTAATTGTTGTCCCTCTAGTTGTCTTTCCAGTCAATTTCTCCTCATAATCACATAGGGAGCATGTAGGACTTGCAAGTAAACCCATGAAGTGACGCAAGCTAAGCGAGACTTAAAATAGGCCAGGGAGTCGCACGTCGAAAATTGACATCGCGCGGCCTACAGTACACTGTGAAAGAGAACAAAAACAAGAAAAGTGGTTTCTGCTGTTGTGTAAGTTTTATACTGGAATATGCGTTTACGCAAGGAGAAATTCGAACTGAAAACATGATTCATCTCTTTTTTTCCTTTTTTTTTTACCTTTGACATTTTATTCTAACAATAAAATACAATGGGCACGTAGCCAGGGTTATCAAGCATTGTCGGTCGGATACGCCCGATGGTAGGCCAAGTGCATTCACGCATAAATAAAGACCAGCGTACTCCGTGATTCAGCTGAAATTAGCGACTTCATAGCACGACCTCATGGGATTACAAAAAAAAACAAAAAAATTTAAGTGATGCCACACTTTCCGCTTAAACTTCCGTGTTAATTTAGTACATTTCTCGAAACTTCGTAAGTATACGCGCCACCAAACAAGGAAAAAAAGAGTGCTATGCCGAACATGTGGTACCGCCCGTAAAAAGAAATTATTTTTCCTGATATAATACCAAGCAACCTCACTAAATAGCACAACAATTTGGCTCTCCGGTTTAAAATTTAGTTCCTTTATCTTTGGTCCTGTGTGAATAACAGCACAGCAAACACCGCTTGAACTTTGCACTCAAGCCCCACCCAAGCAAGCTTGTGATTTTTTTTTTATCTCGGATCGATGAAGAGCAAAACTCAATATTAAAAATGGACATCTCCCCCACGCAAAGTACCATCATCAGTCCTCTCTTGAAAGACCAACAAAATACAATTTAAAAAAATACGAAACAATAAAATACATTATCGATCGTTTAATTGCGGTAATACCATGTGGTAATAATTGCTCAGTAGATATTTAGTTCTGAAAAGAACTTGTCCTGCTTATTATCAACTTTCGCTAACCAGTTTTAGTTCCGTGATAAGAACAGTCCTGCTTTAAGTTCTAAAAGAACTTTTTTGTGTGTCAACGTTTCGACTAGCCTGCTCTAGCCATCGTCAGGAGAATACAAGGGTGTCAATCGCTTCTCAAAAGTGGGGGGGGGGGGGACTTATACCTTGATGAGCAATAATGCAAGCGTGAAGCGCGAAGCAAATGTTGGATTCTAGATATAGACGATGCATGTGGTTCGAGCGGAGGCAATTTCTGACCACTAAAACCTTTTTTTTTTCAAAGTAAAAGATCATCTTTTAAACATAATGTTCGAGTTTGGAGTCATTGAATCAGTTTTTCTGAGCTCTAGACTCATTAAAGTATAGGCTGCAATTTTTATTCGGGACGGAAAAAGTGGGGCGGGGGGGGGGGGGGACAAACGATATGATATCCCCCACTTTAAAAAGTCCCCCACCGATTGACGCCCATGGGAGAATACGTGCATGGAAGAGGTCTGGAGGGTGGACAATAGAACAGAGGTCTCACGGCATGAAATAAAAATACTGCGTTGGGCATATCAAGGGCGTAGACAGTTTAACCGTGGCGAAAACAAACATTACGCACTGCACGCGCCTCGCTTGAGTATACCAAAGGGCAGATTTAAGTCAACGTGGTCAACATTATTTCCAAGGAATTCTGTGAGAAATAATCACTAGGCCTACAACAATTTGAAAGTTTTTACATATCGCATCCTGCATGTCCTTACGACCATAGCAGCAAGCCTTCTGTAGATCGGGAGATGTTAAGTTTCAAAAGGTAGGGGTGACTTCACCCCGTGTAATTTTGATTGCGAAATGATTATGATTTCTAGATGTACTTTCTTCTGTTTGATGACAAGCCCAATCGTTGCGTCTATAATCGTTATCGTCTACATCATTCACAGAAAAAATGCTCTTTGGTAACTCTTTGGTGCAACTGAATCTCGTCTGTCCTCGCACATGCTGTCAAACACGGTCTGGTTTATATATCAAACTCATCCGCTGGGCAGGTCTAAAGTTTCCATCGACGTGGTAATCATCTCTCCAATGTACCGACACTCAATATCCAACAACAAATTCACAATCATGGTCTTATTAATTGTATGTACATTTTTGTGCATATGCCGATGTATGGGAAACATTTCAGGAGGGGGATCCACAAAGCGTAATAAATATGCAGGTAAGGGTTCGTGATGTGATTGGTTAAAATACGATGGATGCTGGGGGGAAAAAAAGAAAGAAATACGCGTCTTGTTCTCCATATATACCAATATGTGGTCGGACGTAATTGGTACTGCGTATTGATGTTTCATTTACGTGCGCAACACCTCAACAAAGAGGGGTATTGAGATAGCGAGATGACCCTGCCCCGTACCATTTTCATGGAGTTAATCAACCATAATATGAAACGACCCTGATGCGGCTTAACTTTAGAGTTTGCACCGATCCATGCGTTTTGTTCAAAAAGTACAGTAGTTCTTATACCGATTGCTATTCCGAATTAAACGGTCAGAATTTCGTGCGTATAATGCGATAATACACTACCTTTTTAGTATCGTTAAGTAGCGCCCGGCTTTAGGACATGTAGCTTGTGTGGCTTGAAGTGAGGCTGTTTGAACCCAGATATAGGCAATGACGAAGCATTAGAACGAAATTTTGATCAGTGAGGCGGGAACTTGGACAAGTCTGTAACTAGGCGTCTTTAAATAAAATATTAGTGAGGTGATCGCGCAACGAAAACACAATTTCGAGTCATTAATACTATCCTACAAATATTATTTGGCTTCAAAGGCAAGTTCCCGGAAACACATATATACCGATTTAACGATAATATCCTAGTGTGAAGATTGGATGGCACTAAAATATTGTCAACTGTAGTCTGAAATGGTATCATTCGGAAGAAAATCATTGATGATTGAAGACCTCTTACTCTCGTTGTGGCAATGACCTGAGATCAATTTTGTTGGGTTTCTGTCACATTAACTCAGGGACGATTATCCTCGTCGGCCGCGTAAGGTCATCTCTTTAAGACTTTATTGTACAATTTTCAACTCAATTCAATACGATTCACTAAAGGGTTTTATTATCGATTGGTCTGAGCCCAAGGACTTAATTGTGAATGATTTACAAAACAAATATAACAAAACGTTTGAATTACTTCAGTTCAAAAAAATGAATCGTCATAAATGAATAACGAAAGAATAAATGAATAAGATGTCAAATAGAATATAGCAAGGACACACATAAAGAATGTATATTTTATCTTTTAAGTAAACAATGAAGCAACATTCGTGCTGATGAAATTAAGGTTTTTAATGAGCTCAAGTTGATTTCTTTGTTCTTTTAACAAATTATCATACCCACATTATCGTATCACCAATCCTAGCAGAAATGAATGCGGAGATGTATGTGTGATATCGATTCAATCACATACATTTTATGTGAATCCATTTACGCTTAAGCACAACGTCACATCATTGCCATTCATGAAACAAAATATATTAGAATACAATACACAAGACAGATCAGTCGTTCAGTATGGTGCTTCTCCTTTAGTTATAGTGGAACACCTTCCAAAATAAAGGAAGTATTCCACGGTCAAACAAGTGCAATTCACAACCCCACTTCTGGCGCCCATACACGCTGTCCCATGTTTACGTGACATACCTAGTGTGGACATTGTTTTGTTTTCGTGTATATATAGTTAAGAAAAACCCGTGAAATTTTTTTTACTCACACTGTGAAAACTCTTTCAACCCAATTTTTCCCCCTATGATTCCCTTTAATGTTTCTCTTCATTTTGCCACCGATAAACCTAACCCCAAATGCCAAAATTTCCAGAGAGGGCGAAACATTATGTGGACGTGGGCAAGTCGCTACTACCTGTTTTATGTGGACCTCTTTTGTTCGGAAGTCCACACAGTGAATGTAATGCTTGTACACTGCAACAAACTATTCGAATTGGTGCACATACCTACACCGTACATTACATATGCATTAGGCTTACACGGTCACAAATACATGAAATACAAATGTGCCAACATCCACGTTTCCTCGTGCAAGACAACCACTTTTAAAATATGTTACCGAACTTACATCTACATAAGTGTCTGTAGACACCCTGAACTATTGACTTAAGTCACGCATTCTGCCACGATAAGGTCTATTTTATTTTAGTGTGAAAAGTATATACTGGATAAACCCCTTCCCCGGAAGATTAATGTTAAAAATCCGGCATACATTACTGCATAGGTAGAGGTGTACATGTACTTACTTCGACTCTGTTGCTGTCCGATGGGTCATATCGCAAAAACTTCCAGGTGACAGTACCGCCTCTGTAGTGAGACGCCTCGACGGACAAACATGCTACCACGAGAATCGCAACAGCCAGAAGCCGCGAGTGGCCACGATGCCCCGTGAGAGCCATATTTTCCAGGCACGTTAAGACGCACCGGCAAACTCACATGTATTTTTCCCAAGCAGAAAGTTGACAGTTTTTCACCAGCGGCTCCAACCGCACCCTTGACTCAACGATAGACTGAGTCGGTCTATACATTGAACTTCTTTTTGGGCATTTCGAACTGCTGCATTGTGAATGAATATAATAATAGGTGCCTTGGACCGTGACACATATATACCGTACCGGCCCACACAAGGATCGCGTGCAAGACAGCCCTAAAGAATAACAAGCCAAATGAGAAATATCGTTTGGCATTGATCGCAATGAAGTTGTGATCGCAGAATAAACCAGGCACCAATTAAGATCTGAAAACAATCACTTATCCACCACCACACCAGATCACGGCTGGAATCTAAACAACAAAAAATACGGTTCCCAGTAAAGTTTTTATGTTCTCCTCTCTCTCACCAATGTGAAAAAAAACCATAAAGTATAGACGGCGAAAGTTGCCCTTAACCCAACATGATGTTTTCACGTTTAGCCTTTATAGATGGAGCATATTAATAACACTCTTGTGTATAATCAGTGACAATGCCGTGGAAATAAACCAGAGATTTAACAGATTGTAAAAAGGCTATGGGTTTTTCACCCATTCCAATGGGATTTACACAGTTAGTGATTTCAGTACATCAGATTGTCATTGGCCTTTTCACTCCGATGTAAATTAAGTTAACTGTGTACACCCCATCGCATTGGAATGGGTAAAAACCCATAGCCTTTTATAATCTGTTATTGTTAGATCTCTGGTTTGCATGAACGGATTTCCATGGCATTTTTACTGAATATACACAAGAGTATAATTAAAATGCTCCATCAAGATAAATACTCATGTTAAGTAGTTTTTGAGAAATTAGAGGACATCTGCTTGTACCAGTTTTGTTGGCGACACCCTGTATGTGCAACTTGGCCACTGTAGGTGAATACATTTCTAATGGTATTTGGTGGTGCATTTCCAAATAATATTCAGCATGCAATCATTTAATGGGCCTACTATACATGACAAAGACTTCAAAAAAGTTAGAGCAAGAAATTAAGACAATGAAGCTGAACAAAATAAAAAAACAGTTCCTTCATCTAAATGATGTTACTTTAGTTCAAAAGTCTTCACATTAGGAACTTTAATCGCTTTGAACTATTTCGGCAGTTCAGGAATAGGTTAAGCGGCTAGGTTAAAAAAGAGTTGGTCATCCATTAAACAAGGTCAGTTTTTGAGGCCGAACCATGGAACACCAGGAAAATGCCAAGTACTGAAATGTGTTTAATCAAACAGCCTTTGAATACTGTTCATGCATGTCTGCACAGGTCTCAACGGTAATGGTGGCCAGAGCACTCAACTATGAAAATTAATTCAACGACTTTTAAATTCCCTTTTTAGAAAAGGGTCACTCTTTCCCTTCATTTTAAGGTGCCTAAAAAGAAAACTGTGCAGTGTGCACAGGACTGGAAGTGGCAATTCCGTTGCAGATAAACGACTGTTTCTGGTGCATGTATTTCTTATATTAAACAAACAACCAACGCATCTCATTTAATTCAAATCAACCCAAACCAAACAAAAGAAAATCTATCCCGTTGAAATCAGTTTCCAAGTCAACCAAACCCAATGAAGCAAATTACCGAAGCAAATCAATCCATCTCAATTCCATCCAACCCAGCCCAACGCAACTTAACCCACTCCACTCCACTCAAACCCAACCAACCCAACGCAACCCAGCCCAACCCAACCCAAATTCCAACCCAACCCAGACACCAGTCAACCCAATGCGTGATATATCAGCCCAGCCAAATCCATTCAACCGGACCATGTACAACCCAAACTTACCCATTTCAACCCAAACCCAAACCGATTCGTCCTAAATTTTTGAAATTCGTCTCGTGTAGCAATCGGCGTTGAATTGACAAAGCAAATTCGTTTTTTTTTTGTCATTAACTTTAACGTTTTGGTCATTTCAATTCTGATCGTGCATTCTCCGCATTTTCTAGACCATCGAGGCCTATAAATTTCGGTGTATTTCTGAGTTGTCTTGTCACTCGTTGTTGAGACTCGGTTGAGGAAAAAAAGATGGCTGCCAACGGGGCTTCAAAGAGGCCGATACAATAAGGTTTCAAACGCGGACAGAGGTCGCATCATAGACGCTTTTGAAGGAGATGAACACGACTATCTGACCGTTGCTGACACCCTTGGCGTGAAGCGCCAAACTGCTCGCAGCATCGTCTTAACTTACCTTCGTGAGAACAGAAGAGATGCTCTACCAAGAGGAGGGAAAAGACGTTCAAAAACGGATCAAGAAATGAAGGGCCTTCAACAGTTACTAGATGAAAACCCCTTGTTAACCTTGGGCCAACTAAATGAAGGACTTCGACAAAGGCTGCCTGACAAGCCACGTATTGCCATAAGTATACATTAGCGCGGACTATAGACGGCATGTTGATCACGCTCAAGCTAGCTCAGGATGTACCCGAAACCCGCAATGCTGACAGAGTGATCCGACAGCGGCAATAATATGCCAACTGGTTCTTAAGACATGGCGTCGTTGGTCACTGTATCTTCATCGATGAATGCGGATACAACATTTGGACGCAACGTTCATATGGGAGAGCAGTTAGAGGACAACCCGTTCGCCGAGTGGTGCACAACCAACGTGGAAACAACTGCATCGTTACATTTGCCATATCTCCTGAAGTCGGACTTGTCCATCATGCCATAAACTTGCACACCACAACACGTGCGTCATTTGAAAACTTCCTGCAGGAATCAGCTGAAGCCTGCCAGGAAATGTTTCCACAAGAAGAGAACTTGTACTTCATCTACGACAACGCAAGGCCTCATGTTCGTGCTGAACTGCCACCAGGGAATGAGAACATTGAACTGAAGCGACTTCCCCCATACTCCCCATTTCTCAACCCTGTTGAAAATGCACACTCCTGCTTCAAAGCTGGTGTAAAAAGACTCGTAGGACTTCCCGAATGGCAAGCAAGATTATCTGACCACCAGGCTGCTGTGAGAGAAGGCTTGACCATGCAGGGATGGAGAGCACACCTACCGGTGGAAGCAGCTCAGCAGAATGTGGATGAGATAACACCCGACAAGTGCCAGAGATGGTACAATCACTCCCAGACGTACCTACCAAGATGCATGGCCAGAGAGGAGATTGAAGGCTAAAAAATGACATTATGAAGCTAACGTTTAATGTCACATTTCTAACTTTCGTGTTACAATGCAAATACTGATAAAAAAAAGAACATTACATTTTCCCTTTTCCCCTATATAATTATATAATGCGTAAAACCACAGAAGTTAGGTTTGTATATCAAAGAGCAACAACGATCTTAATGCTTAATTTTCATGTCATAAGTAAAGAGCATTAATGTGAAAGGTATAGTCCTGATTCTAATGTTAATTGTGAACCACAGGAAAAAAAATTATAAAATTATAGTTTGACTACTTTTATTTACTCATATAAGGAAATATATGTTGAAATTATAATTTTAGTAATGCGCACACTTCTTCAAATAAGTCCAAAGATTGGACACATTTTCTAATCGTAACGTTTTAATTCACTAGAAACGAAAGGTAATGACAGCAACATTAAAAGGAATGACATCAAACGAATTTGCTTTGTCAATTCAACGCCAATTGCTACACGAGACGAATTTCAAAGATTTTGGACGAATCGGTATGCTAAAAAATTGAATTAAACTGAACCTTAAATGAAATCTAGTGGTGGCTTTCTGAAATTGAAATTTAGAATTGAGCTTGGCGATGTTCGGGGCCGGACGAAATTAAAGTATCTATATAGGGAATTCGTGTGATACAAGTGTTAAAATAACCGGGAAAACCTATATATAGCGCCACAGTTTTATCAATGCCGATTTATCTTGCTCCCCTTCACCAAAATAAAGAACTGTGTCGACCCCATGCGTACGGGAAGCGGTCATGGCCGCGGCCGCTAATCCTCCTTGGAATGCAGTTGCCAGATGTGGTATGCCGTGGCACGCTGCTAATGGGTAGTTCCACAGCTGCTGCTTTTGTGCAGTCCCGCTACCACACAAAGGCTGTGCAGTCATGCGGGCCACTTGCTCTATGTGTGGAGGAATGTCCCCATTACACCGTCGGTTAAGTTGAACTTCATTAAAATAAAGCTTGACATGCCTCTATATATCAAAGTTCATAATGTACAGTTACAATTACTTGGGAAAAGTTCATGTGCCATGTACCATAATGTGTTCAAGACTCACGCACGCAAATCAGTTTTCAAAGAAAAAAAATCGCAGTGGGTAAGGGAACAAAAAGAGGGGAAATGAAAAAAAAAAGACGAGTTGCCTTCAAATTGAAATATCGGGTCAAACTTCAGGGTTAATGCTGAAAAGATGCACGTAAATATTGTAGGCCTACATGGAAATACTTGCATATTAAAGACATTCTTAAGGTCAAATGGGTTCAAGAGGAAGGTTATGCCGTTCTGATCTGTTGGAAGCCAGCAAAGTACATGAACTTCACTGAAACCTTTATTTGAAGTGAGTGCCCCTCTACCGTACCTAGTGCTTGAATAATTCAACAACCAAGTATAGGTGGGGACGGGCTCACGTCATCCAATGAATATATTTATTTGCACACCAGTTCTAGCATCAAAATGGGTCTTGCAGGTAAAAGCCAATGTAAACAACACCCATGCACACCTATAGCTAGGATTTGTGTTAAGAAATTGAATAAGGTATGGTAAAAAAAACAAAAAAAACCAACGCAAGTACACATTGAAAATAGCCAGGTGCATACATATGTGACTCCTTTACATCAGGTTAGTTGTGTACAGGGAATCTGACCAAAGCGAGACGTCTGTATGCCTAAAATCCCATTGAAATAAAACTGACACAAAATAGTCGTTGTACTAACTTGCACACTTTCGAATGTTTTATTCAGTGAGGCCTTTAACGTTTATAACATTTTCAACTTTTTTTATGTTCAACATTTTCCATCGTTTTATGAAAGTGGCTCTTAAATAAGCCATTTTCCTCTCATATTTGCAACAAGAGAAAAAAAAGTAATATCATACACAATAAATATGTACACAGAAAAAAAATAGTGAGACTGGCAAAGAGATAGCTTCATGACGATACCGTCTTAAAATGGTACAGCAAAAAAAGAGTTGCGCCTAACATCCAGTGCAACTATAAGGCATAAATAACACATTACAAAATTTCTTGTATTTCAATTTCATCATGTCTTTTTGATACTTGGTAGAACCATCGAATCCCTTCAATTCTCGCAAATGGTAAAATAAATACTTGAACAGTGTCACCATCACTTTGTGTGATCTGTGCTCATACAATGTACCATACTAACAAAAAAATATATATTGATGATAATCGGTCGAGAATTCACTGGAATTCTCGGATTTTCTTTGAAAATTTTTGTACAAACGTTGCTCTGAACACCAACAGAACATGAAAGCGCACATGATCGTTATTCGAATACTCGGTAGAAAAATACATGTTTGTCCATGTGTGTGAATCCTCTGTCATTTCTTGATGGACATTTTTAGTTACTTTTGATAAACATCAAGTTGTACACCCCCAAAAACAAGCAGACATGGTGGTCATCGTTCTTGGCAAACTGTACGAACATTACAAATGGAAGCATTAGTCAATCGGAGACAGCCTTTTTGGCCTTTCCAATGTCAATAAAGAATATCCCAATTTTGATTATTTGGAGAGAGAGAGATTTATTTCAGTCCCCTCCTCAAACATCTCATGAGTATTTCTGGCGATGATGGGAAAACTAATTGAAAGAATGCAGAACAAAAATAGTGTCACAATGATGGGTTTTCAGCAAAGCTGCAACATTACATTTCAAAACCAAGACCCTTAACAAAATAACTCCGGGGAGTCAGGTTGGCGTAGCGGTTCTTTCCTCGCCTTCCAGCGCTGTGACCCGGGTTCGAATCCCGCCTGGGCCAATATGTGGATTGGGTTTTCAGTCCCTGCCTGATTCCGTGGGTTTTCCCCAGTGCAAATCCTAGGTCAACAATCCCCCCATAGCTGCAATTCATGGGAGTAGGTAGCCTCAACTTATTTGCCTTGCAGTAAAATAACGTTGAATTAACAACATACAGCGTGTCTCAATTCAAAACAGGGGTCGCAAAAAAACAATTGCAAGACACTGACATAAAAAAAAATTAAAAAAATCAATGAGATGAGTTTGCAGTATTACTTGTTTGGGGAAAGTCAAAGTGTGTGTTGGTTTTTTTTTGGAAAATAATAATACCTTTTCAATCAAAGGCTGACCTTTCTACACCCGCCCATTCCCATGTGCTTTCACTAGTTGTTCCAGGATGGGGTGGCTTATATCGAGGACGTCAATTCAATACAACTTTGAAAGAACGCCCATGCAGTACGTTCCTTGCCCTGTAAAGCTTTTTGTGTTTATACCGGTACGCCCAAGGTTACATCAACTTAGTACACAGATTCACATGCACAACCCAATTTTCAACTACCACCCAGTGCAGTGACGTGTGTTGCACTTCTAATGGTGACGGCCTATTTTTGACCGACACCGTTTTCTATAATGCACGTACACGTTCAAGAACATGCACCGTCTGCACATGCAGTACAGGGTGACCGTTTTAGCCGATTTTTGGCTAACTTTGACAGAATTTTTGTTAAAAAAACGAGTTTGACAGAAAATTTGACAGAATGGATTTTTTTGGGGCAGATTTTTGGCAGAATTCTTCAAAAATGGTTATTTGACAGAAAAACAGCAAATTTGAACAAAAAAATAGTACATTTGTTTAAAAAAGCTTCAATCCTTTTCAAACAAACCCTTGCATAAAGGGACAGGTTGGTTGGTCTAGGTGCTGAGGTTCACTGGGAAACGGACTTCATCGTGGCCGGATCCGTGTTTTGCCGTAAAAGTTTCGCGATAATTTCACATCTTTATGAGACTATAGATTGTTTATAATGTAATTTGAACGTTAATTAAGGCAAAAGTACCAATCTGCATGTGATTTTCAGTGGTTATAGTGTATTTCGAGTAATTCTGGGGAATTTGGCAGATTTTTGATAAATCTGGCAGATTTTTGATAAATCTGACAGATTTTTGATGTGCATTTAGCAGAATTTGGCTCTGGCCTTACGGTCACCCTGATGCAGTATTTGAATCTCACTTTATGTAAACACCCAGGCACGAGTGACTCCCAAAGTGGCAGCACTTTGAATGAACAAAAAATATAATTAACCCTTTGGCACAAATTGTAACAGATGTTGCAGGAAGCAGACAAGAAGACTAAGTGCCAGTGAAAAAGTTAGAATAAAAACACAAATCCAGCATCCAACATATGTGACTCGTCATTAAAATGCAATCATCGACTGAAAATGGACCAATGGGATATCGTCTTCTGTTTGACCTTTTCCGTTTGAACTTCAGGTCACAGCCAAGAGAATGACATCGTGAAATATCGACACACAAATTGATAACGTACATTTTGGAAACGCTCCTCGGACGTTACAAAACTTACGTGGCAAGGCAACTGAAGTTATATCATTGTCAGCTTATGCTGTACACCATTAATATGTTTACAGTTCGGCAGTATATACTATATATTTTCATATGGTACAGACTAATATAGATTCATCATTATATCCAGTTGCCTGAAGTTTCAGCAAAATAACTTTTCTCAAAAGGCATTATTTTTATGAGTAGAAACTTTGTGTATTCGCTTAACAACACTTTCTCGATAACTTCTTTCTTCAATAAATATACACTTATCACAAGAGAATATTTTAAGCACATCTGTATTCTCGGTGTTTTTTGTTCCTGCTGTTTAACTAATAAGCAGAACTACTTTAACAGTTGCCAAAAGAAAGAAAGATCTCTCCCGCCCTTCAATATGGAAAATGAAATAAATAATACCACAATCAATGGTCATTTCAACTTCTACATAAAATTGATTGGCCTCGCATTCACCAATCAAAAGGAATGTTCCCTCTTACAAAGACTGTACAATATCTGTCGAAAAAGTTTAAAATTAGATCTATGCATAAATATTTTATCTTCGTATACACTTGTACATCGTAATTCATATCTGGACTGCATTTGTTCAAGTTGATGCACCCACACACTGGTCGGGGTCATTCTGGATTCGTTTTGATAAAAAAAGACCTTAGCTCGGGACTGTAAGTCCAAAGATAGAACATGGACAGAAAAAAATATTCAAATTACATCAACTGTTTCATTAAGTAATAAATAAGCGTTGGACATTTGACAACCAACATATCAAACCAGTTTTTTTGAGTACAGTTACATGTGACCCACTCAGAAACCTTTGTTTATGGTGTAAATCGAGGTTTTTCTTTTGTTTCTCTTCCCTTTCCTTGGTACTCAACTTTTTTTCGAAACAGCTCTCATTGGGTTTGTACACGTTTTCCAACCGAGGAGTCCTCGATTCAGTTTCTGTCCTCGATTCACTGATGATGTTGTTACATGTGTTCCCTCGATTTTACACCATAAACACGCCCTACATGTCACACAAGAGACTCATGACGCAGAAGTCTCTCGTCAAAATAACTGAGCTTTAGATTCAATGTCGTAAAAAAAACCCCAAATAAATACATTTCAATGCTTTTCCGGGTTTATAGCAATGCATTTAGTCTAGTTTAAAAACCTTGGCATTTTCCCCAAATATACTTTTTCAGAGAAGCAAAAGAATGACATGAAGCAGACATTCTTTTATCCTGGATACGTCCAACACAACATACATTTGTTGTTGTTACATGTACTGCTCCATTCAGTCGGCCGACTCAAAATGTCAGGTTTACGATAAAAACTCGCCGGAAAGGTTGCATACATGTATTTGTTAGTCACACTGAAAGCAGACATGGATCATGCACATTTTTTTTTCATGGAAAGACCAACCCACAGTGTGGTATTTGTTTGTGTGGTTAGCAATGATGCATGAAAGATCACCACAGATAAAAAAAAAACCTGACTGATTCCCTATGGTTTCAATTGAGATTCGTATCCAGTGCAAATGACTCCAATGGTGCATAACCAGTATTATATGCCGGATGCGTACAGAATGGAAGAAGCCCCAAAATAATTCCATTTCTGTGAAAAATAATTCCAGAATTTATCAATTTGTTGTCCTTCTATTTCAGTTCACAGCATATTATCAAATATAATTGCAACAACAAATCAATACACGAAATCATTTACAGTTTTAAGAATGGACCAAAACAAAAATAATAATAATAAAGAATTATTGCAAAAACAAATTTCATCCCTTACAAACCAAGTTTTGTTTTTGGAAATTACAGCACATTTTATAAATTAGGTCAACCACTGTGTAGTTGTAGTCTTAACTAGATTTTTTTTAAGCATCTTTAAAACACAATTTAAGGCCATTTTTTTTTCGAGTTAGAATCACAGGGAATTGGGTGAAACATGATCATTAACATTGGTTTATTTCGTTTAGGGACACAAAACTGTCCAATTTCATGATTCTTAATTCTTTATAGTTACAGGCACTTTATTAATTCATGATCCACTTTCTACTTCCTGGTTTCCACAATAAGGTAAAAAAAAAAGAATAGATCGGAAAGGCTCAGTCAAGAGAGGGCGCAATTCATACTTTTAAGTACATGTTTGGACCAGATTTATGTTCATTATTTTTTCAGAGATGTCATATTTTAAATTTAAGGTTTTCATTCAAACCCCTTGAAAATACAATTTTGTTTACTTTATCGATGCAAATTCAATGGGTTAATTTCATTCAAAGGCCGCGCATTTTTGTTTATATCAAAAAAGTGAAATTTGAATTTTTCACATTTATCTTTTAACTATCAATTTGATTCGAAGTACTTGATGTTAGAATTTAAGTAAATGTTCAGAACTTTTTTGAGAAATCCTACTTTGCCCCTGCAAGAAAAACATAAAAAAAAAACATAAGTAGACAAGTTACAAAAGAATAAGTTTGAAAATAATCTTATTCTTATAAGAACACTCTAGGTGTAAATTTGGATGCTTCATGGTTTTTCACACAATTCTTTTTTTTTTGAACAATATATTAGTACATGAATTTACCGAGATTGAGATAGTAAAGATCATTGAATGCAATAAATTAAGACTGGCAAATAATTTCTAGGTATTACTGTTGATGACAATCTAACATGGAAGAACCATGTTGATGATGTGGTCAGCAAAATATCTGAAACTATTGCCATAATGAATTGTTGTGTGGTTAAATAGACAGGGTGCAAAGGTTGTTCTTGCTGTGTTAGCAAGGAAAGTGAACGGGGCACAACGCCACAAAATCTAAGACAAATAACTGCCCATTGTGAAAAACTGCAAATTTTGTTAACAAAATAAGGGCGACAAGATCGTCTTGGCTTATTAAAGCATCTTCTAAGATGGCTTCTCAACATATTAGACACTGCGCAATTCTCAGATCTTCATGCACCACACTGCTTATAATTTTCTTTAAATCGCACTGTTATTGTTTTTCTTTCATGAAACGTTCACATTTGCAGGACTAAACTGCGAGCAGCTGTAAGCACGTGCAAACATTCGGAGGTCTCATTTACGACATACATCTCGTACTCTACTCTAAGGTTGCAGTCAATCACATGGAATAAATATAGGAAGCCAAAAAAATCTTGGATAATGTCGTGGCATGATTTCTGGTCACGAAAGAAAGACTGGATCTTTTATTTGGTTGGTATTTATCAGAAGAAAAAAAAAAAAAATCATGTAGCAGCTGCTTTAAAATGAAACGAATACTTTAAAACTACGTGTATCGCCAGGGGCATTTTTCTTAATTTCTCATAATTTCTATAATTTATAAAGAAGAACCGAGCACCTGTTGATGTGGACCTTGATGTTTAATTTCCTTTATTATTCCCGCGGAATTCGGAAGGTGCTTTCCCGATTAATTTGACTTACGCTGATTCGTCGTCGCACACATTTTGGAAGGGCAGAATTCATCGCATTACTAATGTAGCAAAATATCAAAGAATAATTATTTTTACAATTCATATATATCACAACTCTGCATAATATAAAGTCTCTATACTATATTCATCATCATCGCTATAATATAACCATAGCGTGACACGATTGAAAATGTTACAGTGCACTTAAAGAGAGTTTAAGAAAATATGAACGACGTACAAGCACGCGACACACTTAGAACACAACCAACGTGCCTGTTACATTTCTGCTTGTTTTATCAATACTGAGCTGTTTAATTTTGGCAATAAATTATGCGAATTGTGTAGCTTTCCCAGTGCAAAATAAGACTTGCTCAAGTTAACGTGAGTTTCTTATAAAAAAAAAAAATTGCAGTATTTCTGCGACGGTAAACTGAGATGGTGCATCAAAATTGCGTTTCATGTTTTTCAATACTTTTTCCTTACTCTGTTTTTAAGCCTTGTATTTCCCCAGATGTGCTTCGAAAATATAGCTGTCGGTTTAAATTTGGTTTAAATTCACCGACACAAATTTGAAATTGTGAGCATCAATGCACTGAAAGAAAATTAAAAGCAGACGTAGATGTTCAACTTTCCATCTCTCTTATTTGAAAAGGAGTTACCACTCAAGATGCGGAATGACTAGCTCGTGGCAAATGTGAATCAACAAGCTCTACAAAAACCAAGCAATAATTTAAGAACTATTACAAAAAATATATATATATCACATGCTTTACTCTATTTTGGGGGTTATACGTCACGATGCTAAACATCATAATGTTTGCGGCCACGAGAACGAGTGCTTATATGCTGATTTTTCCGTAATAAACAGAGTCCAAAATATAGGTGGTCTGTCACTTTGTGTGGGCAGAGTTGCTCTTAAGGTACGTCTTAATCTAAACTACAGGTGCAAGATCCAAGTTGTGATGACATCGATTGTCCTACCACTCGCATATGGAATGGCCGAGCTACGACTTGCGTGATTCCAGACTTGCTCAACCTTGTTCTCAACTGTGAGTGATCCCAATATACAAATTTTGTTACCATCTTGTATTTTGGTCACTCTTTCTGGGGTGGATGACACGGTATACAGCTGGCTCAAGATATTATTTTTTGGGTGATTTCATGAAGTCTGCGGTCGACGCCTTCTGCCTTTGTGGCAAGGGTAGCAATGATATAACTTGTCGCGTGCTATTGTTGCTGTTACCTTACCAAGGATGCCCGTGTTGCTAGCATCTACTTTGCTACCAGTCGGGGTTATGTGTTCGGCACCGAAGCCCAACTTGTGAGAATTAGCTTCACGAAAGTCACTATTTGAGGTGCCGTGGTACTGTGAAGACCTCCGCTCACTGCAGACGGTTTCCGATGACTTAAGTCAGTTAAAGCGGCCTCGGGAGGTCAGCCGATTTAACCAGGCGGAATGGACGATTTTGCCGTCAGTCGGACGGCAGCAGTCACGTCTCGCTCTTGAGTTTCCTCAGACCGAGTCTGGCGTAGTGGACCAGGTCCAGGGTACTGCTGTGCAAGGTGAGGAGGCCAAACTCACAGTCCAACTCTCGGAAAAACTCTGCCGGGAAAATTCGAGAGGGGAGTTAAGATTCAATAATGAAAACAAGCTTGGTGGTAAGACAAGTAATGAACAGTATTAGGAACAGGTCACACAATACAATGTAGAGAGGATGGTTGCAGCTATCTACAAGGGGAAAACAACTGGCAAGCTTTCATTATCTGGAGAATTTCGAACTGTTTGGAAAATGTGCTTTGTTTTCCTCAAGATTCCTTTAGCTGGCAGAGCATTTGGTTGCATCTGAGATGCTCTTGAACATAAAAGCACAGTGAGACAGTACGTGGGGTTGATCACATTACCACAAGTCAAAATCAGTGTCATGATTCACAATCTAATTTTTTCCAATTCATTTTATTCTGATTATTGGCGTAACAAAGAGATCTTACAATGAAGGTACAATTGAGATAGATTTCCAATTTCAAATTTTTTTTTTATAAGATAGGAACCTAATGCAAGTCTACCCACCTATGTTTTCTAGAGCCAGAACGTCAGCCTGTTCCCAGTAGTCCAGGCCGTAGTACCCATAGCTGGAGTTCTGAATAAACGTGGACATCATGTTGACGATGCGTTGCGGGACGGAGACGTTAGCCGGCGAGGACATGATGTGGGGCACGCCGTTGGTCAGCTTGTTGGGCTGCACCTGGGGCAAGGAGGACGGCTGTAACGACGCGCCGGCGTCGCCGTTGTTGCTGCCTTGGGATCCCATGCTGCCGACCGAGCCGACGGACCCGGCGGGGGACGGTGTGGGGGACATGGGGGACGGGGTGCCTGTGTACCTGTTGCACGGGAGTGGTGATGAAGAGGGGTGGGTAGAGATTAGCTGGCTCAACAGGGGTGTTTTACAGCGCACATCGGGGTGCCTACAACACAGATCACAAAGGGGACAAACAGTATTCACACAGGGACACATCAAGCAAACACAGGGAACGACAGCCGATTTCACGAGACTTTATGCAATGGTGTAACTCCGCCTGCACCGCAATTAATTCCGTTAGTTGCGCACAATTTCACATTGCGCAACATTTCACGCTGCGCAACATTTCTGTTATGACACATACCACGAAAGCTTCACAGTTTGTAAGTCCGCGACTTGCGTAACAATTTATGGCGTAACCTACGCAATCATTTTAGGTGGCTTCAGTTATGGCATAGCGACTAAAACTGAACTGCATGTATTTTACTGGCACATCGTGCTTGTCGTAGAGCCTGCCATTGCACAACTTATCCAGGTTGATACAAGACACTCGCAGCTTTGTGTCTAAAGTAAATGAATTGCTGTGTTACATGTGACAGAGGATTAATTTTTTAGCGTTGCTGCACCTTTCTGAAGAAAGTCACGAATTTTTTTTTTTTTTAAATGGCGGGCGGAGGTGATTCAACGACTGTTTTGTGTCTGAACAGTGATCATATACAAACAGACGTTGTAAATGCTGTCATTATCCTCGTCCAAGATGTTAAAATTATTCAAAACGTTGCGTCTTATTTCGTAAAATCGAACAGTTTATTGCATACCTACGCAACAAATGTGTTGCTTAAGTCCTACGCATGGCGTAAGTTATGCACTGTTTCGTGAGATCGGCTGCAAGTGCTACAGACAATACACACTATGACTTTTCATAGAATATGGGGTGACGTATTTCCAACATTGGGTTACGCTATTCACAGTTCACCAATGTCAATTTATAACATTGTCTGCTTGATGCTTTTTATGTGAGCCATGCAAAAAAGACATTGGTATGATTTGTGGTTTTGTCTTCCCCATGGCTCTGAGAAAACACCGATTACAAAATACTCAAACTGCATCGGTGAAAGGCAAACCCAACATTGAAAATACAGAATACACAAATATCTAAGCAATTCAATTAAAAAAAACAAAAGAAGACAGGATTAACTGAAAATCAACAAACATTGTGACAAAACAGTAAACACAAACATAATATCCAAAACGTATCAGAAACACAGCAGCAACATGTATAATTTGTTCACAGAAAGACAGAAATGCATTAACTTTTTATCATAATAATCTTCTCAAAAATACATGCAAGATCACAAACTTTTCTCGGTTTACGTGTACATTGTTTTTTTTTCCTTATTGCACCCAAAATTATCAACACTGTGTACCAGGCTCTAGAAGAACTTCTAGGTGCAATATCTGTAAATTCTAAGCCATGGGGAACTATTGTAGAGACTTCATCTCTCACATCAAATTGGGCAGTCAGGTTGGTGCACTGGTCCGTTCCTCGCCTTCCACCTCTATGGCCTGGGTTCGATTACTGCCCTGGCCACATGTGGATTGGGTTTTCAGTCCCTACCTGATTCCGTGGGTTTCTCCCCAGAATATTCTTCTGGGGTTTTCTTCCCGCCTCTACAATTGAATTTCTTCTCATTGTCTTCTCTCCACAGGTTTCTTCAGGCTTGCGAGCTACAGTGCCTAGGGCCCTTTTGAGGAATCCTTGGTTTCATTACCAGAGATAACCAGAAACCATTGAAATACAGCACTAAGCAAACCGCCCAATTACATGCAACTGCTAACCAGAAACTGTTGCTTAGCCATTTTATGTGCTTTGGAGAAATCAGCTGACGAACAGTCTCAGGCTGTACACAATTATAACATGGTTTGAGGGTGGATAGTTGACATTAGCTCCCTGAGGTATTGGAAGTAGACAAACTATTCATCTCGGGAAGTTGTTTGTCAACTTTGAATACGAGCTAACATCGACTATCCACCCATTAAACCATGTTATATTTGTTCTACTATACCTTATACATATTCACCCAAATTCCGTTGAGTAATGTACGCATCAGTTATCTTGGCAAAACGTTGCAGTGCATGGCCTAATCTTTTCATGTAGTACTTGCTTAAGTGATGTTCACGCATGCGCACTACCCCCGTGCGCTAGTTCCACCATTGCTCCGTAACGCGATGCACGGGTAACCCATGCGCTAGTCTATTACGCATGCGTATTTACCCCGTGTGAATCTCGTGTGCGCGTTCAGTAAAACAGCAAAACTAGTGGCCGACACGTGATGGCGAATGGAAGAGTGAGAATTCGGCTCTCGATCACGAATATGTATGAGGTATAGTAATAGACACTTTTTTTCTGACAATTTGGATCGTCAGATGTTTTTGCTCTTCAATTTATTTTCTGAGCTCAAGAATCTTCTGTGCCAAACAGCTCCCTGAATCTGGCCCGCCTGCAGAAGGAAAGGCCACGAAAATGAAAATGTTTTCATCCAACTCACTTGGAGGAGTTCCACGACGACGGAGCTTGGGCGGCCTGCTGAGATTTGGAAGAGTTTCGGAAGTGCTCCCCGAGCACTTTGGCAAGTTTAATTCCATTGGCCTTCTTCATCTTGAACATCTTCATGTACAGGAGCCCCAGGCAACGGTGGCTATTGACGACACAAAAGCAGGAAGGAAAAAAAGAAAAAAGATCAGTATCACTTTAACTGATTGCTTGTCCCTATTATACCGAACATTTGGCTACACCGAACATCATCCTTGGCTTCCCGGTTATTATGTACAAAATGTACCGAACATTGTTGTCGAAAAAAGTCAAAAGATTAAAGATACAGTCTATCATTTGCAGCTATCCCAAAAGTAACTGACGTAACTATTGTTGAAAAGCATACTTGGTTGAAAGATAGTAATGGGACTAAACTCCCTGTGAAATTATTCTTTCTGGCAAGCTGTCATTTTAAAAAAATCAATGAAAGAAGAAGGCCTTTCCAACGATGCGTCTAAAGATGCATCGCTGGAAATTTACGTTAGTACTTATTTTTTTTAATCGGCGAAGCACACGCAATCGTTGACACAACTCACACGCCCACATGGTTGCTATTCGAGACATTCGAACGCATTGCTGTTGACGCTCTTGCAAAGGCTCTATGGCTTTTTGCACACTCAGAATAAGGTTAGTGGTCCGTACTTTGCGCTAAACAAGTGCGCGCAAGCAGTGTGTCCTGTCCATGGGGCTCTCGAATGTTAACAAAAAGCGCCCTCCCTCGCACAGGGAGCCCACAGCACCCCAGCCAATTTTTTTTACGCGCGGACGTGGGTCTAGGACTCAAGGTCCTGGAGGCACATCCCTTCAACCTCAGCTTACTCACCATAATACTGCTAGTTTCTTGTCCATGCTCAGAGCATCTTGGTTTAAGTGACTGCCTTTAAACTTTAAGATGAATCTGCACCCAGACAAGGGGGAAAAAGAAACAAGACAACGTTGCATGAATCACTACCGTCTTCGTTTGCCGAAGTAATTGATTCTGGAAACTGCGAGTGCTTGCTCATACATATGCATACTGGAGGCCGGGAACCCACACATGCATATGCATGAGGATTATTCGTGTGCGTGAATGAGCAGAGAGGATACTGGTTGTTGCAATTTATCACTCATGCATATGCATATTATCCAGACATCAAGAAGCAGATTGGATACTGGTTACCGATTCCTTACTCATGCATATGCATGAAGAATATACGCATATATGCATGAACCTGTACTGTTACTGATTCCTTACTCATGCATATGCATGAGGAGTATACATACACACGAACATGTACTGTTACTGATTCCTTACTCATGCATATGCATGAGGAGAATACATATACATGAACATGTATTCCCTACTCATACATATGCATGAGGAGTATACATACATGTATGCATGAACATCTACCAGTTACTGATTCCTTACTCATGCATATGCATGGTATACATATGCCTGAACATATTCTGGTTACTGATTCCTTACTCAAGCATATATGCATGAGAGTATACATATGCATGAACATGGAGAGCTAGTGTCATTACGTCTACATGGATGTAAGCGGGTTGCAATTTGTTTTCAGTTTAAAATCTGGTATTTCTGGGCTTTGAACGTACTTGATAATGTCGCAGGTGTCTGAATACATGGTAATGGCTTTCTCGACTGGGACAACGGGGTCATTCTCCATGGCGTTACCACACAGGATGAACGACAGAGCGGCGTCAAAGTACATCAATGCCTTCACGTTCTTGTCACTCTGTGGAGATCACAAAATGAAACAAACAAATTAAAAAGTCTGTCAATCTTGGCAAACAAAACTCATTAACAACTGTCTCAAGTTAAAATGCAAATTTTCTTTTGTTTTTGGTCAAGGGTTTCTCTCTGTCTTACTTTTTATACACTTCTTATACTTCTCATCAGCTCAGTTATTTGACAGAAGTATTGAACAAATGAAACAAGGTCAGTGCAAAATATGGTTGTCAATGTCCAGAGATTGTTTCAACAACAAAAAAGGTGGTAATTTAAATGCTATTCTTTTATTTCGTAACCTTTGGTGGGTCGGACTTGAAATCTCAATGTCACATGACGGACGCTTATTCAACACATGCAAAAGATTGCATGAGTAACATGAAACCGGATAAAAATTAAGATTTTGGCACATATGCTAGGGGAAACTGAGACACCTCATCTGCTAGCACACTGTCTCTGCCAGAAAAAAAAATAGGAAGTCTGGGGCTAAAGACCTACATGCATGATTCAGCAGGGGTGGGTATGAGGTATTAATCATATATAGGCCGCTACCCGAAAGTGCACTTAGTACACGCAGGCAGGCATGACATCCTACCCCAGTTTAATACCAATCTAAGCGCTGCATTTGCTGAAAAGGTTAGGGGTTAGACAAAACGGTGTGGGTCATAATTCTGCCAAATCCTAGATTTCCCCGCGGAATGTCCCGGCTTAATGTGCTATAGGACAGGTTATCAGAAGAAAGAGGAAACAGTTACTCTATTTTTGTATTCCATGGAGGGCTCAGGCTGAGAGATCCAGTTGGCAGAAATAAGATGAGAGTTTTTTTTTTTGGGGGGGGGGATTTTTTTTTTTAAGAGCCCTAAAAGATCGAGGTGTTTAACCGAGTCAGGCGCGTTCAGAGTCGCATGTTAAATGAGACACTTAAATAACGGATGGCCGGGGCCAGTCATGATGTGTTGAAATCCAGATAACTGTCAAAACTGTTTGAGCAGTGAATGATTTGACATTTTCTGGACTGAGTGGCTTCTGGAGATAAAAACAGTTGAAGTGTGACTGCGATACAACTTTTAAAACTGTGAACGGCTACACAAGCAGAGGAAGTATCGGTTACGTCTTGGCACAGACTTTTTTTTATCACGTTGGCAAACAAATTTTAAAACAAGTCAGGTGTGTTTACAAACACAAATGCCCCGCAACGGTGACAGTTCCCATGACATAACACCACTCTTTTAACATCAACTTACATGTACCTTGGTCACATGGAACATTCATTGACAGCATTAGTGTCTTCTGTAGGTTTTATATGAATTAATCCCTAATCCCTATAATCTCAGAATAAATACATGATTTCTATTGTTTTAGCCACTGTGAACTTGACCCTTGACCTTTTGGCCCCAAATTCAATAGGCTTCTTAGGATTACCAAGAACAATCCACAAACCAAATTTGAAGTTCATATGTTAAGTATTTCTCAAGTTATCGCGCTGACAAGATTTCTATTGTTTTAGCCACTGTGAACTTGACCCTTGACCTTTTGGCCCCAAATGCAATAGGCTTCTTAGGATTGCCAAGAACAATCCACAAACCAAATTTGAAGTTCACATGTAAAGTATTTCTCAAGTTATCGCGCTGACAAGATTTCTATTGTTTTAGCCACTGTGAACTTGACCTTAGGCCTTTTGGCCCCAAATGCAAAAGGCTTCTTAGGATTGCCAAAAAAATCCACAAACCAAATTTGAAGTTCACATGTTACGTATTTCTCAAGTTATCGCGCTGACAAGATTTCTATTGTTTTAGCCACTGTGAACTTGACCTTTGGCCTTTTGGCCCCAAATGCAAAAGGCTTCTTAGGATTACCAAGAACAATCCACAAACCAAATTTGAAGTTCATATGTTAAGTATTTCTCAAGTTATCGCGCTGACAAGATTTCTATTGTTTTAGCCACTGTGAACTTGACCTTTGGCCTTTTGGCCCCAAATGCAATAGGCTTCTTAGGATTGCCAAGAACAATCCACAAACCAAATTTGAAGTTCACATGTTACGTATTTCTCAAGTTATCGCGCTGACAAGATTTCTATTGTTTTAGCCACTGTGAACTTGACCTTTGGCCTTTTGGCCCCAAATGCAAAAGGCTTCTTAGGATTACCAAGAACAATCCACAAACCAAATTTGAAGTTCATATGTTAAGTATTTCTCAAGTTATCGCGCTGACAAGATTTCTATTGTTTTAGCCACTGTGAACTTGACCTTTGGCCTTTTGGCCCCAAATGCAAAAGGCTTCTTAGGATTACCAAGAACAATCCACAAACCAAATTTGAAGTTCATATGTTAAGTATTTCTCAAGTTATCGCGCTGACAAGATTTGTCCGGACACACACACACACCCACCCACACACCCAGACTTGTTTCACATACGTAGTGTGGACTTTCCTTTCTTTTCGTGTAGTTAAGGAACACCAGTGGAAAAACTCATTTTTCTCAAACTGTGAAAACTCTTACAACCCAATTTTTTTTCTATGATTCCCTATAGTGTTTCTCTTCATTCTGCTACAGATAAACCTAACCCAAAAATGCCTCTAAACCTGTTTTCCAGAAATGGGGAAACACTGTGTGGACGTGGGCAAGTCCACACAACGTCGGTGCTACCTACATTATGTGGACGTGTTTTGTTCGGAAGTCCACACTGCGTATGTAAGACAAGCTCACCCACCCACACACCCACCCACGGAAGGACAAGGCGGAAACAGTATGCCCCTTCGGCTTCGCCGCGGGGCATAAAAACCCAAAGAACTTGTAAATTGATGATTGCGTGAAGTGATGCGCTAGGGATTTGAATGTGTAATCTTTACACCCCTCAGGAGTGCTTATAAAATGTGAATGGAAATTTCTTTCTAAAATAAATCATAAAATATGACCAAAATGTATCTGTTCCAGTACATGCAGTGCAACAAATGTGTAATTAATATTCCGTAACATAAATGTGGAGACAAAGGCGCGAATAACTAAATGTGAGAAGACAAAACTCTTAAGAAATGAGGAGGGATTTACAGGCGAAAGTTCACCGCTGAACTCACAAAAATATGACCCAGCTCCCTATACAGGGTGGTGCAAAAAGAAGGAAACCGACTTTTGACAGCAATTTTTACCTACTTGTTGAGCATATTTCGAAAAATCAATTAATGGTATTAAAATGTAGATCTTTAATCATAAGTGACGAAAAAATGATTGCAAATGCATATTTTGTCTCTGAGATATGGTAGTTTAAAAACTTCACGTGCCAAACCTGTTTGTCCATGGCGCCCGCTTGACTGAGCTCCGGAGCTTGATTTGAAGACAAAAAACACTACACTAGACTTACACGTGGACAACAGTGATTTTGGTGACTTGTGTTCAAATTAGCATAAAACTGTTCTTGTGATTTCTTTAAAGATTTTTTCACCACGTATGGTTGAAGAGCTATACTTCAATACATTATACAAAAAAAAAGTTTAAATAAGTTAGGTAAGTAGATAAAATTCCTGTCAAAATTGGGTTTCCTTCTTTTTGCACTACCCTGTACTAAGGACAATTCTAGAAATGCTACATGTACACAGTAACATTAAGTAAATTTACTGGATATCTGAGTTCAAAATTTGAGCGAAAGATTTAGTTCTCTTGAGCCTAACCTTGAAAGAACATGGATTATAACCAACAAGAAAATGGGTGGTGAACAGATTAAGGGTGTGGTCAGAAACACGCCAGCGAGACGTAATCAGCCGGATGGAGGGTGTGGCCGACTTGACTTGTTGCCAAGCGTTTAGCTGAGCCGAACACAAACTCACAGCTGCAGACTTTACCGACCAACGGCATACCCACATTTCCTGGCCAAATCGGTGTCAGCGAAAGAATGGAAGGGTGTGAATATGTTTCTAATGTTTCAACTGAAATAGTCGGAAAAAATGTTGCAACATGACGCCACTTTTTTCTTCTTCATATATCATCTCAACGAAGGTCAGTCATTGCAAAAATGATGATAAGACATGAATCTGGGACTGAGAAACATTTCCAATTTTGTTAGGAAAGACTTTAAAAAAATTGCTTGAACACTTTTTCCAAATAGTCCAATTTCCTAACATTAAAATCAAATTTGTATTACTCTTCTGGGGATGGAAAAGAGATAGTTGATGTCAGAGCTGCGATTAAGATAATTGGCGGGGGGGGGGGGGGGGGGGGGAGGGGGAGGCTGCCACCAGAGTTATTGTTGCTGTTTTTGATATTTTAAACGATGGAAATTTGTGATGGAAGCTTGCCGAGGTCTCGGCTGGCTGGCTCAAATCTGATCCAGCAGGTTCCAGTCTGCTGTATCTGAATTTTGTTAATACGATTGCTCTTTTTTTATTTTGTAACACATATACAATACCTGCGCATCGGCTTGATGTTTGAGTTTCTTCCCTTCGGCAAGGTAACTGTCTGCAGTAAATTGCTGGCTGTAAACAAAAAAGAAAAAAACAATTTTTTTTGTAGAAAGATTTAAATGATTGCTTCTTCCGTACATTCAAAAAATTCAGTCATCAGTTTTGCATAAAAAGGAAAACATACCTGTACATGTATGGACTACAGTGTGCCTAGAATATGTACATGTACCGGCAGGATGATTTTGTATTTTTTCTTAAAATTGAGGAAAGAACCCTTTCAAAAAGAACGGTTTGAATACTTTACCCTAACCCTCCTCGATCTTCCAAAATCAGCCAGGCGATTATCGAGTATTTTGGAGGATTGAGGTTGCGTGCCATTTTTGTGCCAGTTGATTTTGGAGGATGTAAACTGTGTCAAGGACCTACCGGTACGTAGCACCTTGTGTTGTTTATGGTCAGCCATGCCAAAAATACACCTAGATTTATACTAGATATCTGCACTGCTTCTGGATATCATCGGCAATTCCTCATTGTATTACAGTGATTGTCGGAGGATTTTGAAGGATTGAGGCAGTGCTCACCCCTCCACTGAACAAATGCAAGAATATCAGATGGATTTGGAGGATTCGGGCTGTTTAAAATTTTCACATGGTGGCAATGGGAGGATTTTGAAGGATGGAGGATGGATCCTAGGCAAAAAGGGCCTAGGTGAATGACGATTCAATTTGGCTGTAGTCTTGAAAGGCTTCCGGAAGACACTGTGACTTTTGAAATTTTTTTCTTAAAGGGAATATATACAACATTTGCAAACATCGAAAAAGAAAACTACCAAGTTTTTACGAAACACCTTATTAGGATGTTGGTACATGACAGTCTAAAGCATCCTGTAAAATTATGGCACCTGGTGTGAAGTCATTTTCAAGAAAATGGTATTTTTGTATACATTTCCAACGGTGGTCGGCCGACCACCTTTGAAAAAACCTTACTATTTTTCAACTACTGCTCCAAGTTTACCATTTTTTTTCGGTCCAAATTTTGTTTGCTATTGGTTACATGTTCATGAACGGGTGCAGGCCAGCTAGACTGGTTCCCTTACCTTACAATTTTCCGGCATCTATAAATTGATCCATTTTATCTTTAGTGGAGTCAGGGAACTAGACGACTTGAACATTTTTGTTTTCTTGTTTTTCCCAGCATTTTCGAACACAAAACTTCAAACATGTCAGTGTAACAATATTTGATCTATTATACTAACCCCTCAAATAGTTCATTTCTGAAAATTACAGCAAAAGCCAATGATGTACATTCCCTTTAAGCTCGGATGTGTGTATATATATGCAATCAATGCACACGCTTGACAATATTACCCATGGGAATGTTACAAGCACAAACAAGTGTGCATGAAATATCGTTTGTACTCATTTTGAACAATACAACGAGAATATAAAGGACCGAGTGCTAGTTCTTTGGTTTCAACTTGAGTGAACGACATCGTTCTAAATCGGAGCAGTTTAAGGTGAGAGTGACCTTGCTCCAAGGCACGTCCGGAACAGTTGGCTCACGGTCCCCGAAACACAACAGAAAATATTGAAGTGATTAAGCAATAACGCCATATTGCCAAGGCGATGATAATTAGCGCCCTGTAGGTATTTCCAATCCGCCCACATATTTTTTTTTCATCGGTGCATATATAGCACGCTCTAAGCATCACAGGTTGTTGTTTTGCCCTGGGCCACTCAAAGCCACTGTCGATCGTCCCAAGTCATGAATAAATGTCCCCGGGCTAAACTCATCACCTTTTGGATAATTTTTTTTATTTTTAGTTTCTCTCTTCCCACGAAAATGATTTAGTGCCAATTGCAGGTGGGGATACCGTAATGAGATAAATATCTAGCCTTCGAGATCTGAGAGGGTTAATGAGGTTTTTTTTTTTCACTGTGATTTTCCCGGCTAAGTTAATGGTGCTATAAAGAGCTGGCCAGTCCCTGAACTATTCTATATCTATCCAGTCGCGCTGATTGTTTCTCTCACATCATTAGAGATCGGCTCTTGGGGATGCTCTGTCACGACACACTACTCTAATTTTTTTCGGATCCAAATGAGGAAGCCATCTCGGTCAAGCATAAGAAGTTAGGGATAAGGTTAAAGACTAAATACTGATTGTTTTGCCCCCTAAGTTTATTGACATCTTTTCGATCTTTTTTGTGTGTTTAATAAATGTCTGAACAAGCAGCCCAGAGGCAGCCTAAAAAGCCGGGCCATGTAACGGTAGTCTCCGCTTTAAATTCTTTTCGAGATTTTAATTTCAATTGTTGCAGAAGTTCAGGCAAGCAAATGATAGATCAGATGCTTACTAGTAAATGTGTGTTCTACATTGGATTGTATATTTCAATAGCTGTAAGTGCTGTATTAAAAGTTGTCGATGCTATTAAAAACTGAATTTCTCAAAATTCTGTATAAAAAAACAAGTCAGTTTATTATATAAGACATTGTATTTAATTGTATGTGTTTTTCAACATCCATAATGACAAATTTCAGTACAATAGAAAGAGAAAATGGTCCAAAAAGCAGTAAAAAAAAAAAAATAAGACTGGCATAGGAGACCGCACACACAGATATTTTGCAGACTCGATCTGCTTGCCATTGTCCCAAAAGAAGAAACAACTTGCAGTGAGTGGAACGATATTGGTAAATTTTCACAGTTGCGATCGTCTTGCAGATATCCACACCCAAACCAACAAAAGCTACAAGCCCGGACACCGCCGCGGCTTAAAAAGCCAGCAAATCATGTTTTTCTTTCCTTTCCTTTTTTTTTCTTCTTTTAAACGTCGGTGAAGGGCAAAAACCCAATATTAAAATCGTGTTGTTACACCTGCCTGCCAGCCACACACACTCACTGTTCGGCTGAGGTATTGAATTACAAATCCCTCTGCCTTTGCAGGGCTGGGCCGCGGCCAGATAGGACACAGTATCACCTGCTGGCTGGCTTCTTGTAGCGGTGGGTGAGGTTAAAGGCAATGCCACGTCATTGTACTGTCTGGGGGGAAGCCGGCTGGCTTTTTATCCCCTGATGGTACACATTAATGTGCGTAAATCAATAGGACACCTGTGCGGCCTGCAAGTTCTTGTCTTCCTGTGCATCTCATGACTAATCCTACTGTCAACTGGTTTTTGAAACTCAAATCAATCAAATTTGAATCCCAATAAAATTTAGGTCAATATTTCACATCCTATGGCATCCAACTAACAATCATACAATTGTCGCGGCTCAATTAATGGGCACACTCATTCTTCAGCTCGTAACCCACAGCTCTTAACTAAGCATCCCGCTCAAACTGGGAAAAACGAGAGAACTCGAGGATAACATTCAACAATTAACGCTAACGGCCCAGATCCTCTCGCAATTTATCTGAATTTCGAAGAGGAAATTAGGATTAATCAGAGTGTTTTTTCTTCTTCCAATAATAGACCGATACGGGTCTCTATACTGCTGCTTTAAGCTCACTCCTGTACTAACATAAACCTTGTTTCCCCCAACACTGATCACAGGCATCGTCGTCTTCCTGCAGGGGAGATTAACAGGCATTTGGCTGGCTCGCTCTCTGTTTCTTTTCCTTTTTTTTCCCAATTTTTTTCCCCTCCCCCCAGTTCTTGTCGAGCGCATGCAGTGAGAAACCAAGTCGGGCTGGCCGCCATGTGCTGTGCGATCTGTATTAACTGGTTCGGCTATTTTAAAGTCCCCGGCTAGGCTGGGTCCGTTGACTTTAACGCGCCAAGCATATCAAGCGTAGGTCCCCAGCCGCCGCAGGGGTTTTTGCCTGATTAAGTGGGAGTTCTTGTATGGGATTGCTTAAAGGAACAGTCGGCTCATAAATCTGCGTTGTGCCGACGCCCGGGGCGTAATTCCGAACACAACTGCCCCGCACTTGTGAAGGTTGGACTGCGATGTGTATGCACTGTACTTTTTGACAGGTTTTTTTGTTGTTTCCCTGAAGGTATGCACACAAACATGAGCGATTGTTTTTGACAGCGCCTCCGTGATTGAGACTGCCCATGGCTTAAGGACACCATAGTCTCTCTAATTGCCTCACTTCTTTCCCTCAATTACCGAGGCCCGATGTGAAAATCAAGCATAGGAAGCAAGAGTTGTGATATGAGGCTGTAACAAATGGCCAACTGTCAATATTCCCCTTTTTTTACTCATAACTACTGGTCTGACTTGGACCCAGAATTCTAAGATTAGCAAGTTACTGAGTTATATTACTTCCTTTCTTATTTTACCATTTGAAGGTCAACATCGTGAATATTTCCTATCAAATATTGTGGCTTATTTAAAAAATAAACAAACTCGGTATTCAGTTACAAAAATAGTGTAAGTGAAAGCTATAAAAAAAATGCTAAATGTTGGCAAATCTTTATCTCTCTTAACTCAATCGTTCAGATCCTTTGAAAGAATTTTTTTAGAAGACATTACAGGATCGGTGCACGTACATCCCTGCCACTTTTACTTTCAATTTTTTTTTTTTTAGTCTTAGTCTCGTGACTAAAGACGGAGCTATCAACAAGTTTAGACATAACCTGAAATGTAATAAAATTATGGAAGCCCGATCCTACCTTTCTTCGATCTCCAAGCCTATCGGTTGTCTATCCGTCATATTCTTCCTGGCAACATGTGGATTGGAGTTCCGGACATAATCCGCACCGCCGCCAACATCTCCCCACTCCTCACTGACAGACCTGTGTCCGTTTCTCGTGCAGGTCACGTCATTCGACACACTGGTCGAGTCCTGCGATCTGTCCACACGCTCTTCAGTCTGGGGTGGGGGCGAGCCCCACGTCGTGATGTGTCCCTTCGCACTAAGCACGGCCGAGTTGGAAGGTGCATTGAGATAGTTCGTGCTGCCGCCGCTGCTACTACTGCTGCTGCTGCTGCTACTGCTGCAGCTCGAGTCCATGGAATCGTTGGCGGTCTTCTTGCGTCGCTTGGTGGGCTGCGAGGACGGGGCCTCGCGGTCGCTCCGGCGACTACTGCTGCAGCTGCTCTGTGAGGATAATAGGCTGGAGACACTGTTGGTGCTGCCGCGGCGCTCGGCGGGCCGCCTCCGATCCAAGACAGTGTCACTGTCTGGTATAGATGATAACCTGACGACAGGACAGATAATCACACAAAGGATGTGATTATCAAGTACGATATCATGCAGCAACTTAAGGCCACTGCTGAAACACATTAAACTTTTAGAAAGTTAAACGTATCCAAATAGTCCTAAGGCAATTTATAACGTGTGGTTGCTTTAATGGAATTTTAGCATTGCTTAGATTTTAATATAATTTTATTATAGGATTTTCCTCTTCTACTAGCTAACAGTATTTTATTATATTACATCGGCGAAGGGCAAATCCAATAATAAAAAGTTGGTTGTGGTTCTTGTTCATACCTAGATGGCCTAAAGATCTGATATTGTTTGGATCTTCTCTTTGAGGAGTATTCAACATGAACAAAACTTGTCAACAACATCGAACGACCTGGAAACCCTGTTTGTTCTTTAGGCTAATTTTCACCAACTATTTCTAAAACCCTGGCCGAAAGCCCCGCTTCTTACTCATTGTGTTCAGGCTCTTCGTTGTGGAAGTTTCTCGATGTCTTCCCGCTGCATTCGCTCTTTGGTTTCTTGCACACAGATTCCTTGACGGGATCCTAACAGACGAAGTGAGCATCGAGCAAAACAGATCAGAAATTGTCCTACCACTACAAAACCTTGTGCATGTTTGTTTTGTTTTGTTGAACGAGGACGTTTCTTCGCACTTGATTCTTTGCATGACTGGTAAGCATATTTGGATAGGTCATGTTTCAGTTTGCAAATACATTACACTCGAAAGTACTACCGGCAGAGATTTGTCTTTTGGAAGAGGGCTACGCTGCTATCCAAATATCAACAGTTCTATCTTCTGGCTGTGGCATTTCAAGAGCTTTTCATTGGCATCAGAGACAACATCATACAATGTAATGCTTGGGGTTTCTGAAACACTATTTGGTTTTTTTTGGGGGGGGGAAGCCACTTTAAAAAGTGACAGGTGGTGACATATTAAGTCACAATCATTGATTAATGTTCAATGTTTATCTGTTGATAAGTGAATAAGAGCACTTTTTTGTGTGTGTGCAAATGTCGGACATGCAAAACCACTTATGTTAGAGCCCTCCAATTATGCATGCGTTAAGAGTGGCTTCGACATAATTTCCGAGCTGGATTTTTTGAGGGCTTCAAATTCTAAGAGCCAAAAAAGGCAAATCTATGTATTCAAACCTGGATTATATCCAGTGGCTTTGATGTCAAGATAACCTTCATCTAATATCCACAGAAAAATAATAATAAGCAACTTATTTTATGGACAAGGAAGAATTTTGAATTTGGCATCAAATGCAGAGAATAATGGACAGGGCGTGACATCTACCACAGCCCTGTGAGCTGGGCGCGGTGGATGTAAGCACCACATCATGAAACTAATCCTGGGCAAAACAAAAAATTGCAAATGCCAAAAATAACCAAGTCAAGAGCATTTAGGCTTTAAAGTGATGTGATCCTCAAAGGCTCAACAGATTACAAACCTCCTCGTCTAGATCCTCCTGTTTTCTTTTATGGACTTTGACTAATGAAGGCAGTCTCTCCTCAAACTCAAGAAGTTCATTCTTATAATGGGCATCCGAGGCACTGCAACCGTGCCTTGGCGACGTCCTTTCTGTTCTACAGGGCTGCCTGGGCCGTCCAGGCACCCGGTTTATAAGGGAAAGGTTGAGTTTGACAACGAGCGAGGGGATCCCGTCCTTGTACGTGACCTCCTGCGGATGCGGCGTCAACGCCGGCTTTTCAGGGTCCTCGTTTTTGATCGGCGACAACAAAGGTTCCTTGATGAGCCCTAGGGGCTGGTCAATCATGGACATGAAGACATCGTCCAGGACGGGCTTGGCAAGAGACGCTTCTCTCTCCGTTTTCACAACGTTGGATTTCTCTTTAGTTCTGTTACCCTTGCTTGAAGCTTTGTTTTTGATTTCAGTACGCGCACTCGGTTTGTGAGCGGGGCTCAAGACTGCGTGGAGCTTACTCGCTCCGTTCAACCTTTTCGACAACGGTGTTCTTTCCAACTCGTCGTCGGAGTCACTGCTGCTGTCCGTATCGCTCACAAATTCCTTGGAGGTTGGTTTCTTAGCCAATTTCTTCTCAGGAGTTCTCACTCGCGGTGGGGTCTTCTTATCACTCTTAGGAGTTGTCTTACTACTCTTTCCCTTGACGTCTACTTTGGTCTCAGCACCGCTTTTACTCGACTGCTTACTCGGCTTAGCACCTTTCTTTGATTCCTTCGTCGACACCTCACTTTTCGTCTGAGACGCCGTTTTCGATTTTGCAACCGAGGGGGACTTATCCAACACTTTCTTGGGCCCTCGTTTATTCGCATTCTGCTTGCCGGCGTTCCCTCCGGTTCTGACCGGAGATTTTGACAATGGCGTCCTTTTCTCCGTCACCAACTTGTTGAAATCGTTGATGCGGTTGTCGTTGTCGACGTACTTGCCAAAGTTTCCCTTGTCGTAATCCTCGGGTGGGGTTAACGTGGTGGTCAGGTCGTTGATGCCCAGAACGAAACCGCCGCTGCCTTCGCCGCGTCTGCCTCCCGGCACCGTGGATCTGTGCTGGTTGGTGTTGGGGAAGGACTGGGCCTCCTTGATTGAGAGAGTCGGCGGTGTGGCAGCGGTGCTGGCGGCGGCGGCTGGCTGGTTGCTGAGCGGAGGCTGCTTGGGGACATTCAGAGCTCCTGGGGACTTCTTGCCCTCGATGATCTTCTTGTTGATGAGATCGTGGAGGTTGTAGGACTTGTGGGCGGGTTTGTCCTGGTAAAAAAAGGATCCATAAAATAATGAGCCTGAATCAATAGGACCATCTGAAAACCACGCACACAAGTGAATGACAGTCACATCAATGCCTCCTTCATGTGATGAATAAATGAATTCTATGGATCTTTTGAAGAAATTGAAGAAGAAAATGCTCATTTTCAAGATGACAAGAAAGACCCAAATCAATAAAATCTTAAAATACCAAAAAAAAGTGAAATTAAAATAGTTACCATCTAAAAAGTTACTGAAACAAGTTTCACATCTGTCTATGATTTTTCTTCCGAATCAAAATATTGCAGAAAGAAATTCCTGTCACTTGATATTTTACTGTCAGATCTCAAATGAAGTAGACGGTGATGATGCAATACAGAAAACAAAACCGAATATAATTTTTTGCAGAAGACTGAAATTATCAGAAGATGCCCATGGGCGTCGCCAGGATTTTTTCTAGAGGGGGGCAAAAAAATTTTTGCCAAAAAATGCTTGTATTTCTCAACACATTCTCGATTTATCAGTTTTAGAGGGGGGCAGGGACATTTTGCCCCCCCCCCCCAACTCATTAAATTTACACCACTTTGTCTTCGCGCCTCTTTTTCTTTTATTTTTATTTTTTTTTTTTCTTCCTTTTTTTTTTTTTTTTTTTTTTTTGCTTTTCCAGGGGGGGGGGCAAGTGCCCCCCCTTGCCCCCCCTCGCGACGCCCATGAAGATGCCTACTATAGGGAAACGGCTAAAGAGATTCAGATGTGAGATGTGCAGATTTCCATGTGGTAATATTACAGGCTGGCAATGATGGATAACCTTTCTAGTAAGCATCCCAGCTGATGGATGCCTGACGATTGTACCAGACAGACATAACTAGTCAGGTCGGCATGGGCCTTGTTCACGAGTCGTCCATACTGAATTGAAAGTTAGATAAAATCTTAATTTTTGGAACTTGCGACGAGAAATGAAAGCGACTTAACTGATAATAAATTCCAGTCTGCTTCGAGGATTAATTTAAATTGGTAATTAAACATTCCCTAATGTTTAAAGCCATTTTTAACAAAAAAATTACGGTACAATAAGACTGCATTGTGCCTGCATAAATAGTCTGGTGCCTGCATAAATAGTCTGGCGCCATCCCATTCAACAGTAAACAATTAATGAAATACATTCAGGGAACTCGACAAAAATGGCCAACTCGTGAATAAGGCCCACAGTGGTACGTTCCAAAGCCCTTCAACCTCTGCCAACCAAATTTGTATCCCAACCGGACTGACCAATGGATTGGGCTTTTCAGTCCTTGTCTAGTTCTGTGTTTTTTTTCCCCAGAAAATGATTCCAGGGTTTTCCTCCCACCTCAAAAACTGAACATGTCTTCAAGAGCTGGGCTTAATTTCATGGCGCTGCTAGGCACACGATTTTCTGCAAACAGAGTCTCGCCTATTTCATGGAGACTGTAAAGACTAAGCACAGCAAAAGGCACGCTTACCTCAGAGGGAACGAAACTTGCTTAATTTAGTGACGTAACAATAAAAATCTCTATGTGCATCCAACCGTTAGCACAAACATGCCATAAAAATGTGCTTAAGGTAAGCACACTTTTCTGCTAACTTCTGAAGAGTTAGCAGAAAAGTTGTGCTTACTATAGCAGAAAATTGTGCTAACCTTAAGCACTATTTCATGGCGTGGATGTGCTAACGGTTGCTAACAGATTTCTATTGTTACGTCACTAAGTAAAGCAACTGTTTTCCTCTGAGGTAAGCGCACCTTTTGCTGTGCTTACTGTTATGGTCTCCATAACCCTCTGTTAGCTTAAAATTGTGTGCTTAGCAGTGACACAAATTGGGCCTTGTGCAAAGACAGCGCTAACCCTGCATTGAAGCAGAGAGCTCTTGGTTGCAGTACGTACACATGTGCATAAGCCAAAATTCCTTGCTAACTTGTGAGAAATACTAACCGTAAGCACAAAGTTTTCTGCTAGAACAGTAAGCAGGGATTTTTTTGCTAACGGTAAGCAGAACCATGAGATTGAGCTCAATGGCCAATTTCATGACTGCTAAGCGGACAATAATCGCTTAGCAAAGTTACGAGCTAAGCAAAAAATGCAGCAGGTACCAGTCACAGGCGATATGCATCACTTGGAAATTTGGCCGGTGACCTGTTTTTGCTTAGCACGTATTTTCTATGCTTAGCCAATTTCCATGCTAAGCACCTCCCCACAGCTCCTCATGACTGCTAATCCGAACATATCGCTTATCAAATTTACGAGCTAAGCAAAATATGCAGCGGGTACCAGTCACAGGCAATATGCATCACTTGGAAATTTGGCAGGTGACCTGTTTTTGCTTAGCATGTATTTTCTATGCTTAGTCAATTTCCATGCTAAGCAGCTCCCCACAAAATTGGCTGTCTACTCCCTAATCTCAAACCCTGACCACAATCTCACTGAAACGCCCTCTATTCATCTCCGTGTTTAGAGAGTCTTGCTCAGGGATGTTTCCACGGAGAGACACCAGGACTGACCTGTGGTGGGGATGACTCATGATCGCTGGAGCTAGCATCGCTCTCGCTATCCGTGTCGTTACCAGAGCTGCTGTCGTCATCTGACTCACCCGAGGAGCTACCGCTGGAGCTATCCGACAGCCGACTGGTATCCATCTCCCTGGAATGCCTGTAACATGGGGAAACAGGATACGGGATACCAGGGGATTAGAACTGGGGCGGGCGATAAGCAGCAGTGAATTCTGTAATTTCCACAATTAAGGCATGTAGGATGATTTACGTTTATCCCAAAAGTAATCTACCGAATTATTATCCAAAAACGTACTTGGATTAGAGAACGTACTGGTACTAAACACCCTGTCAAATTATTCCATCTGGCTTGCTGTCATTTAGAAGAAATCAAGAAATGTAGGAGATTTCCAACGATCAGTGGGTTGACTGATTTTTGGAAATAACAGAGTGCTATGGGCAAAATCGTTTTTTTTTGTGATTGAAAGATTGTGCATGGATTTTCACGGTTTTCTCGAAAAGTGTACTATCCACTGAGCTGAAACTTCAACAGGTTATGCTTTGAACAATCGTCTTTAAATTTTGAGTGGTGTTAATATTAGAAACGAAGAAACTACATGAAAAGCAAATGATCCTATATGCCTTTAAGAAAAACAAGTGAAGAAGCGGTCCAATGCAATTATCAAGTTTGTTTTGGTATTTAAAAATTAAAAAAAAAGCCAAACAATTGGCCACAACCAGCTACCATTCATGTGTAGATCTTTCCCCAAAAGAAACAAACAAAATAAGCACAGCTCTAGTAATTTTTTATTCCCCTTTTATCTAAAATATTTTGTATGTGGATAAACGCCGGTACACAATTTGATCTACAGATTACACAGTTCTGGAATTTTTGGACAAAGAAATGTTCATGACATGTTATACACAATAGGTTCCCCTCCACAATCCATGGTCTGTACATATCCCCCCCCCCCCCTTGTCTGTACATATTCCCCTTCCTCCAATTGTTGGGTAAATTCATTTACACAAATTATTCTAGAGACTATACTGCTGTGAAATTGTTGGAAACAAATTTGCCCATGTCATTTTTATGCACATGTTGCCTTCCCCATTCCAGTCTGACTGTAATTGTGGAGTCAAGGACTGAAAGAACTTGGGAAATATTTATCCTCACTGATGGAGTACAGATGCTTGACCTCTGACCTGTGCGGCCTACTGTGAGACTGAAAGCAGCTCATTCATTGGTTTCCAGACCAATAAAAAAAAAAAAAATTTCCAAGAATAATCAAGCAATTCTTTTCCAGTTATACCTTCGCCGATAACGCCCATCTGCTGGTACATCATCTACAAGATAACTCCCTATCCACATAATGGCACGGAATGCACTGGATTTAATAGTTTCCTGCTTTTGGTTGATAGCTCCTTGCAAGTTTATAGCATTAATGTACATGTTTATGGGTTACGCAAACTGTCCACATTGTTCTTTGCGGTACAGACTCAGCAAACAGATGGTTGACCTTTTTTTTAACCTCCTAGTCAAAAAAATAATACAATGCATGTTCAAGATTCAAACATCTGTTAAAGGCATATAGGATCATTTGCCTTTTCATGCATTTTGTTCGTTCTCCAACAATAACACCACTCAAAATCCAAAAGAAGAATATTCCAAACCTAACTTGTTTAAGTTTCAGCTCAGTGGATATTACACTTTTTGAGAAAACAGTGACAAACCATGCACAACCTTTTGATCACGAAACAAGATTTCGTAAACAGAACTCTTGTTTTTCCCCTGAACCATCAGTTAATTGAATGATCATTGGAAGTCACCTACATTTCTCAATTTCTTGAGCCAGACAGAATAATTTCCACCGGGTGTTTAGTACCAGTACGATCTTTAATCCAAGAAAGCTTTTTGATGATAATTTGATAGGCTACTTTTGGGATAAATGCAAACGATCCTGGATAAGCCTTCAAACTGCGGGTAAATTAACTATTCATCTAATAAAACCTTCGACAACAATCTGTAGTACCAGATCAATTACAAAAGATATCTTATTCACATGGCATCTCTACTTTAAAGGAAATATGCAACATTTGTTTCTGCTGTAATTTTCACAAATAGATGGATTTGGGGGTGGTATTTTATAGCAAATATTGTTGCACTGACTTGTTTGAAGTTTTGTGTTAGAAGAGGCAGGAAAAAACAAGAAAAACAATCACGTTCCAGTAGTCTGGTTTCCTGACCCCACGTAAGATAAAATGGAGCAATTTATAGAATTTAGGAATTGTAAGGTCAGGGAACCAGTCTACATGTAGCTGGCCTGTACCCGTTCATAGGTGTGTAATCAATTGCAAACAAAATGTGGACGAACTAAATATGGTAAATTGGGGCCAATATTTGAAAAAAGCCAGTTTTTTCCAATGATGGTCGGCCGACAAGCGTTGGAAATTGATACAAAAATACCACTTTTCTTGAAAATGACAGCACACCAGGGGCCACGATTTTACAGGATGCATTAGACTGTCATTCACTAACAGTCCAGTAAGGTATTTCATAATAATTTGGTACTTTTGTTTTTTGGATGTTTGCAAATGCTGTATATCCCTTTAACTAACGAACACAGGTTTTGCAGACAAAAAAATTTGGAAAGATACCAACATTCTACAAGGAAATTTCCGCGTTGGTAATGCAAAGACAGACAGAGGAGAAAGTCAAAGGTAACATAAAAGAAAGAGAGCTGTCAAAATTGATTTCTGTCAGAGGCGACGGTTCAACGTGCTTCCTGACACATGTCCAAACTCCCGCAACAAATGGGGCCACAAGAGGGCCCTAAAGATTGGGCACTGAACCCCCAGTCTGGCATGTGACAGGGGTGAGAGGAGGGCAGAGTCGTGGCATACAGGACCTCTTAGGGGGTACATACTTGGGGTGACTGATGACTTCAACAGACCAAATGTGTCAAAAGTTCACCGTATAGACATACACTACTGGAATAGGGACGTGTACTTGTAACTGATTTCAGTCAGAGCGAACAGACCGATTCTGATATTAGAAATGGCGCAGGCCAAAAAGTTATCAAATCAATTTTTGATGAATGTTAAAGTTTTCTTAACAATCATGATTTCAGAAGAGCAAGTTGAAACATTGAAACAAAAAGGGCAATACAACTGCATGGAATTCCGTGGTCAGAAAAAAATGTGGGCTTATTTTATACGTTCTTCACAGAAATAGTGCAATTTTTCAGAGTGGAGACAGATATAAAAATAACCTGGTCAATTTTATAGCTTTTAATTAATATTGGGTTTTGCCAACCGCTGACTGTATACTGTAGACTGTATACTCAGTTTTTTAATAGCATAGGATTCGCATAGCAAGTAGCAATAACCTCTGCTTCATATTTTATTGAGTTTATGGGAATTAATTTTTCCGTTATTCCTCTATATATGCTTTAACCATGTCTATTTCTGTGCAACACTTGATCCTCAGTTTTTCATTGTATTTCCTTTGAAAATTTCCATCAACTACATTCTGAATTATTTGCTTGTCGCAGTGTCAGATTCAATTACATCTTAGAAATGCTAAGTCATTCTATCCAGCTACCAACAGACAACAGAACTAAACTATTCAAAATATACAACAGACAGGACATTCCAATTTCATGAGCTGGTATAAAGCAAACCCCAAAACTTCTGCTAGCGCCAGTATCACGCCTGGTGGAAGGCACACTTTTTATCAGTAACCTAGGGAGTATTATGTTTACTCATGAGGAAAGAACAATGATGTCACAGCATTTTACTTATCTGACAAGCGACATTAAAGGAATTTAAAGAACGGATGTCTTCAGGTTGCCACAATAGCCTAGTGGTTAGTGGGACGAGTTTCTGATCGAAAGACCTTGGTTCGAATCATGTCCATTTTTCATGTACTGTTTTTCTTCTCCAAATTAATCTTAAGGATTATTTTAATTGAAGGGAAAAAGAAGTCGGAAACCTAAGTTTCTTGGAAATAACATCGCGAACCGCTAACAGGGCCCTAATGTGCTACTGGGGCTACCAAAACTTCTTGCTTAACAAAAAACAGGATACCAGCCAAATTGTCATTCGATGCATATCACTATTCACTGGTTCTCAGCAGGCCCTTGCTTAGCACACACACATTTGGTAAGCAAGATTTTTCTACCAATCACCTCAATGAATAATCAGACCCAGGTGTTTGCACAACTAACCTATCACCCATGTAACCAGGTGAGAACAATACTGAAACTCTGAGAAAAAAAAAAAAAAAATTGGCCACTTCTCTTCTCCGAATCAGAATACAATGTAGCACTTCAATGCCAAATTCCTTTCTGTTTAGAAGGCACAGGGGAGCAAACACGATCAATCGGGGACCCCATACAAGCTGGGCTGGCCCAGGTGTACAGAGGAAAACAACAACAGAGACTTGACAGCCAGACGAGCACTCTATAAAGCAATATCCGGGAGGTGAGGGATCTGCGCTCCTCCCAATTGTCCGTGGTCCCAGTAACACATTGACGGTTCTCTGATTTCAACATTAAAGGCAGTAGACGAGGGCCTATGTCAGTCCATAATGTGTCAGTGTACATGTACACTCTACAAGTCCCTTTAAAGGGAATATACAACATTTGCTTTTTGCTGTAATTTTCAGAAATGGACGGATTTGGGGGGTTAGCATTTTATAGCAGATATTGTTACACCATAGAGCAAGGAACAGAGTGTTTTGAAGTTTTGTGTTCGTATATGCTGGGAAAACTAAGGGGAAAAAACCTGTTCTTGTTGTCTGGTTTAGGTATATATGAAGTGAGCTAACAAGTGTTTTTAACCAATTAAACCAGATATATTTTACATTAAAATAGGAATTCAAGAAACAAACGGAATCTGTCCAAAATCTGTCCCCACATCTTTTTCTTTCGAATCGTCAAATACATTGTTTCTAAACATTGTTGCCAAACGATAAATTTATAAATAAAAAAAACACCACAATGGTTACTGCTGTTTCAACTTTAAAAGTTCCGCTCCGTTTCGGACTGAATCTGAGCATGACATCCTTCACAGTTTTGATTTCAGCAACAGACCAACTCTCCAGCAACCGCTCCAAACCCACCGGTGATGTGACTTGATGCATGTGTTTCCTTGTTCCAGTGCTCTGTCATATTTTTGGCG